TTGATGTTGGTTGCTCTCTTGATGACGATTTGTGTTCAGACTTGGAGTATATGCCTAGCGGGATTGGGAAATTAACTTGTCTCCAGACGTTGTCATGTTTTGTGGTTGCAAAAACTAGTCCTGAATCCAAGATGGTTGGTGGATTGGATGAGTTGGGTAGGTTAAATGAATTGAGAGGGAGCCTAGAAATAAGAGTTAAGGGATATGAGAGGAATTCTTGTATATCAGAATTTGAGGGAGCTAAATTGATAGAGAAACAATATCTTCAGTCGTTGACCGTACGGTGGGATAATGATTCAGACAATGATAGTGGTTCAGATATTGATTTGTATGATATATTTTTGCAAAGTCTTCAGCCACACTCGAATCTACAAGAGTGGGATGTTTTACCGCATGATAGTGATTCAGATATTGATTTGTATGATAAAATGTTGCAAAGCCTTCAACCACACTCGAATCTACAAGATTTGACGGTTCAAAATTATAGAGGTATGAGGTTGCCAAGTTGGCTTTCATATCTCACAAATCTTGTTAAGATTCATCTAAAATATTGTAGAAGACTCGCGCATATCCCTCCCTTAGATGGAATCCCTTCTCTTGAAGAATTGTATATTGATAGGTTACCTAATCTGGAGTACATAGATAGTGAGGGGGTTGGAGGAAGAGGAGTGTCGACGTTTTTCCCATCCCTAAAGAAACTCACGATTTGGTCATGTCAAAGGCTGAAGGGATGGTGGAAGAAGAGTGATGAGTCAACAACCACAACAGAAGAAGAGTTGATGATGCTCTCTTTTCCACGTCTTTCTTCCTTGTCAATATTCAACTGTCCTAAACTGTCTTCAATGCCATTGTTTCCAACTCTCGATGATCAGCTATATTTGTTTGCGACCAGCTCAGTGCCATTACAGCAGACAATAAAGATGAGAGGTTGGAAATCGACATCATCAGTCTCTTCTTCTTCTTCTTCTTCTTCTTCTTCTTCATTTGGCCATCCTCTCTCCAAGTTGAAGGAACTAGCTATTATTTCTATTGAGGATATGGAATATATATCAGAAGATGTGCTGCACAATCTCTCTTCTCTTCAAGAGCTAAGTATTTCGAATTGCCGAAGATTGAAGGCTCTGCATCTACCTGATCAGGGGATGCATTCTCTTCAGAAATTAAGCATCTGGTGTTGCGGAGAATTAAGGTCTCTATCTGAATCTCAATCTCAAGGGATACCCTACCTTCCCTCTTTGCAAGAATTAGAAATCGATGCGTGCAGTGAAGAGTTAAGTGGAAGATTAAGAGGAGGCAAGGAGGCCGTAGAGTACTGGCCTAGCCTCAGACACATTCCAAATATTAGAATTGATGATTGTTACATTCAAAGGGAAGGTCGCTATGTAAAGGAGGAAAATAGCTAGCACCACATAATATGAGGTATTTGAGCTCTTCCTCTAATTTTGTTTTATTATTTGATTCCATACTCTCTTTATTTATGTGCTGCAAAATCTCTCCTCTCTTCAACAGCTAGCTATCAATTTGGGATTGTCCAGCATTTAAATCGTGCCTTGATGATTATGGCGATACATCTAAAATAAACTTGGTACATTCATAGTAATTTAATAAATTTCTTTTAAAAAATAGCTCTAAATTTTGAATTAAAAAATCGTGCCTTAATTTTGTTTAATTAATATTATTTGACATTTTTTATGGTAAAATCTAACTTCACAATAGGGAAGGAATGTATGTTCTTCTTGATGGCCACTCTAACAGTCTTACCGGTGTAGGTTATTTTCATTTGCACGGTCTTTGATGAAGCCGAAAATGTTATCGATCGATGTTGGTCTCTCTGTGGACTGCTGTCCTGCTGTCACAAGGACTAGTTTTGGAACCCCAGTACCTCCTGAAATGTTGGCACTCCACACTTTCAAAACTGAGCCAGAAATTGAAAGATAGGTAATTGACTTGTTTCTTACATATTTAATGTATAGATCAATTGGTTAGGCATGCTTTCCTTCTTTTACACATAATTTTTCTGGTATCAAACATGTGTGCTTTTTCTCTGCCTCTGTTAGTACTACTTGTAGTCCTTAAACTGAATAGGAAATTGATGATTTTGATGCCTTTCGTTGGTATGTAAGTTTATCTTTGAAGGTAATATCAGTGCTTTAATGTTAAGTTTGATAATTTTCAATGCATCAGTGTTATTTAAGGTTTTCATCCAATTTGGTCCTACTGCACATCATCCTGTTCCTCCAAATTCCTTTTTAATAGTTTCATTTGTGTTCCATTGGATTGCTCCAAAGCATCTTTGTTTGGACTTTTGATACACAATCATTTTCGGGAGCTGCAATTTTTGCAGGGTGGAGTCATGCCTCTCAGTCAACTCAGCTCGCCAACTAAATGCCACTCCTCCTGAAGAAGTAACTTCTCGTCTCTCCCATTTCTCTATTATTCTTTTTATATCTTTATGACTTATTTTAGATCTTTTGTTTAGTTTCCTAGAAGGTTAGAAATTTAAGAAATGCAATTGAGAAAATCAATTGAAAACGTCTACCTGTCTTATTAGTCTTAGGATTTTCAGATTTCCATCTGTTCTCTGTTTGGTTGTTGGGAAAATGGAGAGGATGAGGAAACATCTTTATTGAAAAATGTGAAGTCTAGACTCTATTATCTTACTGTTGCAGTTGCAGTGAAGAAGATAATCCAAGCTTTACATTCTGGTGATGGAAAGTCAAATCTTATCAGCAACAGTGTGGAAACTGAAATTTATTGCTCTTTTTGGTGTCTGTTGAAATAAACACAGTAATGGTTTTGCTTATTTTTATTGGTGTAGGTTATGTAGCAGGTGATAATGTGAATGATGGAACTGAAGGACAAGTAGCTTTGAACTATAAAATCAGTCAGCTCAAGCCATAGCCTTGCATGGATAAAATGCAGCAGGTGATGTTAGCAGGCATATGGCACTGGATTGGGGCTACCAAGAGACTAACATTGTTTTCATGTAGGTCATAGGCTTCCCTGGGCAGTCTGAGACTGAAGTGCTAATCCTGCTGTTACAAGAACTGGTTTTGAATCCCGATGGCACCCAAAGTATATTGAATCGGGTATACTTTATCTGGTCGAAAACCATTGTTAGAAAAATAACCCATATTGAGACTATGGACCTTAGCATCTTTCATATCAGAATTAGAGCCCCACATGAACTTTTTCAGCTATTTAGAATTTGCTTGGACAATCACTTTGTTGTCGCCATGTTTATACCATCTCAGCCCTCATGGCATCACTTTCTTTGAGAAAAAGCTTCTTTCACAACAACCTTTCTCTTTGATACTTGTGCAAACTTTGATAGCGTGGGGTGGATATGTCTAGTTTTGAAATATGATTGCTTGACAAACATTTCTGTATGCAAGTTTTTTTCTATTGGAAACAGATCCAGAGCATGTTATGATACTTTAATCGAGCTAGTTGATTTCAATGTCCTTGCTGCTGGATGTGGTTAACTTTCTCTTTTTCTTCCTCCAATTCTATTTATGTATTGAAGGACAATTTCTCATCTGTCGTTGAAAATAATTTTGACTCATATCTAACGTTCCTAGCAGGGCTCACCAGATCTTTTGACACGGTGGAAATGGAGATGATAGGTTAAGTTTTCTGGCTTATTCATTTCCTTGCTAAAATATGGTGGCGTAATGAACAACTTAACATGCGAGAGCTTCTGATTATACAGTAGCATGCTCGATCGTGTTAATGGGGCACATGAGGGAGTCGTTCAAGATGTAAAGCAAACAGTTTTCTCTGTAAGGTATGGATGTGATAAGCTTTCAATGGATACGAAATTGTTCTTTTCAGGGATTTCCTGTTTAACTAGCTAGTTTTCGGTGTCACGTTGTAGGTAATGATAGAAAGAACTTCGAAATTATGGAAGCAGGATCATGGAACTGGAGTGCAAGTAGTTCTGAACTTTGAAACTAGCTCAAGCCATAGCCTTGCAGGTCGACAAATGCAACAGGTGGTCTCTGCACAAATGTGGAAAATCAATGACGGTACAAGAACTTTCAGGTTTTTTTTTTGGTGTTCCACAACATAAATCAATCTTTTCTTCAGTCATCTCAAGTGAACTTTGACACCATAGGTTCTTGTTTGCGGGGTAAAAAGGAAAAGAGATGCACGAGATGAAGTTTGCCAGCTGAAACTTATTCTCCCAAGTTGAAGCTCAAAGAAAGGTTTCTTTTTTCATCGGTGTACTACCCCATGGAATGGATGAATCGGACATAGCTATCAATTGAAAGAGCACGAACAAGAATCCCTAGGCACTGATTGGTTCATTTAAGACTGCCAATGATTATGAATCTTGCTAAGCTAATCAAAGCATTGATAATAACCTGCTGCTGCCTGCTAGAGCATACAAAATCCATTCCTTTTGTTTTGTTTTCTTTCTCCTTTTCATGACATTTGACCATTTCGAATGTATCAAATTAGAATCCATTTGATCTAATATAATTTCTTTGCAAATCTATTAATCAAATAGAAAAGCATCATTCCACCAATTCGAATGATATCCCATAAAAGAAATGATTAAACTTTGAAAGATTGGGAAAAAAGAAAAGAGAGATATGCTTAGGCTTACTAGACCAGCTTCAAAGACAAGATAAGTTTGTCTCTGCAAGTCTGAAGAGCAAAAGACAAATTAATCTACGAGCAGTTTAACACCTTCTTTGCTATCTTCTTTTAAGCAAAGAGGCTGCCTGAATTACTACTCGAGGAAACAAAAAACAAAGAAGAAATTGAGGATGTATCAGCCTTACTACAGAAACCCGCCGGAAATAGAAGCCGGCGAAAAAGGTTGAGAAAGGTTGAAGGGGTTGTTTGGTATAGGGAAGCTGCATTCATCTCTATGGCACTGTTTATCAGCCAAAGAGCCAAACTCCAGCCCCATCAATTCATTTCATCATCGGATTACGATTAAAAAGCAACACAAGTAATAAACCCAGATAGGATGACTGCTACATCGATACCTTGGAAATAAGGATGAAGCCTCGGGCGGCCTGGCCAAATCCGAAACCCTAGCTTTGTCATGATGTTTGGTTTTGAAGGCCGTATATTTATAGGCCAATTTGGAAAACCCTTTTCAGTATTATTCAAAAGCGCGAATTCCTCCTCTGTCTTTTTCTTTACTTTCATTTTAAGCCTTTGCTTTCCTTTAATTTCATTTATTTCTCAAGTAGGGCCCTGTCTCAATGGTGGGTAACAAAGCCCAAAACCTGGTTTTTGGTAAAGCCCACTATGACACAAGTTGAGTTCTGTGTTAATTTATTTAGATGATAAAATGCCAAAATTTCCTGGGAATTAGGATGAGGACTGAGCAGGGAGAGGTATCAAGTAAATAAAATGATCCCTTTTATCATCAACATTTTCTTTTGTCTCTGCCAGGGAATCTATCAGATCACTTGAAGATGAAGGTTTAATATACTCTACAATTTATGAATTTCACCACAAAGCAACCTGATCGATGAAGTTCAAAGCCTTTTGGAATGCCAGCTACCATTCTGTGATGAATACTGTTGCTGGTTATTTCGTTCCTTCTTTTGAATCTAAACAGAACAGCCTGTAGATATTTATTTATTTCTTTATATCTTAGACAACATCAAAGTTAAGGGATCCGAACCTGTGCACTATCGCTAAACTATATATTATTGAATTTTGGGTCTGATTGATTGTTTAAAGCAAAGCAGAAAAAAGTAACAGTTGTTGAGTGAGGAGTGGTCAAGGAATTTGGAGACTGTGAAAGTGAAGTGCATGCATGTAGGCCCTCTATTTGTTGTTTGGAAGAGTTGGGAATCAGTTTTCCCATAAAGTAAAGCTCATGCATACTATGTGAAGGCAAGCATCAGCATCTCTTTCAGACAATTATCCATTTTTATACACCAGAATATAAAAAGTATAAGCAATACTCTGTTTTTGGTTTTTCATGCTCTGTTTCACGTTTCTTTCTCTGTAACTTCTTTTTTCTTCTTATCTTGGCCATGAACTGATATTGTTTACAGTAAGGAATAAAGAATTTGGTGTGGTTAATTTTGTAAAACAAAGAAAGGAATTACTAGTTTGAGTGCAGAGAAGTGAAGGGAAGGTATCCAATATCATTGTTTCATCATAGCTGAAATTTTTTAATAAAGTAAGGAACAATTATTATGCTGTCATTGATGTTTTAAAGCAAAGCAGGGAACTACTAGTTGAGTGCAGAGGAGTTAAGGGATAAAGAGATGATGATGAGAGTACGTTTAGAATCTCTAATAGCTTGAGTGTTTGGGACATTTTGGCATCTGTTTATCTATAAATAAACCAACGATTTATCTCTTGTTCTTCACAACTTAAGCCTTTCAGCATTCAAGCCAATCATCGATCCCTCTCAAACCAACATAATCAAAAACCTCAAACACATCCTTTCTTTCTTTTACTTTTTTCTTTCTTTCTTGCTGTTTGTGCTTCCCTACACACATTCCTTTTCAACACTCACCGAAAACAAAAAAAATGGCTGAACGTGTACTGTTCAATATCGCGGAGGAAATAGTAAAGAAATTGGGTCCCTTAGCTACCCAGGAGATTGCAATTTGGTGGGGACTCAACGGTCTGCTAAGCAAGCTCAAGAGCACGGTTGCCAGAATTAAGGCTGTGCTCCTCGATGCTGAGGAGCGGGTGCAGAAACCACACCATCAACTTGAAGACTGGTTCGCAAAGCTGCAGGAAGCAGTGTATGATGCTGAAGATTTGCTTGATGACTTTTCAACTGATGAATTGCTGCGGAAACAATTAATGTCCCAGAAAAAAATACGGAGGGAGGTACGTACTTTCTTTTCGGGATCAAACCGATTTGTGTATGGTTGTAAGATGGGTCATAAAGTTAAAGAACTTAGGGAGAGGCTAGATGGCATTTCTGAAGAGAGTGAAAAATTTCAGTTTGTTGTTCGTTCTGAGGAGAATGCTTCTTTGACTGTGGTTAGAGAGCAAACTACCTCCGCTGAACCTGAAAGGATTTTTGGGAGAGATGACGACAAAAAGAAAGTTATAAGCTTTCTGTTGAATTCCAACTATGATAAGGAGAGTGTTTATGTCATCGCAATAGTTGGAATGGGCGGGTTGGGAAAGACCACATTGGCTCAGCATGTTTTCAATGATGAGCAAGTTAAGTCAAATTTTGGTATAAAACACTGGGTGTCTGTCTCAGGTGTTTTAGATGTCAATAAGATTTGCAAAGATGTTGTAGGTAGAGATCTTGCTCGGTTAGAGGATCTGAAAAATGAGCTTCAGAAGAAAATTGAAAAAAACAAGTATCTTCTTGTGTTAGATGATGTGTGGGATGGTAAGGATGGTAAAGATGATGCTGAAAAATGGGATAGGTTGAAGGAGTTGTTACCACATGATGTTATAGGAAGTAGGATTATAGTAACCACACGTTCTCATAAGATTGCAAAATTCACAAGCACAATAGAACATGAGTTAAAAGGTCTATCAGTAGATGAGTCATGGGATCTTTTTAGAAAAAGGGTATTTCCTCAAGGTCAGAAGTCGGATCACGTAGATGAAAAAATTAGAAAAGAGATTGTAGGGAGGTGTTGTGGAGTTCCTTTGGTCATAAAGTCAATTGCGAGTCTCATGTCTTTCAAAGATAGAGCCCAGTGGTTGTCCTTTATTGTAAATGAACTTCCGAATAGGATTAGAGATGATAACATCATACAGACCCTTAAGTTAAGCTACGATCCTCTTCCTTCATACATGAAGCATTGTTTTGCATACTGTAGCTTATTTCCAAAAGGTCATTTGATAGATGTAAATTCATTGATTCAATTTTGGATTGCACAAGGGTTCGTTAGCTCTTCAAATTCAGGTGGTGGGAGTCTTGAAATTGCTGGTCTTAGGTGCTTTGAGGATTTAGTGTGGAGGTCGTTCTTTCACGAAGTGGAAAAGGATGATCTAGGTAACATACAAAGTTGCAAAATGCACGATTTTATGCATGACCTTGCAACGAAAGTCGCTGGTTTTGAGAGCATCAAGGTGGATTGTGGAGGAAATAGTACTAATGATTTGACTCGACATGTGTCATTTGACATGGAATTGGATTTGTCACAACAAATTCCAATTCCTTTGATTAGAGCAAAACAATCAAGAACACTTATTTTGCTGGATAGATGGTCCCATAAGTGGATTGAGGGGGCATGGGAGTCAATTTGTCGAGTCTTTAGGCGTCTACGTGTGCTTGATTTGCATGGTTTAGGAATTATGGAAGTGTCACCTCTCGTTGAAAAGTTCAAGCACCTTAAATATCTTGATCTTTCAAGTAACGGGATGGAGACACTTCCTAATTCTATCACCAATCTAATAAATTTGCAAGTGCTAAAGCTTAGTCGGTGTCAGAACCTTAAAGCACTACCAGGAGATATTCATAAGCTGATTAATCTTAGGCATCTTGAAAATAATGAATGTTCAGACTTGGAGTATATGCCTAGCGGGATTGGGAAATTAACTTGTCTCCAGACGTTGTCATGTTTTGTGGTTGCAAAAACTAGTCCTGAATCCAAGATGATTGGTGGATTGGATGAGTTGGGTAGGTTAAATGAATTGAGAGGGAGCCTAGAAATAAGAGTTAAGGGATATGAGAGGAATTCTTGTATATTAGAATTCGAGGAAGCTAAATTGATAGAGAAACAATATCTTCAGTCGTTGACCGTAGGGTGGTGGGTTGATTCAGCTGGTGATTCAGATACTGATTTGTGTGATCAAATGTTGCAAAGCCTCCATCCAAACCCGAATCTTAAAGAATTAGTGGTAGTAAAATATGGAGGTATGAGGTTGCCGAGTTGGCTATCACATCTCACAAATCTTGTTAAGATTCATCTAAGAGGTTGTGGAAGACTTAAGCATATCCCTCCCTTGGATGGAATCCCTTCTCTTGAAGAATTGAATATTTTTGGATTGAGTGATTTGGAGTACATAGATAGCGAGGGGGTTGGAGGAAGAGGAGTGTCGACGTTTTTCCCATCCCTAAAGAACCTTAGTATCAAGGACTGTACTCGGCTGAAGGGATGGTGGAAGAAGAGTGATGAGATTAATGACGATAGTGATGAGTCAACAACCACAACAGAAGAAGAGTTGATGATGCTCTCTTTTCCACGTCTTTCTTCCTTGTCAATAATCAACTGTCCTAAACTGTCTTCAATGCCATTTTTTCCAACTCTCGATGATCAGCTATATCTGGGGGCCACCAGCTCAGTGCCATTACAGCAGACAATGAAGATGAGAGGTTGGAAATCGACATCATCAGTCTCTTCTTCTTCTTCATTTGGCCATCCTCTCTCCAAGTTGAAGGTCCTACGTATGACTTTAATTGATGATATGGAATATCTCCCAGAAGATGTGCTGCACAATCTTTCTTCTCTTCAAGGGCTAATAATTTCGAATTGCCGAAGATTGAAGGCTCTGCATCTACCTGATCAGGGGATGCATTCTCTTCAGAAATTAAGCATCTGGTGTTGCGAAGAATTAAGGTCTCTATCTGAATCTCAATCTCAAGGGATACCCTACCTTCCCTCTTTGCAAGAATTACAAATCGATGGGTGGAGTGAAGAGTTGAGTGGAAGACTAAGAGGAGGCAAAGAAGCTGTGGATTGGTCTAACATCAAACACATTCCAAATATTATGTTTGATCGTTATTACATTCAAAAGGACGGTCGCTATGTAAAGGAGGAAAATTTGAGATGGTACTAGCTAGCACCACATAATATAAGGTATTTGAGCTCTTCCTCTAATTTTGTTTTATTATCTGATTCCATACTCTCTTTGTTTATGTGCTGCAAAATCTCTCTTCTCTTCAATTTGGGATTGTCCAGCATTTAAATCGTGCCTTGATGATTATGGCGATACATCTAAAATAAACTTGGTACATTCATGGTAATTTAATAAATTTCTTTTAAAAAATAGCTCTAAATTTTGAATTAAAAAAATTAGAGCAAATATCAGTAAAGGTATTTAATTGAACAGCTTACTTAATTTTGTTTAATTAATATTATTTGAGGAGAGAAATGTAAAACATGACATTTTTGGGGCTATCAGAATTAGAGACCCACCTGAACTTTTTCAGCTATTTAGAATTTGCTTGGACAATCACTTTGTTGTCGCCATGTTTATACCATATCAGCCCTCACGGCATCACTTTCTTTGAGAAAAAGGTTCTTTCACGACAACCTTTCTCTTTGATACTTGTGCAAACTTTGATAGCGTGGGGTGGATATGTCTAGTTTTGAAATATGATTGCTTGACAAGCTTTTCTGTATGCAAGTTTTTTTATTAGAAACAGATCCAGAGCACGTTATGATTTCAATGTCCTTGCTGCTGGATGTGGTTAACTTTCTCTTTTTCTTCCTCCAATTCTCTGAGCAATTTAGGGTTCACGGACTGAAGGATTGCGATGAAGTGATCCTTGACTCTCTGCAACAGTCTTCGAGCATGTGAGTTTTATTGACATTTCGATTTTCCCGTTTCCCCATGTATTTTCCTAGTGATTTTCTTTCTCCACATGCTTCTGACCAGTTCTCCTAGACCTTTCTATTGCTCTGTCTTCTTTACTGAACTTTGCTGCATCTTGATAGCAGGAAGGTCTGCGCATGCACGAACTTTGCAAACAGCTGAAACTTCATCTGGAGAAGATCAAGTAATCTCTTGCCTCCACCTCCCAACCCTTCCTATCTCGCTCTCTGCAGGCATCAAGTCAAGTAATTCTGTTATTTATGCTATCTTCATTTGTCTTTGGCAGAGAATCAATTAAATCACTTGAAGGTGAAGGATTGATATACATTACAAGACATGAATCTCACTATGAAGTAACCTGATGAAGTTTACAGTGTACAGAAACGTTCCTGGACTATGGAATTTAGAGGAGGATGATAGAGATCTGGTTTCTGGCCACTGGGTTATTAAGGTCATAGTGAATATCCATGACACTGCAATTGGAGATGAAAATCATGCCAGGCAATGGCGGTATGGTAAACAATACAACGTTCCCTGAGACATGATAAAGAGTTATCCAGAACAACCCTATAGATCTCCATCAAACACAGAGGACAGCCAAGAGTATGATGCACAGAGGAGTAGGTTTGAAATGACCTACATTCAGAAGGACGGTCGCTATGTATAGGAGGAAAATTTGAAATTCTCTATATTGGATTAAGGTACCCTTCCTTAATTTTGTTTTATTATTATTTGAAATGACCTTCATACTCTGTCTATTTATTAAAGTTTTCTGGCTTATTCATTTCCTTGCTAAACTATGGTGGCGTAATGAACTACTTAACATGCGAGAGCTTCTGATTATACAGTAGCATGCTCGATCGTGTTAATGGGGCACATGAGGGAGTCGTTCAAGATGTAAAGCAAACAGTTTTCTCTGTAAGGTATGAATGTGATAAGCTTTCAATGTATATGAAGTTAGTTGTTTTTTTTTTCAGGGATTTCTTGTTTAACTAGCTAGTTTTCGGTGTCACGTTGTAGGTAATGATAGACAGAACTTTGAAATTATGTAAGCAGAATCATGGAACTGGAGTGCAAGTAGTTCTGAACTTTGAAACTAGCTCAAGCCATAGCCTTGCAGGTCGACAGATGCAACAGGTGGTCTCTGCACAAATGTGGAAAATCATGAAGGCACAATCAATGACGGTACAAGAACTTTCAGGTTTTTTTTTTTGGTGTTCCACAACATAAATCAATCTTTTCTTCAGTCATCTCAAGTGAACTATGACACCATAGGTTCTTGTTTGCAGGGTAAAAAGGAAAAGAGATGCACAAGATGAAGTTTGCCAGCTGAAACTTATTCTCCCAAGTCAAAGCTCAAAGAAAGGTTTCTTTTTTCATCGGTGTACTACCCTATGGAATGGATGAATCGGACATAGCAATCAATTGAAAGAGCACGAACAAGAATCCCTACGCACTGATTGGTTCATTTAAGACTGCCAAGGATTATGAATCTTGCTAAGCTAATCAAAGCATTGATAATAACCTGCTGCTGCCTGCTAGAGTATACAAAATCCATTCCTTTTATTTTGTTTTCTTTATCCTTTTCATGACATTTGACCATTTCGAATGTATCAAATTAGAATCCATTTGATCTAATATAATTTCTTTGCAAATCTACTAATCAAATAGAAAAGCATCATTCCACCAATTCGAATGATATCCCATAAAAGAAATGATTAAACTTTGAAAGATTGGGAAAAAAGAAAAGAGAGATGTGCTTAGGCTTACTAGACCAGCTTCAAAGACAAGATAAGTTTGTCTCTGCAAGTCTGAAGAGCAAAAGACAAATTAATCTACGAGCAGTTTAACACCTTCTTTGCTATCTTCTTTTAAGCAAAGAGGCTGCCTGAATTACTACTCGAGCAAACAAAAAACAAAGAAGAAATTGAGGATGTATCAGCCTTACTACAGAAACCCGCCGGAAATAGAAGCCGGCGAAAAAGGTTGAGAAAGGTTGAAGGGGTTGTTTGGTATAGGGAAGCTGCATTCATCTCTATGGCACTGTTTATCAGCCAAAGAGCCAAACTCCAGCCCCATCAATTCATTTCATCATCGGATTACGATTAAAAAGCAACACAAATAATAAACCCAGATAGGATGACTGCTACATCGATACCTTGGAAATAAGGATGAAGCCTCGGGCGGCCTGGCCAACTCCGAAACCCTAGCTTTGTCTTGATGTTTGGTTTTGAAGGCCGTATATATAGAGAGGCCAATTTACGAAACCCTTTTCAGTATTATTCAAAAGCGCGAATTCCTCCTTTGTCTTTTTCTTTATTTTCATTTTAAGCCTTTGTTTTCCTTTAATTTCATTTATTTCTCAAGTATGGCCCAGTCCCAAAGGTGGGTAACAGCGCACAAAGCCTGCTTTTTGGTAAAGCCCGCTATGGCCCATCTCACCATCCGACAAATTGAATTTTGTGTTAATTTATTTAGATTGTAAAATGCGACAATTTCCAGGGAATTAGGATGAGGACTGAGCAGGGAGAGGGGTTAGGGTGAAGAATCAGAAATTAGGTTACAGGAAAGGAAGATAGGGGAGAGGAAGGCAGCATCCTCCGCTTATTTGGATTAAGGAAATTTCAGTTTTTCTTTGTTTAGTTTAAGGGAAAAGAGGTCATGATTACATTTAGGGTTAGGGCTGAGACAGTCATAAGAAAATCCAGGGGAAAGAGGTTAGGTTATGAACTTCAACTCTTAATCTTCTCAACATGATATGAATTAGAAGGTTTAAATGCGAGGATGACGACCAGCTACTGTTGATAGTCTTGCTAAGAAGAGCCCGTTTGCCTTTTCGAAATATACTAAAGGCTATTTCTACCATTGGATTTCTTCAATGGGATTCATCGACGTTGTTGCAAAGAACTTTCATCTACTATAACATGGTTTTACAATTACATTCTCTATGTTTTAAAAATAATATGAATGGAGGGAAAAATAGTATAACAACTGAATGAATATTAGACAACACATCGATGAAGATGTATCTTACTTGGAACATAATACATATATTACTTGCTGCTATTGAATGATCGAGAAGACTTTTCATACCGAAGGCAATTTTCTGCTAACCATGCGAAAACAAAAATGTCAAGGATCTTCCCTCTTGACTCTTCATGGCTCCAAATTTCTCAATCTATCATCTTTGTATAGGTAGAAGTTAAAACGCTTGACGAGCAAGGCACTTTGCAAATACGAGAGTAGCTGCCAGTGGCACTCATCACAAATTTCTACAGCAAGCAAACCTGAATTCACCCGGCATTTGGTTCAGAAGGCAATTCAAAGTAAATGAGGGGAAAAGAACCAAATAAAAAAATAATAATTTGTACAGTATAAAAGCATCTGAAAGGAAGATTGCTTCAGTAATAAAGCAGACAGGTTGTTGCAACTTGCAAGTTCAAATGCCCACAAACAACCTGCAGATCGACTGGTTTCGTAATTCAAAGATTTTTTCCGAGGACAACGAGGAACCTAGGCCTTTTATTATAGGCCAAATAATTTTTATTGAGAGCAACAGGCTGTCAAGTAGACAGCAAGTTAAGCATCAAGAAACAAATTGATGAAATGACCTGTGGCCATAACACAAAGCGAAAACAAGAAAACATGCCCAGGAATAAACAGCAAGAGGGCTTTAGTTACAGAAATACTGAACCAAGGCAATCAGTGGCTCGAAGAAACATACCTAAAGTTTATAGAGCCATCAAGTGCCATCATCTAGATCATCCATCTCGTCAAGGATAACATACTTCGCTGCAACATTTTTTGGGGATGACCCAGCCAAGTCATTTTCACTTGTTTGACCCTTCTGTAGCTTTTGGTACCTACACAGGGTGGCAAAATTAACACCATATAATCATGAGCACAACCACATTGAACTTCAGACATGAACATGAACTACTAAGTTGTGGCTTTGGTAGGTTAGATTCTACGATGTGGACAGCAAGTGAAATTTAGGATTTATGAAGCTGCAGATTTAGATTCTTCCAATCTTTGCTTTAATGTTGTATGACTTGTTATGGAACTTAACTGTTAAAAAGTACCGCAAACTGAGTATCAATGAACTGCAAAGACACTAAACGGTTTCAAATCTGTCCTACCATCCCTTCTCTCTACTTCAAACCGATAGAACATCCTCTCTTTTATTTGCTTGTTGACATTGGTCCACTAATAAACATTATTTTGTATGTTACTTGACATTTATTGGGGCCAAATATGATGCACACTCCTGCTGAAAACCTCTGACACTTACCCCTTAAGCACTGATCTCTATTTCGCTACTCTCATGCCAAGCATAACCTTAATAGCAAATTCAAATTTCATCCCAAAAAAATAAATAAATAAGTAAAACAAAACATTGAAAGTCTGAATGACTAAAAGCACCAAAATGGCCTTTTTTTTTTTTTTTTTTGGTGCTGACATGAGCATTTTGCTATCTAGTTGAACTGAACGCAGACCCACCTGCTTATAGATATGAGATCAATGACTTAAAAAGACAGATAGATGCCAAGAGACTTATTGAGTTCAGTCTGTAAAACCTAAGGAATTAAAAAAAAGTCCAAAACCAACAAAAAGCCACTAGATTCCTAGATCTGAATGCCTAATTTCAGTCATTACCACGATTCAAAGATTTTAAACTTAAAAAGAAAGAAGCAATCATGCAAACAAATTTCAGTAACAGTAAATTATTTCAAACCTATGCTGACAGCAGACTTACTTGTACCAATTGAATAAGCTGACACCAACCATAATAATCAAAAGACCAATACCTTTCAACCAGGTAAATTCATCATGGAAATAAATAACTGCAACCTGAACAAATATAGAAACAACCATAAGCAGATCAAAGGCAGTAGCAGCCTTCCAAAGAGCAAATACTATCAAACTTCAAAAAATATTCAAGATCTCTTAAAGAGAATGTCAAGGCAACGATCATCAACTTTCATAAAACTTAAAAAGGAATCCCACTGAAATATGGAAGTAAGCTTCTTAAACTAATGGTAATACAAGTTTTCTTCAAAGCATGGTGACAACACAATATAAACATGAAAGGTGCACAGCTAACAGATATCACTGCAGGATCCTACAGATATCTTGATCCATGGTTCATCCCGAGCAGTTAATTAACAAAGTTCCCTCTATGACTATCAGAAAAAATGTAATATTCAGAAGAATGGCTCATCAAGGAATAGCCTCTAATAATAATAAAAATAAAGCATGGTGTTCAATCCAGCATGATAGGCTACTGAGAGATTTCATTGTGCAAAAACTTGAAAGTCAAGTGGATGAGGCTGACACATTGATGGGTGTCTTCGGGATTAAGTTTTTAGGACCGTCATTCATGCCTGACTGTGATTCTAGAGTGCTCTTGGAATTCCAAAACCATGATTTTTTGAAAAAGGCAGCCTGCACCCAAAATTTGCTTTTTCACTCCAAACCTTTTTTTAACAGGACCCCAAACATGATCCATGCATTAGTGTATTCATAGATCAACATTTTGCAAAATTAATAGGTGAACAACGGTTCAGAAATGCTTATACCAATATAGTCACAGCCTCCTTCACAACACCGGCTATTGTCACTGTGACGGCACTAGTTACTGAAATAAGAACAAACTCCGTTAAAACCTGCAACAGAAAAAACATTTTAATTTCCCTGACAGAAACTCGGTCCAAAAGAAGTGGAAAGACTCGCGATTTGTGAATATTAAATAATAGCTGAAGTGAAATAGAAAACTAATTTCCAATCTTCAAGTAATTCATACAATTACAAGGCAACTCTCCACCTCCCTCCCTTGAAAAAATGAAACTCGAAAAACCCCAAGACCCCCAAAAATTCAGAAAGAAAAGAAAAGGGAAGATTTGTACCATGAAAAAAGCAAGTGTTCCCCCAAAAAACATGAGCAGGCAACTCCGAGCAACATGCCATGAATTATCGAAGTAACTACTTTTGCTAAATTCATGCCATGGATCTAAGACAAGAGAAAGAAGACCGGTTGAAATTGCCATCACTGGAGTCACATAGCTCATCAATGTAAGTGGATTTTTCAAACCTGAATACATCCCAAAAACACCATTATGTTGTAGAAATAACAGTATAACACTTGCGCTAAAAAGTTAAAAGGGTTACTAAAAAAGGCCAGAAAATTATGATATAGATTGCGCCAGTCAGTATAAAGTCTGGTTATCAGACTAAGGCAAATACTATTTTTTCTACATGCACAAGAAAACCCAAAACTGAATTACTACATTAACCAAATCCTTGCCAAGAAATTGACCCATCTGTATTAATAATATATCAATGTAAGGAAATTTCATATTTACCTATGCATATCAATTTTATATCATGTTCCATATCCATATCTATGGTCTTACCTTCTGGCTTTTGCACCTGCAGGCAAACAATGTTTGTAGGACTAGATTCTAATGATACGGTGAAGTGACCGTAAATATACTTGTCAAACAAGACAAATATTTAACTAAAATCTCTAAAGGTCATTATTAAAAATCATTCCTCACAAATACTTATCTGCAAATATGTAAGATAGCTGATTTGTGCCGCAAAAAAAAATTTATGATAAAGATAGCAGCTAAATACAAATAGCATTCAAGATTACTATAAAAATGTATAGAAGAGGAAAGCAGAAAAGCACCTACCATAGGTTTCTTTCTTTTCGGTTTTGATCCATGCAACGCCAAATTGGGAAATCAAATTTCAAGGGGGAAAAAAGGTAAGAATTTGAAATTTATGATAAAAAATTATTGGTTTTCAGGAAATACTTTAAACCATGTATCATGTATAGGAACTGAATTAGACATACCTGCAAGAGAATCTGAGTCATGCACCAGCGAAATCCAGACATAACAGCAGCAAGCATAACAAATACAAAGCCCCAAAACTCAAATTCTGTCTCTCTGGCAACTGGATTTGAAATATAAGAATAAATGAGAAAAGAAATTGAAATGATAAATACTGAGAAAGAAATCCCCATCAGAAACAGAAAAGATGAACTTCAGTGGTACAAACACTAGTGATGACAATTACAATTCACTAAAAGATAAAAAGGATCAATAGTACTATTATCATCATCTACGTCACTTGGACTAGCTTATCAGCATTGGATACAGATACATGTCGAAGTGTTGACTTAGCAAAAGAAAAAAAAACTCCATTTTATGATAAGAGAACATTTACTTGTCAACTGGATATAGGTTCCAATATTCTTATAAATCAATAAGCAAATGGAGTATCAGATAGTTCTACCAATCAATTTGCTTCAACTTAACTTTCTTCAATTGGGTAGCAAATCTTGTTGCAAAAACAAGAAGTAAAGTATTATCATAAAAAATATTGATGTAAAATAAATAAGTTTAATTTACCATAAGCTTTCAGAGAACCACCCACCCCCCGCGAATAAAGTCAAATTGTGCTAAACTATGACATAAAGACATACAGCCTTGACAATCTCCACTAACAGTTTGAAAATTTTCTGTTTATCTTGAATCAAGATTGGTGTGACCTTTGGAAATAGCACCAAGTCCATGTGGCAAGGCTCATCATTCTCTCATCTTTGGACAAAGTTAATACCACATGATAATACCATTAAATCCCATCCCTAGTGACTGAAACTGCCATGGCCACCTGCTTTAATTGCTGCTATCAGTCATCATCATGTGACCACCAAAACCATAATGATTTTTGCTAACTGAAACTTGGTGCGGCTCACACAACTTTAAACGATGAGGCAACTCCCTCTTTTATTCTACCTTGAGGTCAGCTAGCATCATAGTTAAAGAGGAAAACAAAATCTTTTTCCTATGCAGTTTAGCAGAGGGTGCGAAAGCAAAGTCCTAAACACTGCAACACTACTTCCAATTTCTCATCAATAACTTAGCCTAATATGTTGCCATACAAAGCCTGATAGAAGATAGCCCACAAATATTTTTTCTCTAAAAAAAGTTCGCACTGAATGATTAATTAAAATTAAAGATGATGAAGTTATGTACCTGTTAATAAAATTCCGATAGAGATTACCATCATGATACCAAAAAGTTTAATGCTTGGAGACTCCAATCTTCCAAAAAAAGAAAAAGAAAATATAAAATTAAACATCAGAATATGCAAAAGATCTTATGATTGATTTTCCACAGAGCATAAAAAAGGAGTATGAACGAATAGATGAGACTTAAATACAATAAAATAAAGTGGCATGATATAAACAGTGATGTTAAAAAAAATGTGTCATGAAAGAGACATCATATCACATTAGAAAGAGGTGTAAAATGGTCAACAAAGAAAGAAAAAAATAAACAAATGAATTTCACTTGATGAATTACAGTTCAGCTAATTTGTATATGACTGCACTGTACTCAATTATATGCTTGTGTTCTTAGAAGCATCTTGGAGGTACCTTTTTTTGACGAATTTAATTACAATCTACCAATTAGACAAAATAGTAAATGGTTCATAATGCTAAAACATGGATGCTGGCACCATATCATAATTCGTTATGGTAGATATGTTCACAAGCCTATCTAAAACATGTTCTAGTTCACAAGCATTATCTATATATTAGACACTTGAGTAGGTGTTCCTAAATCTCTTTGCATTTTGGCTAAATTGTAAAATACCACCCTGAACTTGAGCGAAAAAACAAATAACCCTGAACTGAAAAACTCTCACTGTACCCCCTAAACAATATGATTTTTTGAATGTGCCCTTTCTTTTAGGTTTCGTTGAGAAATTAACAGAAAAACACATAAAAAACCTCCCATTTCCTATCCTTTTTTCTACCAACCTAGGAAAACATGTTTGCTAATAGAGAAAGGAGAGGAATTGAGAGGATTTTTAAGGGCCTTTCCATCAATTTCTCAATTAAATCCTAATAGAAGGGACAAATGACAAAAAAAAAAATCATATTTTTAGGGGGCAAAATAGGGGTTTTTTGAGTTCAGGGGGTTATTTTGTTTTTCCGCTCAAGTTCCAGGGCGGTATTTTACAATTTAGCTTTGCGTTTTTTTAACTATCAATGCACGTGCTAATGGTATAATTCTTTTGGAAAATGGGCGGTAACTGGTAAGTGAAGAATGTTTTTCCCCAAAAGCATTCTGTCTTTTATACAAAACATATTGAGGGTCATTTTTTGTTAAAAGTAAAGATTAAGCATCAAATTCGCATTCAGACTTCATATACTACTCCTTCAGCTCCACAGTAAGTGTCCCGTTTTCCAAAATTTTATAATTGGGAGGTTCATTTCCACAAGTTCTTGGCCTACTTCCATGATACCACATCTGATTTTTAGTTATTCTGCATCCAATTTCTATATTGTTGTGTGGAAATGGGCAATTCATTCATGGAAGTGCGCCGTTGCTTTCTTAGTCATTATCAACAACTAAAACAATTCAAGATACGCATCAACCTTTTGTTTATATGGGTTGAAGATTATACAGTACTGGCATTCTGGATGATAGACTAATGACGAGGATATTTCAAAATTTGTTCACAGTCTTTAATTTTAACTCAGCATTTGTAGGTAGTACAAAGTTCAGTCTTGGCATATAGCTTTTGACCTTATATATGGGAGGCACCCAGGTTCTTTCTAAAATAGAAATTCACTCTTGTTCTGAATGAACTATGTTAAAAGAAAAAGAAAAAAAAAAACAAGAAGAAGAAGAAGAAGAAAACAAAAGACTCCTTAATTATTCATTGTTCTTTTATTAGCTGGGCAATAAGAAGACTCCTTAATTAATGAGAAAAGGTAAGAGTTAAAAACAAATAGAGCTATTTCACTAAAAATTTAGAACTGGATGATGAGAAACTGATTATAGCAAAAATAACACAAGTCACATAAGATAATTGTATTGGTAAATAAGCTCAACCGACAAGAAATTTACCTGAATGCAAAAGCAAATAGAATGAGAAATATAGGAGCTGCAGATTTACACTACAGACAGAAAAATAAAAATTTTGAGTTAGTAGCATAGCCTGTCACAAGAAAAAAAATTACTAGCACAGACTTTGTATATTGCAATAAAGTAGAGAGAGCATAACTAACCATTGTGGCAAATGTAACAGAGATGAAAACAAGGGATACGTTGCTCAAGTTAACATCGAATGCAGTTCCGAGAGCTGTTGGTACAACTGTGAAAGGGAAAGTCCATCTGTAGCATTAGTTGATAGAAAAGTTAATTGACAAGTTATATAGAATTTCACGGCAGACCAAATAGAAAACTTAAAAAAAAAAAAAAAAAAAAAACAGGAGTTGGAGAATATTCTATAAATTAAATAATAAAATCCATAATATCTGACAAATCTGAATAGCTGATGAAATTGTTTAATTGAAATTTTATGCGGACAATCGTATCTCCCATTGTCTAGTACTCTAGTATTACTCCTTATTTGCATAATCATATGATTCACATGAGACAAATCTAGAAGTACATTAGAATTCTGGCTTTGGATATTCTCAATATAAATAAGCCCAACCAAAGACTTAATTTATATAGCGCTTTTGCTTCAGAAACTAATGGATTTTAAATCAACACAGATTTTCATTGTAAATAAACAAGAGGGCAGTCCACTGAATATTTTCTTCTTATTAAAGATGAAACGTAATTCAGAAAGCAGCACTTATCTACATGAAACTGCCCGCACCTTTTGAGACACCAACTTATCTTTAATTTACAATAAATCAACTCTAGCCAAAGATAATATCTTGTTCGGTACGCAGAGGATACATCCTATTCACCGATAATCAAAACAAAAGGGCTTTGCAATCTCACTGGAGATTAGCTAAGGAAACTTACTCAGAAGCCCCTAGACAGAGAACTATAAAGACACTAGGGTTTATCAAGGGTCAGTTAATTCTTATACCAAAATCTTAATTCATTCTATCATGAATAAAAATAAAAGCATAGACCAATCAACAGCTTTTCCAGCCATTTTACATCCCATTTTCTAACCTGCAAAAAATTTAAAATCCCGAAGGGCTATCAGACTCCATGGAATTCTTAATTCGAAATCAATGACTTTCTTAACTGGGTTTAGCTGTTAATGTACATTAAACCCTACACATCATTTGCAGAAGAAAATACCTAAACAGTACAAATTTCTTTCCCAAAGGATAAAAAAATTAATTAAAGAAAGATTAAAATGTAATAAACAGGGAGGTACCTCTTATAAAATAATCCCTCCACGACATAGCAACATTCGGCCGAAATCTATCAGACCAATACCAAGTAATAGCCGTAGATAAAACAGCTTGCATTGAGAAATGGACCGTATTCATCAACAATGGAGCTGGAAATCTCCCCATATGATCTCCTAACAGAGTTTTATTATACCTGATTAATTACACAAACAAATACCAGTAATTAAGAGGAGGAAAAAAACGAAAATAAATAAATAAATAAGATGAAGAAGAAAGACTTACAAGGTTAAAAAAGTGCTGAAAGTGTACCAAACAAGAATAAAAAACAAAGTCTTTAAAATATCAGCTGTAGATACAGGAGGAGGAGGAGGAGGAGACTTCTTAGACGACATTGAATGGATGGCGATGTCGATGCCATTGATATCGGCATCGTCATCATCTGCTGCCGAATTCCTGGCGTTTTCAATGTCAAAAGGAACGTACTTGTCTTCTGAATCATGACTCCCTCTGTTTCTGTTTTCTAAATTACCACCATTCAACTCCATACTCGTTCTTGTAGATCGATCGATCTTATTACTTACTCAAAATCGGTCAGAATTTGGCGACTCAGCCATCTTCGTCTTCCTGACTCGGAGCAGAAAAGGAGAGATCTGGAAATGGAAATCAAATCTCCTTGTGCTGCGTTTGGCTAGTGAGAAATATAAAAAAAAAAAAAAACCCACGAGCGCGAGCACAGGCACAGGTACTTTTCTTTTTTCTTTAATTCCCTGTGTTTGGAGTAAAAGCAAAGCCTCTACCTAAAGTTGTGTTTGGTCATCAATCAATCCATCCATCAGGTAAACGGTCCAATTTATTGCAGGACAAAACTCGAATTAGTCCCCCAACTATAACTTTATTATTAATAAAGTTCTCAAACTATCAATTTATTTAATTGGTTACTAAAGAATCATATATTCAGGAATGGTAATGGATCGGGTTAGGGCCGAATTTGGCTCCACCCATTTCTGATCTAGATTGTCTAAATCCATCAATTGCCAACTCTGGATTCAATTAGATTGAATGAAAGGCTTTCTTCACTCGACAGGTACTTGATCTCATTAGTTTTTTATTTGATTTAAAATCAATTTTACAAAAATAAAATTTTAGTTTAAAAACAAACTATAATTTCGTTCATGAATCATAAAAGCCATAAAAATGGAATATAAACTTCAAATCTTTTCATAAAATCATATGTGAATTATAAAATAAAAATGAATGCATTATTTAAAAAATTACAATTTCATAAAAAAATTATTAAAATTCACATCGACATTCACATTTAGCTCTAGTTAAATCGGATCAAATTTTATCAATTTATAATTTAATTAGATCTAATTAGATGACATCGAATACTTGATAGATTGAATGAAATTATCTTTACTACTATTTAAGGGTCTCTCTTTTAAAATCTTCTCCCACTTTTATGATAGAATTCAAACTTTTATCTTCATTTTATTACATAATATAAGCAATTTTGAAAGGAAAAAACAATAATGGACGTTGACAAAGGAACTTAGTTGAGAAAAGTTATAATACTTTTGTAGACCTAATTAAAAACATTGATAGTTTGGAAACCTATCTGATAATTAGCAAATAATTAGAGGACTAATCTCCAACTAACAAACGAGCTTTTGCTTCTAGGCTGGCTGCTTGCATAAGAAAGACATTGTTATTTATGGGATTCACATGGCACATCGGAGACCAGACCTGCACGCCTAGCATCAGTTTTTGCTAGAGTAAATTACGAATTTGCCACTTACTAGAATCCAAATAATTAGTTTTTTTTTCATAATTTAAAAAATTAATTATTTAATTTTTTTTGTTCAATATTGATCACTAGTAAATTATTTAGTTATTCTTATTTTAAAAGCTAATTATTCCATCCGAATCATTTCAGTTATTAAATTATAAATTAGAAAAAACTAGATTATTAGTTTTTAAAATAAGATGGAATAATTAATTATTTTCTAACAACAAAAGGGACTGGTATTTGCTCAGTTTCAGCTCTGGATGCCTAAAACCCTTTGCCATACGGTGACGTTCTTCTGACGCTAATTTTGACGTCGAAGGGACAAGAAAGGAAATTAAGGAAAAGGACTTGGTCTGCATGCATGCTATGCTGACAAACTTGTCGTCCTTAAATATGATCCGTTAAATTAACAGAAAAACCAATTTCGTCCACTCGTAGTTTTTTTTTTAAATTTAGTCATCGTACAACTTTTTTCATTAATTTCATTCTCGTAGGTTACATGTTACGGTAGCAAGTACCCCTTCAGTTGAACCCTAAGGCAGATGCCATCTGCCAACTTTCACCACAGATAGGTGACATGTGTATGTAGCAGAAAAAAAAATGCATAGGAGATAGAGATTATTAAAATCGGTGGAATGTTAAAAATAAAAAGTTTACCTTGAAAAAAAAAAACCAAATCTTTAAAACCATGAATTATAAAACTAAATTGAAAAAATAAAAAGAAAAAAGCATACTTAATCAAAACACAAGTCAAATCTAATCAAAACCGTTGAAGCCCACAAAAAAAAATAAAAAAGGCTAGTTAGACTAGTCGGTCCAGGTATTGAATCATTTGTAGAAAAAAAAAAAAAGGTAAAGAAAATGTAGCCTTTTGGTACTATTTTTCAAGAAACTATTAGGATGCATCAGATAGATATGACTAGTTGGATATTAGTGTTACGTTGCGGATAGATAACTATTATATTCATAGGGTTAACAATTCGTATGATGTAATGCGAATAGAAAGTTTTATTTTTGATGATTAATATAAATCGAATCTATAAATAGTTAATTTCTAACGAAACCAATGATATATATACACACACACATATATACATATAACGGATTCGAGTATATAAAATAAATAAAAAAATATAAAACAAAACCACCTAAATTGTAGAAATATATTAAGTCAATATATTAAAATAAAAACTACAACAAAATTAGTTCGATAAATTCTAAATAAATACATATAAAAAAATAAAACTTGTAAATTTTTTTAACACATTATTATTTAAAAAAAATGAGTCAAACTATCTAAAACATACATTTACCTCTCTCTCTCTCTCTCTCTCTCTTTATATATATATATATATTTGTCCGCGTAAAACACTCATTTAAAATATAAAAATAATTTATTATAGAAATTATAATGATATGTTTTTTAAAAATAAAATATTGACATTCTAAAATTTTATTCCAAAATTCATATATTAAAAAACCAAATTTATTAACAAATAAAATTATAAAAAAAAATTTAATGAGAATTTTAATAAGAAACAAATAATTGAAGAAATAAATTTTAAACAAGTAAGAATAAAATAATTAGATATATATGTTAACATCAATGTCAAATATATAATTAATATTGATTCGGAGACATTAAAAAATTAATAATATATAGGTTTTCTTTTTCGGTGAAGGGACCAATTATATATGACCGCTTAACTTGTCCAACATTTGCCGGAGATCCAGTTATGCTATGACAATATGTACATTATCTTAAGGATTTCCTTTTGCCTCTCGATGATACAATCCTAAAACACATTAAGATTTAAAATAATTAGCCAATTTTTTTTTATATATAATGAGATTGGTGGCCGAGCTTTTAAAAGTACAAAATAAATTATAGGAAAAAAAATAGAGTAGAGTTGCGTTTGGTTAGTGGGTGTGTATCATACTTAGCGTACTCGTAGTATATAAACTAAATAAAAATATATATAAAAAAAACCCACTTAAATTATATGGAATATGTCGAAGTGAATATATTTAAATAAAAACTACTATAAATTTGGTTTCAATAAATTTCGATTATATATATATATATATACCGATTATTATTTTAAAGAAAATGAAGTCAAATTATTTAAAACATAATTTTTAGCTTTTTCTCTCTCGTTATAATTTATATAAGCAACAACACCATTTTTATATAAAAATCATAAAAATAATCAATCTTATAAATTATAATAATGTATCTTAAAAAATAAAACAATCATGTTTCAAAATTTTATTTCAAAATTCATATATAAAAAAAAATTATTAACAAATTAAAAAAGAAAGGAAAAACTAAATCTTAACATACTCAACCCATTAAAAAGAAAGGGGAAAAAAAAAAGGAAAGCTAACCGAAAAAAAAAAAAAGCTACGAGTAATGGGACCGTGAAGGATGCTATAGCAATGGGACTGCGAAGGACCAGTTCAACGTACCCAAGCCTTTAAGAAGGAAAAAAGACACAAGGCATGAAAAAAAGAAGAAGAGCGAATGTAGCATGGACAGGTGTCACCCGTAGTTCTTTTAGTTTTTTTTTATATATATAATTCTCACACTACGTCGAAGTCGGACAACCATTATATACATAGAGTTAACTATTTACATGGCATGATGTAAGTAAATGTTTTGTTTCGAAGATTAATTTAAATCGAATCTATATATTAAACGAAGTTATTTGATTTATATATATTCATTAACAAAATAATTTATAATATTAGTATAAAATATTTGTATTTGAATAATTAAGAGGTCGTTTGAAAACATTAATTAAATTATTTTATTTAAAAATATAGATTTTAGAATATGAAAAAAAATTGAAGTTATGTGTGCGGATATAATTAATTTATAACAAAACTATATATATCATACTTGATAAATTTAGAGTATATAAAATAAATATAAACAAACCCCACCTAAATCGCATAGAATATATCAAAGTAAATAGATTTAAATAAAAACTACAATAAAATTAGTTTCAAAAAATTCGATTATATATACATATAATCAAATAAAACTTATAAATTTTTTAACTAATTATTAATTTAAAAAAATAGAGTATAATTAATTTTTTAACCGATTATCATTTTTTAAAAAACTTAAGTCAAATTATCAAAAATACATTTTTAGCTCTCTCTCCCACTCATAAGAATTTATATACGACGGAACTATATATATATATCACTTAGCGAGACTCGGAGTATATAAAATAAATAAATAAAATATCAAAAACCCACTTAAATTGCATGGAATATATCAAAGTGAATAGATTTAAATAAAAACTTATATAAAATTAGTTTCAATACATTTTGATTATATATATATATATATTACTTAGTAGACTCGAGTATATAAAATAAATAAATAAATATAAAAAAAAACTCACTTAAATTGCATGGAATATATCGGAGTTAATAGATTTAAATAAAAACTACTATAAAATTGGTTTCAAAAAATTCTAATTATATATATATATATAATCAAATAAAAAGCTATGAATTTTTTAACTAATTAATAATTTTTCCCTTTAAAAAAAGGAAAAAAAGGGAGGCCGATCGTTAAAAGGAAAAAAAATGGTACTCGCTACAATGAATGACAACCTAACCCTCTTTTTTCTTTTAAAAAAAGGAGGCCAGCCAAAAAAAAAAGAAAAAGAAAAGAGGCCAACCCGGAAAAAAAAGAATGACAAATTCAGCCCTTAAAAAAAAAAAAAAGGAGGGGGGGTAACCCTTTAAAAAAAGAAAACAAAAGGACTAATTAATTCATCTCTCAAAAAAAAAAGGGACCAAGAAGCAATAAAAAATTGACGAACATGTATAATAAGTCTAGAGCTACACTGAATGAATAGTATCACATGCACTTCTTTTAGTTTTTTTTATAATGTGAATTCTTTGAAGAAAAATGTGAAGGAGTCAAGTGGTCAATCAAATGTTAAGCATATTCTAATACTGACTTAGTCTATAAAACGATAGACTTAATTTTAATTGATATAAAAACTACGTGTGTGTGTGTTTTAGTTACGTGTTCTATTTAATTAGTTGGGCTCCGATAGGATAAGTGCATAAAAACTTTTCTAAAGAGGCAAACATTTTGGCTTTTCTTTCTTCCTTCTATTTTTTGTACATAACATTATCTTTTTCCTTTTCTCTTCCTTCATTGCTAATTTGAATCACAAATATATTTTTGGTACGGAGGAGAGAGATGGAATCTGAACTACAATAGGATAGGTGGACAAAAACTTTTTTAAAGAGGCAAACATTTTGGTTTTTCTTTCTTCTCTTCGTTTTTGGTACATAACATTATTTTTTTCCTTTTCTCTTCCTTCGTTGCTATTTTAAATCCCAAATATATTTTTGGTACAGAGAAAAGAGACAGAATCTCAGCTATGGTAGGATAGGTGCATAAAAACTTTTGAAAGATGCAAACGTTGTGGCTTTTTAATTAGTCAGGCTTCGATAGGATAGGTACATAAAATTTTTTTTAAAGAGGTAAACATTTTGGTTTTTCTTTCTTCCCTCCATTTTTGATACATAACATTATCTTTTTCCTTTTCTCTTTCTTTCATTGCTATTTTTAATCACAAATATATTTTTGGTATAGAGGAGAGAGATAGAATTTGAGCTACAGTAAGATAGGTGCATAAAAACTTTTTTAAAAAGACAAACATCTTGGTTTTTCTTTCTTCCCTTCATTTTTGGCACATAACATTTTCTTTTTTCCTTTTTTCTTCCTTCATTGCTAGTTTGAATCACAAATATATTTTTGGTATGAAGGAGAGAGACGAAATCTGAGCTACGATAGGATAGGTGCACAAAAACTTTTTTAAACAGGCAAACATTTTGGTTTTTCTTTCTTTCCTTCCTTTGTTTTTGGTACATAACACTATCTTTTTCCTTTTATCTTCCTTCATTACTATTTTGAATCACAAATATATTTTTGGTACAGAGGAGAGAGACAGAATTTAAAGCCTTAAGAAATAGATGTTATTAGCATTACTAGATGATTCAAAACTGAAAAGAGATTAGGAGTGTGCATATATATATATATATATAAGACAGAATCTAAAGCCTCAAGAAAGAAACAGATGTTATTACAATTACTAGATGATTCAAAACTGGGAAGAAATCAGTAGTGTGTGTGTGTGCATATATATAAAGCCTTAAAAAAGAAACAGATGTTATTATAATTACTAGATGATTCAAAACTGGAAAGAAACCAGAAGTGTGTGTGCATATATATATCCATGTAAGGAGCTTAAAAAAATAATTTAGCTGTGTTTTTATCGTTTCATCTTCGCATTTTTTATTTTTTTATTTTGCAACAAAATATATTATTCAAACTATTTTACGAATATATATATATTGCCCATGTGAATAGTGGACTTACCATTTCATTCCATCATGTGATCAATAGATTTATCAATTCATCCCACACTAAGTTCGTGGACATGAAAATTTTAATCTTTACAAACTAATTTTGAAAAATACTTTTAATACCAAGGAAAAAAAATCTTCCCATACTAATAAGTTTGGAAAGCGTAGAAAACCATGCTTTTTTGCCATTTCAACCTTTGCCCTTGAAATTTTGTACTGAGATTGCCTACTTCCAATTTTCCCTTCGCTTACTTCGCGCCTCGAATCTCTCGCAACAAACGTATTCTTTTCCTACGGCTCCCATCAATCATGAGTTTACTTTCCCTTCAGAAGTAGCTCAGTCATACACTTTCCACTTATCTGGCACAGAACGGTTATTGTCCATATCCATTAACACCGTGCGAGTGACGCAACTTCGACTCAGATTAACTCAACGTCTACTCAGCATGATGACATAAATGTGAAAACTGGTTTTTTATTGGATGAGAATGTTAACATATTGGAAACGTGCTAACATCCTCTTTCCACCATTTCCATAATCTTACCACCGGCCCCTTACCGTTGATTTGGAGTTTTTGAGATTAAAAATCTTTTTGCCTTTTTTTAATTTAATTAAGAATACTTTCTCTACCACCGTCCCATTTAGAAAAAATCTGTATGCCCCCAAACATATATGTTAAATCAAATGAAATAAATTTTTTAAATACATGGACATCATGCCATACCATATATTTGAAAAATTATTCTAAATAAAAATATAAATTTTTTTCAAGACAATAAATATATCAATTTATTTACGAAAAACACATTTTTACTATGCATACTTTTACTTACTTTAGCACTTATATTTTATGTCCCAAAAAATTGAGAATAGAAAATTCAAATAAAAAAAAGATCGTATTCTTAGAAAAAGTGTTATACCCTTATTGCAATAAATAAAATATAAAAATTTAATGTAATCTAAATATAAATTAAAAAAAATCATTTATATAATCTAAATAAAGAATTATTATCATATCTATTCAATTAAAACAAACCTATTAATTATGAGATGAAATTTATGAGATAAGATACTTTTATGATATATCTTAAATTGTAGGTATTTGATTTGATTTTATTTTCTAGCTAACATACAAAGAACAAGGAAGGAAAGAGTAAAAATAAGTAATGCATGAACGAATAAAATGTGAAAAAGGAAATGCCTTTTCCAATAAGAATATACCCAGCGAGTAATTTAAAAAAAAAAGGATAAGGATGCCACATCATCCAAGTCAACAAATCTAACGCTGGAAAAGGAGAGAGGCATGCTGATTAAAATGGTAACGTGATGTTTTGAATCCAAACCCGATCAACTCTGATTATCCCGGCCAGCAGCTTACTTAAATGCCCGAGAGCAACGCAATAATTTGTCTCCATCTTTATCGGTTTCTTTTTCTCTGAAATTCAAGGAGGAGGAGGAGTGGTAACTGGTAACTGGTAAGGCAGTGAAAATGCGGATAGAGGAAAGCGAAGGTGTATCGGCGTCGAGAAAGCACCTGGTCTTTGCTTATTACGTTACCGGTCATGGTTTTGGTCATGCCACTCGTGTTGTTGAGGTCTCTTTTACTACTAATTTTATCGTTTCTCGAAATAGTATTTTTTTAAAAATAATGTTTGACGTTGATGATCATAGCACGATTGCAGCGATCATGCGTTCATTTTTTTTTTTTTTTGAATTTGAGTCTGAAATAGTGTGATTTTGATGCAATAGGTTGTTAGGAACTTGATTTTGGCTGGGCATGATGTGCACGTGGTCACTGGTGCACCTGATTTTGTCTTCACCTCCGAAATTCAGTCCCCTCGTCTCTTCATTCGCAAGGTGAATTATTGCTCTTACTGTCTGGGAATGTAGAAGTAGCAAATTGATAATTTCTAATTAATATTTGAATTTGTTAGGTACTATTGGATTGTGGAGCAGTACAGGCAGATGCGTTGACTGTGGATCGCCTTGCTTCCTTAGAGAAGGTATACAAATACTAATTATTTCTCTTTTTCTTTTTTTTTAATGTGAAGTTATGGAATTTTTGTTTTGCTATGCTAATTATATATATATTTTGGATGTTAGTATTCGGAGACAGCTGTGAAGCCTCGGGAATCTATTTTGGCGACAGAGATAGAGTGGCTGAACTCCATCAAAGCTGATTTAGTGGTATTTATCTTACCATGCATATTTGTCTAAAATATGATGTTTAAGGGCTCGCTTCAATTTCATCTTAAATGATGAAAATGATGAAAATTGAAGAGAATTGATGAATTGCATTTCTGCTTGCACAAAAACAGGTTTCTGATGTTGTTCCAGTTGCGTGTCGTGCTGCAGCTGATGCTGGAATTCGATCTGTCTGTGTCACCAACTTCAGGTAACTTGTTGTTACTAGCATTCTTGTTCACTTGACGGTTTCTATAATTTCTCTTATTGAAGTCTAATTATCTTGGAGAGAAAATGTATTTAGTGTTATCAAGAAGCATTATAGTCTCGGAGGACTAGAGGAGAGCTTCTAAACACTTTGTGTTTTGTTGTTGTTCTTCTTGTTTCCTTTTTTTAAAAAAAAAGAAAAGAAAAGAAATATTGATCTGTTGGGAAAGCATAATTCTTTGAACGAAGTTTCTTTGTTTTATCCAGTGAGAAACAGATATCTTTGCTGTAACTTATATTTTTTGTCGTATTGAAAAACTAAAACTAGATCACACAGTTGCCTGAACTTAACTGAGAGATACTTGGATGGATGGCAAAGGCTTAGTGGATTGCCTGGTACACAGTGCTTTGGTCATTATATACACCCTAGATTTCATTTGATGTTTGTGTTACCATTCTGCTGTTGGAATCATGATGTGATGTGCAAGGTCATCAGTATAACTTATGACTTTATAGTCCCTGCTTCAAATTTTCCTAGCCACATCATCAAACTTTGTAATTTTATGTTAACTTGTATGATCTTTTTCTTTTTGCTGTTGCAGTTGGGACTTCATCTATGCAGAGTATGTCATGGCTGCTGGGAATCATCATCGTTCAATAGTTTGGCAGGTGACCTATTGTTTTATGGAATCCTTTTCCCCTCATACTAATAGTTGTTCAATGGTGTTTCCATTTCCTGAATTCTTGCAACTTTTTGCTAATGCCTTTTTCATTTGATATGTTCTGGCCATAATTCTAATATCTTTTCCCAGTATCTTTCTTATGTTGTATTATATTAAAATCAAATTCCAAACAAGTCAATTAATTATGCAAGGCATGGAAAATACTCAATATAGCAATATTACTCTCATAACAATTGCCAATGACTCTTCATCTCAAGAATATATATGAAATTTTTGGTGGCTGTACTTGTATTTGAACCTTTACTTTTTTGGCATTAAGGATTTTCCCTTTTGATTTGGAACTTTTTTTGGTGAGGATTTTAGTAGTACCGAATTTGCTTATGCTCTTGAAAATTGTTACAGATAGCAGAGGATTACTCTCACTGTGAGTTCCTAATCCGCCTCCCAGGATATTGCCCAAGTATGTTGTTTCTTACCCAGCGTCAAAATGAAACCCCTTATTTTTCCTTTCTCATTTCCATATTTGTACCCAGAACACTTTGTTACTGCTCTCAAAATATTATTTTGGTGTATCTTCCATTTGCAGTGCCTGCTTTTAGGGATGTTATCGATGTGCCTCTCGTTGTGAGGAGGTTGCACAAAACCCGCAAGGAGGTTTGACTCCTGAACACTGCTGAATGCCTTCTTTTTATATCATTTAGATGTTGATCCAAGCCTTCTATTTTCTTATCGTAGGTAAGGAAGGAACTTGGCATCAGTGATGATGTGAAGCTGGTAATCCTTAACTTTGGTGGACAGGTGAGGATATTAAATCTTGTGGTCGACCTGATATGTATATTCAGATTAGCCTTAAACATGTTTCTCTGTCTCCATTGAATGTGTACTGTAATGTTTGTCCCTGATATGCATCAATGCCTTTTGTATTGGTTGGAAATGTTGAATAACTTCATTCTTGCAACTTCAAACTTCTCTCTCTTGTGCAGCCAGCTGGGTGGAAGTTGAAGGAGGAGTACTTACCTTCGGGTTGGCTTGGCCTGGTATGTTTTTCAGTAACAAATGTCTATATCTTTGTAATGTATAAAAGTCATTTTCATAATGCAACATTGAAGCAAGTGAGTTTTGATTCAGGTTTGTGGTGCTTCTGACAGCCAGGAGCTTCCACCAAATTTCATGAAGCTTGCAAAAGATGCCTATACACCTGATCTTATTGCAGCGTCTGACTGCATGCTTGGTCAGGATGATATTTTCCATAGCTGAACTAAATTAAATTGTTAGAAAGAGAACTTAATGGGATTTCTATTTCTTCAGGGAAAATTGGATATGGAACTGTCAGTGAAGCCCTGGCATTCAGGTTACCATTTGTCTTTGTACGGAGAGATTATTTCAATGAAGAACCCTTTTTGAGAAATATGCTTGAGGTGCAATAATTGCCTCCGATCATCTTCATAACCTTCTGTTTTCTTACTTCCTTTTCTTCCTCATCCTCTTCAATTCTCTTGATCTTTTCTTAGAACTTCTTTCACAAGGTACTGATACTAGTGACAGTATATATCTTGAAACAGTATTACCAGTGTGGTGTTGAGATGATTAGGAGAGATTTACTCATTGGTCACTGGAAACCATATCTTGAACGTGCAATTAGTTTGAAACCATGCTACGAGGGAGGCATTAATGGAGGCGAGGTACTGGCATCCTCTTGATTTCTATGAATATTTTTTACATTTTATATCTCAACACTGATATATTGCTTCTGGATATGTTGAAATTGTAGGTGGCAGCTCACATTTTGCAGGAGACAGCTATTGGTAAAAACTATGCTTCAGACAAGGTAAGCAAAGTTTTGATATCTAGTTTTTCGTGGTGTGTAATCAATAATGCATGTGATTTGCATCAACATCAGGTTAAGGTTTCTGTAATGATAATTTGAATATCTTCAAATAAAATGTAAAGAATAAAATAATCCATGGATGTTTATCCTCGTATTCCTTCAATTTGTAAACTTTCATTCCTTTATGCTGAGTTTTCTAAGAGGTTTTGCACAATGCTAAGCTTCCTTGATTCTTTTCTCTTTCGACAATGTTTGTTCTCTCAAACACCCTGTACATTGTTCAAAATGTTAGAATTTCCTTATGAAAAAAACTTGTGAGTTTTTAATTTCAGATTTGCATTAAAATATTATTTTCTCATCTCGAATGGTCTGAAACAATTGTTCTGTTTTTCTTTGTGAAAGTGTAGTTCAGTGGAGCAAGAAGATTGCGTGATGCCATTGTTCTCGGGTATCAATTACAAAGGGTCCCTGGAAGAGATATCAGCATCCCGGAATGGTATGCAAGTGCTGAAGATGAACTTAACAAATCTACTGGGTCTCCAACTGCCCAAATAATTGAAAATGGATCCCTAACGAGCATGTGAGTTTTGTCTTTTTCTGTTCAGCAAGGCAGATTCTTAGATCCTGTATTTTCTTGACATGTTTACATGACTCGTTTCAGATGCACTGATGATTTTGAGATTCTTCATGGAGATCTTCAAGGTCTTCAAGATACAAAGAGTTTCTTAAAGAGTTTGGCAGAGCTAGATATCATATATGACTCTGAGAAGAACACTGAGAAGCGTCAGATTCGGGAACGTAAAGCTGCTGCAGGACTCTTTAATTGGGAGGTCTATCTCATGTCATATAAAAAACATTGATTTTAACTTGTGCAGTTTTGTACTGTTGTCACAAACCAGAATGCTTAGCACTAATAGTAATTATGCATAAGGATGACACTAGGCATTGTAGTGATTTGCAGTCTCTTTTCAATTAGCTGCATTTCTTGCATTATGGATCACTATCATCTTCATAGTATGGATGAATTTTATGGTCATTTCCAAATTAAAATAGGTTCTCTTTATGTGTTGGTATTGACCTATATTGTTAATAAGCATAAGAGGATTATTTGCCGTGTTATATTTGTACAGGAAGATATCTATGTGGCGAGAGCACCTGGAAGATTGGACGTAATGGGAGGGATTGCTGACTATTCAGGAAGTCTTGTGCTGCAGGTTAGACTTCTCTATTTGATAGCATTTCCATCGCAGAGTAAAATCTTGTGCTTCCTTTTTCTTTCTTAAATTTATTTTATTTTTACGTACTTAAACATTACCAAATGTATTTTAGCCATTTTGTTTTAAAAAGTTAGTTATGCCTGTACACAAATTGTTTATTTCCATGGCTATCACCAAGTCTTGCTTGGTGCTATTCTATTTATTTATTTTTCTTTCTGTCTTCTGGATCTTATTTCCTCCTCATGTTGATAATTTCTTTTCTTTTCTTTTCTTCTCACTGATTTTTTTTTTTTTTTGAATCCCAATGTTAACCATGGTCCTGATAATGAAACCACTCCTTGATCCTTTAGTGTATTATAGCACACAATGTATCAATGCATCCATTGTCAGCACAAACTTCACTTCTTTCGCATCAGATCTGATGCTATTGAGTTGATAAATCATTCATATCTTTTGTGATAGATGCCTACTAGAGAAGCCTGCCACGTTGCTGTGCAAAAGAATCATCCGAGTAAGCATAGGCTCTGGAAACATGCCCAGGCTCGGCAAAATGTGAGAGGACAAGGGCCTACACCTGTTCTTCAAATAGTAAGTATTGCATTTGAATATTGAATCATTGTTTCCACACACATCCATCTTCCCCTCTAAGTTACTTTCCATATATGATGTAGATTGTTGGTGCATGTTGTCAATTAAGCAATGATAACTATGATGTGAACTCATCTCGTTCAGCCCAAACTTGATGAATGAAAACTTATATGCGGATAAATCTTTAATTGCTCATGTACATATCTTTCTCTGTCTCAATCAGGTATCCTATGGGTCAGAATTAAGCAATCGTAGTCCGACCTTTGACATGGATCTATCTGATTTTATGGATGGGGAAATGCCAATATCGTATGACAAGGCAAAGAAATATTTTGCCCAAGACCCATCACAGAAGTAGGTCACTGTTTTGGATTTGGATATATTGACAACTTTATATCTTAATTTCATGTTTCCATTCCAGGTGGGCAGCTTATGTTGCAGGAACAATTCTTGTTTTGATGACAGAATTAGGTGTACGCTTTGAGGATAGCATCAGCATGCTGGTATGAGTTGCGTTCTTGTGTTCTTTCTCCATTAGAATATGTCTTGTATTCCCTGCCAGGAAATTTTATTCTATTGCTCCTTTTTCGTATCTATTGCTATACTTGCTTTCTGTTTCTTTCTCCCTCCCTCCCATCACTTCAACATGCTGAAAATAAGGAAGATGAGATTTCTTTCGTCCATTTTGTTGTTGTATAACAATAAAATTGCTAAGCCATGCAAAACTTAAGGTGAACTGGATAAAATGTGCTAAATTTCTGGTCACCCTGTCCGTTGCTTGTGGACCTTTTTTATCTGTTTCTTTGTAGATCATCTCTGTACTGTAACCATGCATGTTTAGAGCTTTGCTCATCTCAGATCTTAATTATTCCTACATGGAAATACAGGTTTCTTCTGCTGTCCCTGAGGGAAAAGGCGTATCTTCTTCTGCCTCAGTGGAGGTTGCTAGCATGTCTGCTATAGCTGCTGCTCATGGTAATTGCTTTTCTAATTCTCCAAAACTTACAAATTTGCATTTCTTCATTTTATTTCCCTTTTAACATATATGTCATATCATAACAAGGCCCTTTCTTTAGCTGCCCAAGTAATGATCTTATCAAGACTAGAGACCTCTTATGTAAAACTGTATTTTGAAGTTATTAAGATGCTTCAAACATGAACCATGGGATGGTGGATGCCTAACTGGAAGCACTTGAGTTTGAGGACATAATACTAGGCAAGAAAATAAACTGTAAATTTTTAATGTTATAACAAGAATCAATGGATACAAATATCTCTCAATGATTTGAAACTGTTTTGGAGTTTCTTGAAAAATAGGGAAATTGGTTTAATTGCCAGTTATCAGATTAAATGCCTTGCCACCTAGAGAATTTTCCAATTTTGAACTATATGCTGAGCTCAAATAATATAAAGCTTTCAATTTGTCACCATGTTTTTTGTTAGGAATGTCCCTTGAAGAAGCTAATAACCTTCTTATAGACATCTGCAGCTAATGAACATCTGCAAATATCTAACAAGGTTTAGTTCATATATTTCATGCTGTAGTTTCCATTTTAGATTGAATCCCTGCAGTTTATAAAAAATACTGCCTGCATCATAAATAAAATTCCAATTTTAAAGGAAGGCTGTTCTATAAAGTCACTATCTCTTAATTTAATTTTCTACTGGATCATGGATATTTTTGGATATTCATGAAGCGATATCCTTTGGATGACATTGTTAAGAATTGACTTCAAATTTCAGCCTTCATCTAAATGTTGCAGGATTAAGTATCAGTCCAAGAGATATTGCTTTGCTCTGCCAAAAGGTTTGTTTTTTAACAAAAAGAAAACTTCTTATTAGCAAAATATGTAGATCAGTTCTTACATACAAAGTGTTCACTAGGTAGAGAATCATATTGTTGGAGCACCATGCGGTGTAATGGATCAGATGACTTCAGCATGTGGCGAAGCCAACAAACTTCTTGCAATGGTGTGCCAGGTAAAGATCATTCATGCTGCTGACAAAAACTTTGCTAAAGGTGTGCACATGATAAGAAACAATGCTAAACCTGTGTTGGCTATCAATGCAGCCTGCTGAGGTTATCGGGCTTGTAGAAATTCCTAGCCATATCCGTGTCTGGGGAATTGATTCAGGAATACGGCACAGGTATCTGGCGCACTGTGTGCTCTCTGTTCAATTCTCATTCCACTTATTTTGCAAATTGGTATTTACTTATAATATTCGTTTATTCTAAATCCTCCATTATTTCAGTTTTTTTCTTGATTGTCTTCACCAAAAGGATTATTAAGTGTCCATGGGTATTTATCTTGTTTGAATTGAGGATTTGGTGTCCCTTTCATTTTATTAAAAGACACTGTGTTTTTGCTCACTTCCAACCACTCCAAATTTTATTGGACATGGCACATCAGTTGTATACAGATTTTGTTCTGGCCAACTGTCCAATCAGGCATTATGAGACTTAATAATGGATGTTAATCCTTGTTTTCTCTAGTGCCTTGACTTGTTCACTTTTCTTGCAAGCAAACGTTTATTGCATGTGTATTAATGATCTATGAAGTTTCTTTTAATGGCTGCAATGCCCTTCTGCATTTCACACTTCTTTGATAACTTATGTGGCAAACTACTCTCTTTCATCTTTTGGCATAGCTGAGCTCCAAATTTAATTTAGTGCTTTTTTTATTTTTTTTCTGTTGGCAGTGTTGGTGGTGCAGATTATGGATCTGTAAGAATAGGTGCCTTCATGGGTAGAAAGATGATAAAGTCTAGAGCATCTTCTACTTTGTCTAGATCACAGCCTAGTGATGAATTGGAGGATAATAGTGTGGATCTACTCAATGCTGAAGCTTCATTGGATTACTTGTGTAACTTGCCACCACACAGGTAAGGCTCCTTTGAGGCATTCATTCCATATTTTTGTAAACTGGGTACTAATCCATGAGATGTGTGGGATCCTTTGATTAATTTTTCTTAAGTTGATAATGTTTCAATCCTTACCTTCTGTAGTTATCTTACTGGGCTGTGTGGCTGTTTGATTAAAGAAACTCTCTCTTGGGTGAATTAAAAACTCGTATACTGCTTAAAAAATATGGCCTTTTACTATAGTTGAAACAAGAGAGTTTAAACAAAATAGAGAGAGGATTTCTTTTACTTGTCATAAACTCATGCTTCCACAATCCACAGTTAATTTCCCCACCTATATAATATGCTATCACATTGTTGGGTGATTCTAACTTGTTGTTCCCTTGATTTTCTGTTCCATATGTTGCACTTCTTTTTGAGTTTTTAAATTTAATTTTCTGCTAGCATTCTCCATTACCTTGTGTTAAAACTGTGATTATGGAACATTTTTTTCTTGTCTGCAACTGTGAAGTGAATGTTAAATCTCGTGCTACAGATTTGAAGCTCTCTATGCTAAGGTGCTTCCTGAATCCATCCTTGGAGAGACATTTCTGGAGAAGTATGCTGATCACAATGATGCTGTCACTGTAATTGATGAAAAGCGCACATATGTAGTGAGAGCACCAGCTAAACATCCTATATATGAAAATTTCCGGGTCAAGGTCAGTAATATTTTGTCATTTCTTTGTTTCAAATGTAGATTGAACAACTTTTGTAAGCTACGTTCAGTGGATACAGTTCTCCATGCTTGCTTATTTCTAAAATCTTCTTTGTTCTGCTGCTTGAGATTAGGCCTTCAAAGCATTATTAACTTCCGCCAGTTCAGAGGAGCAATTTACAGCTCTTGGAGAACTATTGTATCAGGTATGTGCAAATTCTGATATAAGCAGGCATTTTCCTGCTATTAAGACAATGTCAGTTGCAATTGCTATTATTTTCCTAGAAAGACAATTCATTTGAGTTCACTTGGATAGAGATTGCATTGATGTTAAGATTTGATTTGCAAGAGATGCATGATCCAGCTATAGAAAATGTTAAAGAGATGTTCACTGCTCTTTTTTTTTCTCAGTAATCACGAGAAAGTGACCTGAAAAAGCCATGATTAATGTGTAAAACCAGCCATGTTTGGTTAATAATGCTATGCCTTCTCTTGTTTAGAGGAACAATTTACTTATTGACCACAGTAAGCATTATTCTGAAAGTAGATGAACATCCATACCATTAACTTTTTACATCAAAGAAATCCTACTGTGTTTTGAGCATTTAACTAAATAATAATAGCCTACTCAATGAATGGAATTATGACAGCACTAGAGCTGTGAAATAGAGGAAAGTGGATTAAAAGTAGTTGATTTTATTTTGCAGTGTCACTATAGCTACAGTGCTTGTGGGCTTGGCTCTGATGGGACGGATAGGCTTGTGCGGTTGGTACAGGAAATGCAACATCGAAAATCATCAAACTCTGTAGATGGGACCTTATATGGAGCAAAAATCACTGGTGGTGGTTCTGGCGGAACAGTTTGTGTAATTGGCAGGAACTGTCTTGTAAGCAGCCAACAAATTCTTGAGGTAATTCTAGACTTGTATGTTCATAGCAAAATGTTTATTTTTCTCCTTTCTTTTCACATTTATTCCTCCTCCTTTTTTTTCATAGGCTTTCTGCAGTTGTGCTTGTTCTTTGCTTGTTCCATAGGGCAGTCAATTACAAATAGAATGGTCTTGAATTTGATATTTGCCAAAATACTTCTTTTTTCCTTTCATATTGTGTATAAGATTATATGATGTCACAACTTGATGCCCAAAACTCTCTGGCTTTTTTTTTTTTTTCCCTGGTGGCTTTGCACGTGATGGTATACCTAGGACACCAAATTAACTAGAGCTTGAGTTTTTGTTTCTATCGTCATTGCTCATAGTTAACAAGTAATCACCATTGCAAGCTATAATAGATTGATGAGTGTATTTTGTTGCATATTTTCTTGTTCATTTGTAATTGTTACTGGATTAAGCTGTTAATGAGCTATTTGTTATTTGAACATCCAGATTCAGCACAGATACAAAGCTGGTACTGGCTATTTGCCATTTATATTCGAGGGTTCATCACCTGGGTCGGGAAAATTCGGATATTTGAGAATTCGTCGGCCTCTCCCCAGATCTTAGTTAATTTATCTCTCATTGTTGTTACTCTGTTCAGATGCAGAACGTTTCTGTATTAGTTACTGTCATCACAATCCAGCTGCATAAATTAATAGTTCCTTTTTTATTATTGGAATTTTTATGACTGATGTAACTTACAAAACACTTGCTGCCCTTCCGAATAATAGATCACATTTCAGACAAAAAACTGTCACCAGTGTGCAATAGAATCTGATGGGATAACCCCATATGTAGTGGATTTGAAGGACTCGTGTAACGGTTCATCGGTAGATTGTCTTTCGGCCACCTGTTTATGACTGTTACAGTTTATTGAGTGCTTAACTTGGAAGTGGGAATCAATGCAGTTCTATTGCCTCATGCTCACCTTCAGACCAGTGAACTTGACAGAGGGAGGGAGGGAGAACAGAACCCTAAGTGATGTCTGGTGACTTTTCTTAATCTACTGGGAGTTTTTAACTCGTCAGCTAAATTGTTCACTTTCGAAAATTGAAAGGGATTTCCTAGAATAATAAGATGTTTATTCCAATCAGAAAAGAAAATGTGATTTTATTCAAAGCTTATGGATTACATGAAATGATTCTGTTAGTTCTACCGTCCGATAATGGCTCCCAACATATTATCTCCCAACATCTATTGTAATGCGCATCTGGGATTACAAATTCCCAGTCGCCTTTAATGAATGATTGACCATAAAATCACTGTATTCGAACGCATTCAGGGCGCAAGGGAATGATCGCCATTCTGGGATTACAAATTCCCAGTCACCTTCCATGAATGATCGACCGTAAAATCACTTTATTCCAACCTTTATTGTAATAGCCATTAATATTGGTGCAGAAAGGGTGTGCACGTTCAGGGCACGAGGGGATGATCGCCATTCTGCTCATAGAAGGATTCATAAGTGGCTATTCTTGTCTTTGACTCAGGCAACTCTAGATCTTGCCTAAAATCAGCAGACATCTTGGCAAAATCCTCCATCTGTGTCCTCTTCCATTCCTTTTTGGCAAAAAACGGTAAAAACAAATAAGCAAGCAAGAAAACAAGTGAAGAAAATATATAGCAATGGAGTCATCAGAAATATTGGCTGGAGCATCAATGGTAACGCATTGCTTGACACAAACCTAAAACCGCATTCACACGCTGCCACAGAACGTAAATAAATTTTGTATCCCAATTACCTAACAAAATGAGATAAAATCCATTTCTCATTTTCTTATCATCCCTTCCAAAGCAGACAGTCTTCAATTCACAGCAAGTCCTCTACCGTTAAGATCCATCCAGCAGATCTACAACAAAGCCTAGAGTGTTTTTTTTTAAAAAAATTATTTACTATTATTATTATAACAGAGAAAAGAAAGAACCTAGTTGTAGGCATGATTCTATCTTGGGCTCGCTTCACTTGTGAGACACGGCGACTTTACCAAATAACCTAGCTGGCAGCCATGGCAAACCTATAACTACCTTTCTCAACAAGCTAACACTGTAGTTGACCAAGCTTGAAGCATTATAACCTTGATTCCATCTTATTCTCTTGCTTTTCTGCGGTTGCGCCTAGGACTAATACTTTCGATTATGAATTCAAAGATTTGTCTTTAATGCCTAATCCAAAACCAAAGGAACAAAGACTAAGAACAGGTAGGATAACAGGATTTATCATTTGTGGTCTATTAGATTCTCACCGATTTAGAGCAAATGTACATCGACACAAAGGACAACAAACCCTTGGTATGAGGCTTGAAAGTTCAGTGGTCATAAATTCAAGACAAATGGCCAAAAATTGAAAATAGCGGCAATGTAAGGATAAGAAAAGACTTGCAGTCTATTGTAGCAGCCTAAAATGGATTATGACGATAATTACCATATCAGTGTAGATATGAGGGATGTGAGATATCTTATTATTCTATTTTGATTTTGCAAACAGGGTTTTGTTACCTTGGCAGGGACCAATTAATTAACTGAATTGATTGGATGAATGAAAAAAAAAAAAAAGGAAATTAGCTCAATTAATCAAGGCTTCGACAGAACAAATAGGCATGAAGTCATGAACAGAGCCAAGCACAATTGCCTTGACCTTTCAGTCTCTTGCGGTTTGCTATTTGCTGCAGAAAAAATGGAACTCTCGTTCCCGATTCATATTCTAACGTTCTCCTCTTCTTGGACATTTTTTAGCCCAAACTAATTTAATGCATGTAGCAGCTACCTAGCAAACATATAATTTCAAAGAAAAATACAGCAATAGAAATTTACCTCAAAATCCCACTCCCCATACAAGTTGGGGTCTTTTTTGTCTGCCCAAACATAAGCAAGTGTTTGTATCTTATCAGAACTGTCCTGCAAAATATCATAACCATCAATTAATTTCAGCAACAATATAGCAGAACTCTTTAAGAGCCATGTGGAACGATCTTTCTAATCAGTTTAGAGCCCCTTGAAACTGAACTTACACTCTCCACATACAAAATGCAAAGAGACACTCTTCCATCAGGACCATCACACAAAAAGCATCTGGCTTTCTTTGTGAATTTAACCCATGCATTCATCTGACATGTGGACTCAAAACAACAATACTTTTCACTCTTTTATTATCAACCCATGAGAAATTATTCAACTTTGAATGTCTAATCTAAGGAAAAGTATGATAAATTAAAAGGGAAACATGCCACTTAATTGATTGTTTCTTGAATTAGAAAAAAAGGATTGTTGATGATAAAAAATGTTCTTGACATTTGATTCCTATCCTGCAGAGAACGAATCGACAGCTCACCATTTTAGCAACAAGAATGGCGTGCAATCAACGAAGCATGAACATCCCATTTTAATATGTGACAAGAAAACACGAAAGATTGTTGAATTGAACTCACTCACTTACCATCAAAGAAACGTCAACAGTGACTCTTTCATACTCAACATCCTCAAATTCATCCAAAATATATAATTCCGGATTCGTGATACCATGCAGAACCTGCATTAAAAAGAACTCATACATTGGATGCCGTTTAGGATACAAGAATCAAAAATCACCAAGAAGAAAATGTTAACAATTTAAAAAAGAAAATACATGGCACCAACCAAAACTTGTGTTTATTTGTAAGAAAAAAATGACTGTTAGATCAAGAAGTAAAAAGTTAAAGACTTTGATTATAACAGTGAAAAATTGAGGGATTAAAACAGACCCTGCCTGAAACTTTCTTGTTCTCCACCGGTAGAATTGCCGGGTAGACACGCCCTTTTATGCTAAACCTGTGACTACAAAAAAACAAAGACGACGACGATTAAGCTATAAACAAAAAAACTCATGAATCAAAAATAAAATTTGGGTTATGATCAGCGATCAAAGAACATTAAAAAAATTAAAAAAAAGAACAAATTGAAACGAGGGGAGGAAGAGATGAAATTGAAATGAAATCACAGGCCCGTTTTAATTTAATTAAACAGAGAAAAAGAGACAGACTAGCCATTGAGGATGGCTGGAGAGGTTTGAGGGATGCGACTCAAGAGAGCACGAACAACGTCATCAGCAAGAAGGCTGCCGTAGACGAACACGTTGTGGACCTGATTGCCTGCTGCCATTGCCATTGCCATTGCTGCTACGAACCACAAGACAAGACCAGACACAATTGTCTACGGTCGACTGGCTTATTTATGGCCACCTGGGATAGGAGGACACATACCATCTGTAATGTGCAAATTTTCAATTAAGTCCTCAAAGTACAAAAATAGGAAATGTTACCCTCATTAATTGCACGTACGCACAATCCATATACTTAATCCATTCGATTAATTGAGGTTTAAATGGGCTATGCACTGTATAATAAGAATAACTTTCTTTTATTATATTTCAATAGAAAAAAATAAAATTATTAGAACTCGAAGGGAACTCGAAGGGCAATCTCCGACCAGCCTGAGAGAACCTTTGCACGCCTCTCAAGGGAACCTTCGTACCAGTTGAGGCCCTCTCCACACTACTTTCATGTCCAGCCCGATAAAACCTTTGCAGGCCTCTCAAGGGATTGTGGGTTTTTCTTCCTACCAATTGAGGCCCACTTCTCACCACTTTCATGGAGATGGTCTGGTCCATAGGGTTCATAACTACTACTCTTATTACAAAACGTTTGCCTAGCCAACTTGATCCATGATGCACTTTCGGTGGAGCCTACTACTCGAAATGCTGAATGACATAACGATTCGGCGGCTCCTTTTGAGCCACTTTTGGAGAGCAGGTCGACAGCAATCTCAAAACATGATCACAATTCCATCAATTAGAAAAAGATATGATGATGGTATTTGACTCGCCACAGAGATTTTCCGGAATGGAAAGAAGGTCTTCCTGAAAGCTACTCCTCTGTTAGACTCGGTCCATCTTCCATCCCCATTTGCTTTATTTATTATTATTTTATTTAATATCCATATATTGTTCTGTCCTTGCGATTGCTGCTACTACGAATTTGTCAAAAGAAACTGCGTGTGTTGCGAACGTTGAATTCTGGCACTGTACAAAATCAAAAGAATTCAACAACCAGAAGTTTCTTTCGACCAACTTTTCTAGTCTCCGGAATAATGAAGAATTATGTAACTATGACCAATGACCAGTTTTTGACTCCATATGCATTCAAACCCCAGATTTCTTTCTTGGCCTCCTATTTTTACCTTGAATCAGGAGATTTCCAAGAAGCTAGGAATTTCAAACATTCTGCCTTTTGATCCGAACAAAATAAAATTTCAAATCAAATATGCTTCTGAAAATAAATGGACAATCACTTGAAAGAAAGGATGGATAATGGTTTCATTATTCTCTTCAATGGAAATAAGAAGTTGCATAAAAGTTTGTTGTTCCAACTACTTCTCAGTAAAATCTATTATCGCCGATATCAAACCTAAACTAGTTAAGGTTAGAGATGAAGCACTGTCATAAAGGCTAGATAGACTGCTACAAACTACTACGAAGAACAACTTGTTCTTCGCTGGAACAGAAAATTCAGAATGGGTATAATTGGGTTAACGAAGCTTGGTTCTATCTCTCTGCTGTGTATTGGTCTATCTCTGCTGTGTATTGGTTTTTTAAGAGTCCATCACGACAGCTTCTTGAAGTGGACGAAGATGAAGGGCTGGCATATGGGATTTTAGTGCAATAGGTGATGACCCAGTTATCTTCTTCTCCATGGGAATTCCATTCCCTGTAATTCCAAGAACCTTCCTCACCTCGGTTGCCAGTTCTATCACCATTTCCTCCTCATGACCTGTTTACAGATGCCATGCTAGATTATTAGCACAAACAAATTCAAGATGGATATAAACGGTATATTCGCAATGAATTAAAAAAAAAAAAAAATCTCACCAATAGCACACAAGGCTTTTTCTAGCAAGAAAAGATAGTCTCGGTTGTTCCCACATGGTCCATGAGCAGTTGCAATTTGCCTGAAAAGGTAATAAGGATCTATAAGGTGATTGTTTATGGACATTACTTCATGCAAGCCAAAAAATAATGTTTATAAAGGATTAGACTATGAAATCTAATGTACCTAGCCATTTCCTCCAACGGGGCAGGACCAAGGTAGTACTTGTTTGATACTTTGTCTGGGGTGGATGTGAAACTGCACATGCGAACACATTCCTTTAGGACATTGTGCACAAAGAAGATAAATTTTATAGACATATATCGTTTCTTTTAACTACCAAAAAAATATGAATTCATAGATGCCAGGTAATTAACTTACACTATAACTCCAGTTAAAGCAGGCTGCGAGGGTTCCCCTTCCTATATTGAGGAAAAGCAAAAGCACAAATGGGTCAAAAATAAGACAGAGAGCATAAAGACAAACCAAGAAATCAATTGGCAAGTTCAGAGACATAAACAAACTATTATCTTACCTTGTAAAAGTCCACGATGGTCTTTTTATCATATTCGCACTCTCTCCTCTCCAAATACTACAGAAGAAAGCAATGCATATCAATACTTGCAAGAAATTATAACCAGTAGCTGCTCACAAATCCAAGGGAAAAGATTTCCCAGGTGAATAATAAATGGATGTGGCTAATTTAAGTACATATAATGCAACTACATCTTTAGATCACACTCCCTAAACTTCTCCCATCAAATTATTTATAACCAGCTCTGCTCGATCTAAGCAATGTCAAGTAAAATACACAGCAACAGAACATACCTCCATTGCCAATCTTTCCCTCTCGGGACCTCCCCTTACACAATAAGCAGCTCCCCACTGCAACAATTGAAAAGGGAGAGATAAGAAACAAGGGAAAAACACAAAGTCTATTGATACTATAAATTATTAGTGAGAGATGGCAAAAAGTTTTTTATCCGAAAGGATGAGCATTTTTGGGCTCTGGCTGACCATCACCACCAACCAAACCAGTTAAAGAGCATGAGAAAGTTGCTAAAGAGTAGTACTTACGCAAATATCTCCTTCAGCATTTTCCAATGTGCAAGTTCTTGCAGGACTTTCAGGTGTACCTCTGTGATCAATGCAGGCTGGCATACAGAATATGAGATTTGTTACTAACAGCTGAACTAATTAAGACTCCAAAAATTCAGGATTTTTAATTGACAAAACTAAGTAAGAAACATACCAAGATCAAAAACACGCCTGTAGTCCTTGATAAAGCCAATCACTTTCTCATCATACTCAAAACCTGGGTTCCACACCAATGAACCATAGCCAAAAACCCAGAAAACCATCTTTGCTTATCTCCTGAGAAATGATAGCATCCACATAATTAAAATCTACAAGATTAATACCAAAAGCCATAGTAGTATTCGAATCATAACAGCAGAATTTCTATATAAAAAAAGGGTCAGGAGTCAGGACTCAACACCAATAACAGTGGTTTTGATTACCCCAACTCTCCAAAATCAAAGAATTAATGCAAAACACAAACCCAGTTCCAATTTTATGGTGCATTTCTTATGCTTCAGTGTTTATGACTCTAATCCTAAAAACTTGATGGGTAAAAAATCCTGACTTTTGGGCACACCACATAAACGCAAAACTCACATGACATAATAAGATCAATGCTCCAAAAAAACTTATAATGAGTAAATTGAAAGACAAGAATCACCGACATTGTCACAGAGACAAAAAAAATCAAAAGAAACGGCAATCAAAGACAACAAAAGATGAAATCGAACAGGAAAGGAAAAAGGATGGGAAGAAGTTGGGAGCGAGTCTTACGAGGAGTGGAGCAAGATGGAAATAATGTTGTGCGAGGGAGAAAGCGGAAATTTATGCAGACGGTAGCTGAAGGGCAATGGCTGGAGGGCCGGCAAATAGAGAGGAAACAAAGGAGGAGAGAAATGAAAGCGGGATTTAGAGGATTTTCTCTGTGGGACTCTCTCTCGCTTTGGTTTCTTCTCGCTTTTTAGGAGGAGATGGTTAGATTTGCGAAGAGAGACCCTATTTATCGAGGAAGGATAGGAGAGAAAGAGGTTTCTTCGAAGTAGTTATGCCCACCGTCTTGTGGCCATGCCCATGCCACCGATGTGTCATTCCTTTATGTATACATATGTTTTGCATGCATGTTTTTTTTTTTTTTTTAAATAATTTTCTAAATAAAATAAAATAAATCATTTAATTTGAAGAGAGACATAAATAATTACAATATCCTACGGAATTTTTATTTACTATATAAGTTTTTACCATAAGTAATATTTCTATATAATATTTTACGTACCAAAAATTGAAATTAAGTACATTTTTTTAGTTTGATTAAAAATAAAACATTTCAAGAAAAAATCCGACTATTAAATTAAGTAATTTATAAATATTTTTTCCTGATTCGAAATATATAAATATTAATCTACATGATTTTATTAGCATAAATAAAACCCAAAAAAAAAAAAAGCCTTTTCTTTGGTCTTGGATTGTGATAAGATTTTATTACCTCAAATATAATTAAGATAATATGGAAAATTTCATCCCAATTAAGTGATAAAATAGATTTTCTTGTTTTCTTTTGCTCAATTTCTCCCCATCCTAAAAGTTGCAATTTTGTTCAATCTATTTCTAATTATTTTCTCTAATAATAATAATAATAATAATTTAAGATTACCTTAAACAAAAATCATCGCTTTTTAAACAATTTTTTCTCCCAATTAGAGTGTTAATTATTTTTTAAAAAATAACTATTATGCATGATTATCATGCATGGTTAATTAGATGATAAATCCATTAATCTCTGTCTCCTTTGTAGGTACATTGAATCTGGCCTGAATTTTAGATGGGATACTGAGTTGTGGAAACGTTGTCATTAAAGCTGCAACATAACTGTCAAGTTGCGTTACAACCGAGTGGTTCTCTTATGGTCAAACAATAAAACCTGAAGGGTAATTAACGAATCCATTGCAGGTTCATTGAACCTAGACAAGTTGGATTCCTGCTTTCAATGAAATCTGCCAGAAATCAAGGTTTTGCCTTTTCAACGTTTTACCAAATTTATTTGTGGTATTAGTTGTCTACGAGAAAATAATAATAATAAAATAAAATAGGAGTAACGTTAATTTAACCTTTTAGGGCTTGAATACATTAATTACTCTTCGTTTTATACGATAGTTTTATTTATGAAAATGCTTCACGAAATAATATTGACAGATATTATTTTTAAAAATAAATTTTTTTAAGAATAAATTTAAAAAATAAAAAAATTAAATGATATAATATTTTTATTGAAAATTATCCATCTTTTCTTTTCTCTCTTATATCATTTCAAAAAAATACCATATTTATAAAGTTATTACGTTTTTAAGTGTTTTATTATCTTTTTATTCATCGGAAGCTTAATAAATTTATTGAGCTATGATAAGAAGATAATCCTTCTATTATATAATTATTAAAGAAATTAAAAATATCAGAACTCAAGGTTGTTTGGATAAAAAAGTTAATAGAGTACATAATTATTAAATCAAACCTCTTTGTATCAATAATTTTTTTTTAGGCAACAGCGGGTTGGTGTAATTATATATTATATCATTTAATATAATTATAAAAAAATATTTTATTTTAATAGATATTATATTATTTAATATTTTTATTTTTTTAATATTTTTATTTAAAAAAATAATATCTGTCACTATAATGCCAAGAAGTATTTTCCTTTTGAAAATGTTGCTGCATGGTGTCGCTAGATATTTTTGTTTTTTAGGTAACAGCAGGTTGGTATAATTATATATTATTTTTCATGGAAAATAGATATGGGTTGAAATTTTAGATTCTGCAGTACACGTCGTTGGGAAAATCTATGGTCCATCTGTCACACGTATTTTTTATTTTTTATTATTTTCGTCTGTCACCTGTATTTTCATGGAAGTATGTGATGTTGATGTTTGAGCTACTTCTGGCGAGCTATTGAACGTGGAAAAACGAGCCGTCACTCAGCCCATAGCCCATAGCCGTCTCTTTACCATTGGATTGGTTCACTCATGTGTTGAGCCAAGGGCCCAAAGACTCCATATTGAGAACATAGAGTCGTTATTGGTTCACTCATTTTTCTTTTTGCCTGGCATTTTTTTTCAAAACTTATTTATTTATGTTCAGTAAACAAAAAAAAACTAAATTATTTGATTTATGTTACAATTTTGTTAATTTAATGGTAAGATTTAAAATTATTAACAAAAAAAAATTAATAAAAAGATATAATAATGACAAAAACTAAATATTAAATTCTAATATTAAGATACGAAAGAATAAAAAAAAACCTTTTTAAAAAAAATAAAAGAAGTCCCATAAATTTTATGTGATTGATATTTAGGATTATTTTGGAGCCTTTAACTTTGGTGTCTTGATTCGTTTGTGTTCATAGCTTTTGCCTTTTGGGGTTAAAAACTTAGAAACATAAGGTGCGTGCATAGCCTTTTGCATATCCCTCGGAAACAAAAATTTAGTAATAGTTGAGTTCGGTAATATTTTTTTGAGAAAAACAAGGTTAATTGGTTTGATAGTATCGTGTATTATAGATCAAATGTTAACTAATATTTTATAGGTTAAATGTTAACTAATATTTTAATTTTAATTTTTTTAATTCGAATACCATAATTATTTTTTTGTTAATAATCAAGTCGGCCGATTTTGTTTGATCAAATTTCAAGCACATGTGATGGTAAAATGACTAGACAACCTCTATCCCTTTATTATCATTATTATTATTATTGCCTCCTTTCCTCTCTCCCACCCTTTATTTTTTTCCTTTCTAAGCTCTCCAAAATTGCTTTGACACACCAAGCTAGCAAATACACTTCTTATAGGACATACAAATTAAGTAGCTAACCATAAGATGCTATCAAGAGAACCAGATAAAGCTTTTCCCTTTCTTTTTCTTCTTCTCGAAAACTCTTAATTTTTTATATTTGTCAAAAACACGATCACGAGAGATAAAGAGTACTATCAACATCATGTATATATAAAAAAAATGTTTGAAATTCAATCAATAGAATCTTCGACTTGATTACAAACTAAAAAATAATTATAATAATCGAATTCAAAAAAATTAAAATTGCGAGTACTAGTCAACTTTTAACCGATAGTAAATAGTATTATCAAACCAATTAGCTGAAAAACAATAATAGATGTTTGGTATTGCAATGAAATTAAATTAAAAACAATAACGTAGCACGATTTTATAACTTATTTTTAATAACAAATCCAAAATAACAATAATATATATAATGATATGTTACGTATGCAATAGAAAACATATATTTTAAAATCTTAACCTCACCTCGATAGAAATAACTATGGCACGAGGGATAGTTCTTCCTCCCTCTAAATTTAACTTTTTAAAATTGGGCGGGAAAAAAATTTATATGTCCTATAGATCCGAAATGGTTTACGAGATTTTTTATTAATAAAAATATGTTATTATATCTTGAACTGATTCCATATATAAAAATAAATATTAAATTTCAATTTAATTTTGATGTTTATTTTAACACATCAGCTGTCAGAAAAATATATTAAAAAAATTATATATATATAATTTTTTTTTTGTCGAATTAAAAAATGTTATAAAAATGCATTCCATAACGGTGTAAAACAACCGAATTTATATAAAATATACGATCGGGTCTGAAAATTAATCGGATCAGGACACTTGTATCCATCGGAACAGATAATTTTGCCATCCTTAAAACTGAGCAAGACAGGCTTAGGTTTGCCTTAATTTAAATCTCCCTCACTCTGGTTTCCAAGACGTAACAGAAGCACCGCAACGGCTCAAACCAAAGGCCTCGCCTCCAAACATCATCATTTTCTCCGCCGCAGAATGGCCATCATCACGGCCACCGTGAAACGCTCCCGCTGATCACTCCACCACCGCTCTCCTTGCTTCTGGTACTTCTCTTAAAGAAAAACCCAAATGCGTCTTTTGCATTTCTATTGAAAATTTAGCTCTGTAATTTCTATTAAATTATTTGATCAGCATGTCTCCAATTATATTTGTTAGAAAAGTTATGGGTTGGTTTCTGATTGAGAAAAATTGAACTCTAGATCAAGTCTGGTTTTACTACCATTTTGTAGCAGCTTGATCAGCTTTTTGGAGTAATGGGTTTGACTATTTTAACTTAATTAACATGGTAGATATTCAAATGGAGGCAAGTAATAATAGGAAGCGTAGAAAGGAACAGCAAGACAGTAAGAATAATAATAATCAATTGCGTGTTTCGAGCACTCCACGCACGCGTTCGCAGGTATCCCCAGACTGGACTACTAAAGAAGCACTCATTCTAGTGAATGAGATTGCTAATGTTGAAAAAGATTGTTCGAAAGCTGTATCGACTTACCAGAAATGGAAGATCATTGTCGATAACTGCATTGCACTGGATGTTGCACGTAATTTGAATCAGTGTCGGAGTAAGTGGAACTCTTTGGTTACTGAGTACAACCAGATTAAGAACTGGGATAAGGAGTCCGAGTCGCGGAGTGACTTTTACTGGTCTTTGGATTGTGAAAGGAGAAAGGAGTTCGGACTTCCTGAGAATTTTGATGATGAGCTGTTCAAAGCTATTGATGATTATATATGGGGCCAGAAGGAACACCCAGATACAGATCCAGATACCGACCCTGAAAAGGGTGACTTGCTTGATGTAATAGCAAACCTGGGTATGCTTCATCATCAATTTAACATGCAGTAATTTAGTTGTTGCTAATTAACTTGTTTGATTGGGTATGCATATCGTTCTTGGTAATTATGAATGCAAATGCAACTTTGTTGTTTATGATCAAGTTTTATTCCTGTTTTTGTTCATTTTAGGGCAATTGTCTTCTTACTTTAGACAGGTCACAAAAGTTCTTTAATGTTTGATTTGTATTTCTGTTGTGAAAATTATAAAATAAGCTACCATGGGTCACATGACAGAAGTTTCTGCTTGAACCTCAGAAGGTTATTTCCGTGTGCCTATAACTTCTCATTTGAAGTTGATGTGTTGAATTCCATCCTGTCTGATGTTTCCCCTGGGGATATCCGTAATAACAGAGCCAACACATTTATTATCATGTGCAGCTGTGTTTGCTGATTTTGGAACGTAATTTGTAAAGTTTCAGCTGCTTCTTTATAACCACGTGTCTTCATTTTAGCTCCCTATTAAGTTCATTTCTATAGCATTCTAGCCTTGCATTTAATGATTTGATTTAATTTTTGTTTTAGGTAGGATCCATAGATGCTTCCATTTAAACTTCCATGTATTTCCAAAATTACGAGATCGAAATAAATGGCAATGCATTTGCATCTCTCAGATTACTGCCATAATGGAAACTGCATATAAATAAAGTTCCGATTATATTGAGATTGTTGTGTCAGGTAGCTTGAAATGACAGGAATTAATGGTGGAGACCATAAAAATTAGGTTAGTACATTTGGTGGCATAACTGCTCAAGTTGGTTGAGATTTTTATTCTGGGCATGGTAAATGAATTGTGGTTATGCTATGTTGTGCTTGGACCTATGGAAGTATAGTAGTTGAGCTGCTTTCTTGGAAGGCAATAGACTATATTTCCAGCTGTGTTCTTACAATCTCCTATGATTCTCAGGGGCCAAGAAACAAAGGCGGCGGTCAACGTCTCTGAAAACCCATATGGAAGAAAAGACTCACAAATGCTGCAGAGAGGGTAACTCTCACACAATCCATGCAGAAGAGGAACCTCAGGAAAGATGTGTGGAAGAAAATCCTCAGATATACTTCTCAGTGGAAAAGCCTCAGAGAGTGCATGTTGAAGAAGAACATCAGGAAAGTCAGGTGCAAGAAAACACTCAGACATACTGTGCTGAGGGAAAGATTCAGACAATCCATGCAGAAGAGGGATGTGAGGAAAGCCCTGCGGAAGAGCACCCTCAGTCATACTGCTCAAAGGAAAAGCCTCAGACAATCCATGTAGAAGAGGAAACTGAGGAAAGATACTTGGAAGAAAATCATCAGACATGCTGTACAAAGGAAAAGCCTTGGTCAGTCCCTGCAGAAGAGGAACTTCAGGAAAGTCGAGTGGAAGAAAAGCCTCAGAAACGTTGTAGAAAAGAAAAACCTCAACATGGCCATGGGGATGAAAAGCCTAAAATCCGTCGTGGACGTAAAAAGAAAATGCCCAGCGCAGAAGAGATGGAGCAAGAGATGGTGGAAAAACTTTGTGGGAATGCTGAAATGATCCATGCTGTAGTTAATGGCAACCTTCCTGAGATGGCAGACCTCGAAGCTGGTGATTCAAAGAATATCCAGGGCTTCAAAACTGATTTTATAAGAAGTCAAGGGGACAAGCTTATTGCATGCCTTGAAAATATTGTCAACTGTATTAGCCAGTTCCCTGGTCTTCTCCAAGAATGTGACTAGTTGATGTATCTAATGTTAAGTTTTCCTCTCATGGGCTAATGTGGTTAGTAGCCACCATGACTGGGATGGTCGGGAATAAGATAGCTTCCTCTCCTTCAGGTTTGGGCACATTTGTTTAATTCAAACCCTTAAATTTTCACATGTAAAGTATTGTACTGGCTTTGTATGATGTAGAAATGGAACCCAAAGATCCGGTTGTGCAGTTGTACTTGAAAACTGCATTCAGTTTGCCCTGAATGCGCTCTGAATAAAACATAAATTTGTTCTTCAAGTTTTATTGAAGGATCTCAATTGAGGATGTTTAGTATCTTTTAGAAGTGTCGGTTGAGGGGGGGGGGGGGGGGGCCGTAGAGAATTCCTACGACTCCACTGGGGATCGAACCCAGAATCTCTGGTTCCGTAGACCAGCGCCTTATCCATTGGGCCATGGAGTCTGAATGTTTTCATCGCTCCAGAAAGGTAGAAGTAAAAGTTAACGGGTTCCGAAAAAGCTTTGAGCATTTATAGATAGGTTCTTAATCTTGATTTGCCATTGCATGACAGAATGGATTCAGGAATTTTAATCCAAAAAGGAAAGGAAAAAAGGTGTTCATCGTACAATCTTGAAATCCATTCTTCATAGTAACGTAACATCCTTGATCTCTGCCTGCAAAATATTCAACCGAGCAGAAACACGGAGATGTGTCACCCATCTTCAACTCAACAAAAGCAGGAGCAGATCTTATTAATTCTTACTAAACATTATTCCAAGTTACAAATTCATAATAAAGCTTAACATTTTTTACATCTTAGGCATTGTTGGACTGAAAAAATAGTCAATACTACTAGAAAAAACTCTCAAGACAAAACCACCACTTTACTCAGAATCCACAGCACCAAAGAGAACTCAAAAGCAAAGAGCGTATGAAGCAATCCTCGATCAAGAGGAAATCCAAACAGCGTGATCCCTCCATTGTTGTGTTGCAAATATGCCACTACATGCAGAGAGAACATTAATGCATGTAAGCATCTGCTATTAGAATATTGGTTCTGGACATACAAATTAACAAGGGCAAGTCAGAAATATATATTTAGGTCAAGTTTTACCCACCTAAGGCTTGCCTAGTTTGGAAAGAATATGGATCCTGTGACGAAACTGCAACGAAAATGTCCGAAGAATCGGACTCGCTGTCTCCGGCATTGGATGCTAGAGTTCCATCAGCTTCTGCAGGCACATGGTCTTTCCCCGGTTCTATCCTGGAAGATGCAGATGTAACAGTCATATGCCATCTAGTTGCTATTGACACAATACCTTGAGCTCTATGTGTGATTCTTGCAGCTCCAAGTAAACATAAGAAGAAGCCACTTAGCTGAACTGCTGAACAGATCTGCATTAATCCCTCAAAAGTATTAAGAATCATCAATCTTGCAGACTATTAAAGAGATGACATTATTTTTCTTCAACTTACCACAAGGTCTCCGGAATTGAAGAAATTCTTCTCAGTGTCGAATCCCAAAATCAGCAACAATGCTCCGAATTGACTAACCGTAATGGTAAACAAACAGGAAATGATAAAGAACCGATATCTGTGGCTTGTAAGGGATAATTGTTTCTTAATCCTAACATGCTCCCTGAATATGACACCGGCATCGGATTCGCATCCCTCGAACAACTTATGAAGCCCTTCAAATCTAAGTATCTGAAGCTCACAAGTCAACCTAAACAGGACACAAACCAACAAGAACACTCCTGTCCTATAAACCCAAGACGCCAAAACCAACACAAAGATGATGGAACTCAATGGAACATAACCAGGACTAATATTTTGAGGTAACGATATTTTGACTGTGCAGAAGAATATGACTTTGTGTACAACTTCGACAAAGAAAGATGGAAACAGTATGCAGGCTAGGTACCGAAAAGCCTTATCAAGCTCGCGTGAGTATCCTCGTCTAACGAACAATGAGTCCTCCTCTAAGTCATCCAGGAACAAGAGGTGGCGCAGACGGTATCTTCTGAAGAAACGGAAAAGAGTATAGAAAGCTATTAAAGCTAAGGCAGACTCTGGAATCTGCACCACCTTGTCGTAAGAAATGGGGTAATCAGCTGGTGCTGAAGACGGGACTCTAATGGAGATGGAGCTCACAATAGGGAAAACAATAGTAAGGAAAATGAAAATGAAGTAGGATACAAATCTTCCTATGGAAGAGGAATGATCAAGTGCACACCATTTGAGGCTCATTCGAAAATTACATAGCTCATCGAAGAGTAATGATTTTGATCTAGCACATGAACGTTGAAGTAACAAGGGAACATTAGCCTGCGGGTCTGATCGGTTGCTTTCGTCGGAAAACGTTACATGTGGACCGGAGAAATGAACATCTATTAGGGTTTCACCAGAAGTGGTAGTGGAGGTATTGATCATGCTTGAAGTTGTGGGATGGGGATTAATTAACTGAGGGCTTGTGTTATATATATATAACAAATTAGTTGATGGAAGCAAGAGGTCTGTGACGCACTGACACCATGCAACTTTTCTAGTTCTAGTTGCGTGAAGAAAGCTACACTTTTAGAATATACGATCAATGAGTAAATAACATCTTGCTTGGGAGTTTAAGCGAAGCATAATTTGTATATATACATTTGCTCAATTTTTGGAGGATTAGAATACAGATTTTCTACTTTAAAAGTTAAAATCCTAATTAGCAGTAACAAGTATTATGAAGTTCTGGCCAATAAGAATTTTTTTTTTTAAAAAAATTTTTTTTGATTCGGTTTGTGAATTTGAATGCGTGTAAGAGATACATGAATTATTAAATAATAATTTAAAATGATATATATTCACAATTAAATTATTTCATTTCATCGATCATCTTAAATGAATTTGAATGCACGTAAGAGATATATGAATTATTAAAATAATAATACGTTTTTTGAGAAAAATATTTTAAAACATGTTTGAAATTAGTCAACTAAACGAAAAGATTTAATTTGAAATAAAAAGAAAATAATTTAGAATTTAAATTAAAATAGAAAAAAGGTTAGAAATTTTTTTTTCTATCAACCAAAAGCTGAATATATTTTATAAGTAATTAGCTTATATATATATATATATACGTGAAAGTGAAGTGTGAAAGATTGTAGTATGCATGCGTTGTACCAGCTAAGCTGGTTTCTGACCACAAAGAAACAGGAGTGGTGGTGAAGAGGCCGAGAGCAAGCACTTGATGCATGTAAAGCAGAAAGGCTTTGTTTTATCTCGTGAGTTCTCTTTGGCATTCGACCAAAGATTTTCAATGACGTGAAGAATAAAGGGTTTCTGCTACTTCCTCCAAATGGGAATTATTCACTTCCCAAGTCATTATCATATTCTTTGCTTTGCTTGAAATGTCTAAACATCCTTGCAGAAAATAATTAAATAAACCTTTAATAAATCAATATGAGATAATAAATTTTCAAAATTAGACATCCGAAAATCTTTTATTTGATTGACTTGAAAGAATATTTCAAAAATAAAAATTAATCATATATATTTTATATGAATAATTTCGATAGCTAGATTTAAAAATTTTGATAAGATAATATATTAGAAACTTAACATAAATTAAAAAATAAAATTAACATAATTAAAAATAGAAGAAAATTTTGAGAATTTACCTTATTATATAAAAATAAATTAAGCTATTTACTCTTTTTTTCTTGATATTTTTTGGGGTACATTAGTAATTTATGGTTCCTTTTTTTTATTAATTTAGAATTAATTGTTAATTCACTAGTTAGTTTTTCCTTTTTAATTAATTAATTGAGGACAGATACGTGAAACTGTGAAACTCGTGACGGGGCAATGTGCTTGACACGTGGTATAATGGATGGCTAGGGGAGACTGCGAAAGTCATGGGTCCACCTAGAGAGTCACACGTGGATTGGGTCCCAACCACAAAGCCAATTTTGCGTAGTCCCATGTTCCACCTGTAAACTGCTTAAACAGTGCCATGTGTCCCGTTGATACATCGGGCCCAAAGAGTAATAATACCGGCCCAAAGACCACATATTTCCACGAGGAGTAATGTTTTAAGCAAATGGGCTTGAAATTCACATTTTTGTTATTGTTTAGTCCAACACCCTTATGTCGACATAACCTTATGGGGAAATTACGAAGGCATTACGAGTAAATTATAAATTAGTCCCTCTATTTTTTTTTAAAATGAATTAATTAGTTATACTTGTTTCAAAAAGTAATTATTTAATTACTTAATTAGCATTAATCATGCTTTTAATATTTTTTTATTTTAAAAACTATTATATTTTCTCATTAATCATTTCAAAATCTTTAATGATACGTATCAAATTAAGTGTTAATTGGATTTTTATACTGAATTAATTTGTTTAATGTAAACTCTAAGTTAGTGATTTGGCTAACTGTCTTAAATTAATAGCATAATCATAACAATACATGTCATTTGACCATTGATCATGTTAATTTTTTATTTTCCCCATTTTTATCGCTTAAAGCATTTATAAAAATTATATATATATAAAAAAACTAATTTTTTCAAAAAATAATTCCATCAGCTTCATTTTTTTTTATTTGAAATAAATGATAAAAAACTGAAGAATAGATTAAATCTTTTTTTTTTTTTTAAAAAAAGAAAAGTTTAGTAAAGCTAAAACACAAATTAAAAGTTTAAGTATTAATTTTCAAATATATATAGTAAGGTTTAGCAAAGCCAAAACACAAATTAAAAGTTTAAGTACTAATTTTCAAGTATATATATATATATATATATATATGAACCCTAATCTTGAAAATGAATTGGCAATAATCTTGTGATGAATTGGAACAATGAATGGAATGGTTTTATACGCATACATGCGAACTATATTCTACGAACCATCCTTTCGAAGGAAGCATACTCACAAATCACAAAGTTTAAGCACATAGAACTCATAAATCAACGTCCTTTTTTCTTGTCATTACTATACTGATTACAGACGACAGGCGGCTTAATGCCTTATTAACAACGAATTAAAAACACCCATATAATTATACCATTACCGATCAACAAAATCAAATTATTATATTACATATTATATATAAAGACATACACGAAGAAAAACATAAGAATGGCCGGCCTTCTTATTGCACAACAGCTCATGCTTCATAGGACTTTGTCAATTACAACCTTAACTTTCACCATTTGTCCCTTTGCTTTCTCTGAACTCTTCATTTCCTTGTCTTTCATACCCTCTTCATCATTTTCCATCCGAACTTTGATTTCTCTCTTTTTCTTAAGTATTTGATGCTTGAAAACAAACTATACACATCTTCATTATATTATGCCTCATAAGGTAGCAAATTGGCAGTACCTAATGATGCTGCTATGTTACATTTTGGTCACGGCTTGCCATTTTTTTGTCACCTCACATGGTGCAACTGATGCTGAAATCCTCGTCAACTTCAAGAACTCCTTGTCTGTTAACTCCTCCCTGCTAAGCAGTTGGAATGTTTCAGGCAAGCCTCCGTGCAATGGTGGCACTAGTAATTGGGTTGGTTTGCGTTGCAACGATGATGGCTCCATCGATAAGTTGATACTTGAGAATATGGGCTTGAAAGGCACCGTTGACATAGACATCTTGACGCAATTGCCGAATTTGAGAACATTAAGCTTCATGAATAATAGCTTGGATGGTCCAATGCCTGAAGTGAAGAAACTTGGTTCTTTGAGAAACTTTTATTTGTCAAACAATGATTTCTCAGGTAAAATTGGTGAGGATGCTTTCGATGGCATGAATTCGTTGAGGGAAGTTTATTTGGCACATAATGTGTTTACTGGTGGCATTCCAAGATCACTTGTTACCTTGCCGAAACTAACAAAGCTGAGCCTTGAAGGGAATCGACTTGATGGGAACTTACCTGATTTTTCTCAAGAAAACTTGACTGTGTTTGATGCTGCAGATAACAATTTCAAGGGTCAGATACCAACTAGTCTTTCTGGCTTCAGTACAAGCTCTTTTACAGGTTCGTTCCTATAGCAATTCTATGCCTAATTTTTTCTTTGTTATCTCATAAATTCCTATAACAGCAATTCAATTTTAGTTTTTTCCCTTAATAATCATGTGAAAACTGGTCTAAAAGCAAACTACAGTAACAATTGGATGGATGAGTAATGCAAGTGGAAAGCACGATCTTGATCTGATTCTGGTTGTAGAAGTCAAATTACGGACTGTATATAAAACCAATTTCTCTTCAGAAACATTATTGTTCAGTAGTTATGTTTATTGCTGCTGCAATATATATTTAATGCATTCGTTTATGTATGCTTGATGCAGGGAATAAAGGGTTATGTGGAAAGCCACTGCCTGCATGCAAATCATCCAAGAAAAAGACCATGATAATAATTGTGGTTATTGTTGTATCTGTGGTTGCATTATCTGCTATTGTTGCCTTTGCCTGCATCCGCAGCCGCCAAACCAAAACACCCAAATTTAATGGTACCGAAAAGAAATTTGCCAAGAATGGCATTGTCCAAAAGGAAACTCAATTGTCAGATCAGTTTGGTGATGGTAAAAAGGGTGATAATGGACAGTTGCATTTTGTAAGATATGACCGGGAAAGATTTGATTTGCAGGATCTCCTTAGGGCCTCTGCTGAGGTTTTGGGCAATGGCACCTTTGGTTCATCTTATAAGGCGGTTCTTTTAGATGGGCCTGGTATGGTTGTGAAGAGGTTTAGGCATATGAGTAATGTAGGGAAGGAAGAATTTCATGAGCACATGAGAAAGTTAGGAACATTGTCACACCCTAACTTGCTCCCTCTAGTGGCATACTACTACAGAAGAGAAGAAAAGCTTTTGGTTTCTGACTTGATCGAAAATGGCAGCTTGGCTTCTCATCTTCATGGTAACAAATTACTTCTCTCCTTAACACTTTAACATATACCGAAGGAAATGAATTTAGACTCATCACTAATTAGTGGATGATTGTTTATGATCACACTTATCATAGAAGGAAAACGAAAAGAGTGTTGATAAATTGCTAATGTTTATCCTACTAATTTGTTATATTGATGGATTCATCTTTCAGCTAAGCGTTCCCCAGGAAAAACATGGCTTGACTGGCCAAGTCGGCTGAAGATCGTCAAAGGAGTTGCCAGGGGTTGGTCTATCTGTACAAAGAGTTTCCAACATTAATTGTGCCTCATGGCCACCTAAAATCCTCCAATGTGCTTCTAGATGGTACATTCGAGCCCCTCTTGACAGATTATGCTCTGGTTCCTATGGTTAATAGGGACCATGCTCAACAAGTTATGGTTGCCTACAAGTCACCTGAATTCACTCATTCTGACCGCACGACAAGGAAGACTGATGTGTGGAGTCTTGGTATACTGATTCTAGAAGTCTTGACAGGCAAGTTCCCTGAAAATTATCTAATGCAAGGTAAGGGTGGTGATGCAGATTTGGCAACTTGGGTTAACTCAGTTGTTAGAGAAGAGTGGACAGGGGAGGTGTTTGACATGGATATGATGAGGACTAAGAATTGTGAGGGAGAGATGCTGAAGTTGTTGAAGATTGGGATGTGCTGCTGTGAATGGAACCTGGAGAGGAGGTGGGATTTGAAGGAGGCTGTAGCCAAAATTGAGGAATTGAAAGAGAGAGACAACGACAATGATGACTTAAGTAATTCCTTTCCAAGTGAAGGTGATGCCTATTCTTCTAGAGCAGTGACTGATGATGACTTCTCTTTCTCTGTCAATGGCTGAATTGAATGAAGAAAGCTAGCTCACTGCTGTTATTTTTCCAAATTCTGCGTTGGCACTAAGGTTCGAGAGTAGCTACATAAGACGAAGTAATACAGTTTGTTGCTTTGCAAATGCCTGTTTATTTTTCCCTAATTCATATTTGCTTATGTAATGACACTGAATGAGTTATATTTAAGTTCTTTATGTTCTCTCTCTCTCTCTTTGTGCCTAATCTTGCAGCTATATGATGGTGTAAGCGAATCTTTCCATGCTTTTGACAAAATGACGGATATTACGACTTAAAAGAGGATCTAATATCTGCATAATTATGGAATATACCTGTTAAGGTTAACAATAACAGATGCTTTGCTTAACTGTCTTGTCCTGTCACTACACCTGTCTGATGGATAGAGACCTGCTGCATCTCTATCTAAGGTTACACTTGATTGCCTACATATTCCTTCACAAGGGGACCTCACTAGGTGTGGGTTTATCCTCTCGAAGGTTTCTCTTATCTCTTTCTTTTGTCGGGGAATCTGACCAGCTCTCTCTCCCTCCTTCTCTCAATATCATCAGATATACTAAGGTACTTCTGCTTGCTGTCCTTTATTTTCAATTTTTTTAAGGTAAGCTTAAGCAGTTAAAAGTTCTGTATACCAGGCAGTTTTGTATGCCAAATGCACGAGAAATAAGACATATTAGTTGGTTTCTTCTAACTAGAGTCCTGCTTTATGCTTATGGGAATTTCTGAAATCGCACGATCCTTGTCTGATTCTCATGATTTCAGCCTAAACAGTGTTTTATATTCTGATGATGCAATAACCCAAAAGCAATCATTTGAAGAAGCTTCTTATGTTGTGTCGAGGCACTTGATCTTGTGTTCTTAACATGAAAATCCCTGATTTGTGCTACGACTAGGTGGTTAAATGTTCTCTTTTTCCAACCTTTACTTGCCAAATTGTTGCCTCGTGTATGATGTATCCCATGTTGCTGCTCTTCCTGTGATGTTTCATGTAACCTTCTTTATGCACAGTGAAAAAACAGAACCCAGAAAATGCAAAAACTTCACTATTAATTCAAATAATTCTGAAAAAAAATCGTTACAATAAGTGATATAATCTACTCTTAAGTCGTCTCTAACAAAAACCCATCGAGTGCAGAAGAGAGCAGAGAAGCTGGCACTGTTCTAGCCCATAAACAAAGCAGTTGCCTTTACAAGTGGTATGGCTGTAAAATGCGAATACAGATGAAGAATTACTATTAGATTCTTGCAGTACCACCATCTAGACGAGTGGTGTTGCTGTTCTTCCCATTTGGACAAATGCTTGCCAGGATTCTTATCAAGGTTTGGACCATTTCAAAAAGTGATATTGAGCTCATCAAATGCAATTAGTTCTTTGATTGATGCATACCGACCACCCTTTGTCAAAGAGTGAGAATATGCGAAGCTGGTGGTTCTTCCCTCTTGATAGCCATCTTGCGTGTCAGCCTTGTACTTTCATATGCTCAGGATACCATAACAGAATTTAATTTAATGAACATAGCCATAATAGCGTATGCTATTCATGCTTAAATAAGATCATAATAGCAGAATATTACAAAAGTCTTGCTCTTATATAGGAATATTTTAAAATGGACACAAAGTTCTAAATTCCCTTGTGGAATTGAGGCCTCCTAGACGTGTTCAAATAGTGTCTAGTTGCGGGATTCTTTTGTGAATGACACTCTTCTGTGGTTTTATTTCACTTTCTTCATCAGCACTCCCAAGAAAAGCATATAAAGGAAGAGAGGATTACCAGCTTTTTCTCGTAGTTATTATGGCAGGGCCCGATAGTCAAGCTAAATTTATCGAGAGCAGTGATTTTGTCGCCAACTTATCATCACGAGGGGTAGATTATCTTTTATCTGGTGAAGGAAAGGTATTCCTTATGAAACTCTCTTTTTCTGTAATTCCATTTTTCCTAAAATCCCTTTTCCTTCTCTTAACTGCAGATGTTATATCCTTGATGCAGAGGTTTTATATGTTTATGTTTGATCACTGAAAAGTTGATGAAAGTGGAAAAACAAAAATTACAATTTATTTAGCTTCTAAAAAGGAATTGTTCAATGAAATGAGAAAACTAAAATGCAAAATCTTGTTTTGGTTGAGTTTAGGTGCCCTTGTTGTCGTCGTGTGATGGTAAGGTGATTTGCCTCTTCTTCTCCGCAAACTGGTGCAGGCCATGTAAATCATTTGCTCCTCAGCTTGTGAAGATTTATAATAGCCTAAGAGCTACTGGTAATAAACTAGAGATTGTCTTCATCTCCTTTGATCGCGACGAGGACGGATTCAAGGAACACTTCAAGTGCATGCCATGGCTTGCAGTCCCTTTTGAAGTAAACTTGCATAGATATTTGAGTGACATCTATCACGTTAATCGCATTCCGTCATTTATCTCATTGAGTTCGGATGGAATATCAGTTGAAGAAGATATGATTGGTTTGGTCGAAGACTATGGAGCTGAAGCATTTCCCTTCACCAGGAAAAGATTCGAGGAGTTGAGGTCTATCGATGATGCAAAGCGCCATGGAGGGAAATTACAACAACTTCTGGCACATGAAGGAAGAAATTATGTTTTATCAAGAGATACCAGAAAGGTGATCTAATTTTGTACCCTGTTGTTGCTAATGGCATGCCTAGGCATAACTTTGACATCTTTTAACCTTTCTGCAGATATTAGTATCTGAACTTGGTGGCAAGACAATAGGCCTTTACTTTGGTGCACACTGGTGCCCTCCAAGCCGAGCCTTCACTGCACAACTCATCCAAGCTTACAGCGAGATCATAACCTCCAAAGATGGATGTTTTGAAATTATTTTAGTCTCTACAGACCGAGACCTTAAAGAATTCAACACCAACCTAAGCAACATGCCATGGCTTGCTATTCCCTATGAGGACAGGACGCGGCAAGACCTTTGCAGGATCTTTAACATTAAAGGGATTCCAGCTTTGGTCATTATTGGACAGGATGGGAAGATCATTAGCACAGATGGAAAGGCCATAATTTCCTTGTATGGTGCTAAGGCTTTCCCATTTACAGAGTCGAGGATCACAGAGATCGAAGCAGCTTTGGAAAAGGAAGGAGATGCATTGCCTCGGCAAGTGAAGGATAAAAAGCACCAACATGCTCTGAAGTTGGACATGGCAAAAGCATATGTATGTGACTGCTGCAAGGGGCAAGGCAAGTTCTGGGCATTCTCTTGTGATGTGTGTGATTATGACCTTCATCCAGCATGTGTAGAAGAGGCATGCTCAGACTCTTAGTGAAAGCAGGAGATATAAATATAACAGCTTAAATGTAATACTCGAAAAGACTCTGATGAATAATATATTACCTTACCTTACCTCTCCAAGAAAACAAATTTTATTCAGGCACTTATTTAATGTAACAAACTCGTTTTTTTGATACGACAAACCAACCGTGTGCATCCACTTAAGACTAGTAGATGGAGTCAAAGGCGTCATTTCACTTATCCTATGCATGCCAGTTTGGATCAAAGAACCAAAAATCTGATGGCACTTGAATGTCTATAGTCAAACACCAGAGAGCAATTTGAGGGGGAGAGATTTTTGAGGATGGCTAGAATTTATCAAGTTAGTTAGAAGAGCAACAAAATGATGAAAAACAAAAACTAGCCTAATTTAGGAAGATACAGCTAAGATTGTGGAACTTGAGGGGAAAAGGATATGGCAGTAGAACCACAAAGAGGTAAAGGTACCTTTCTGTCTCTCTCCCTCTAGAGAGAGAGGAAGAGATAATCAACGAAAAGAAAAGCAAAAAAAATCCCATTTGCATAAAATTTTTATATTCACACTGCATTCCTGAGTTTCTTGTAGAGAAAGTTGAAGGTTGATTAAAAGGGTCTCAGCAGCTTCTGATAAGATACCGGAAGAGAAACCAATCCGTAGAACATTTCAAAAGTTCTGTTATTAATTGCAAGACAGAGAGAGATGTGGATGCCAAGGTCTTTGCCGGAGAAAAGGGATGTAGGAAATGGATTAATTGCGGTGGCAATAGACAAGGATAAGGGCAGCCAAATTGCCCTCAAATGGGCCATTGACAATCTTTTGGTGAAAGGGCAGACTGTTATTCTCATCCATGTCAGTCTCAAATCATCTTTTTCTTCACATTCAGCTTCCCAAAGTAAGCATCTCCCTTGCAACCTTTGTTATGCATGCGGATTACAGATGCAAATAGAAAATTGTCATGAACTCCATTTTGTATTTGTTAATAACCAGCTGCTTTCATAACATTTATCGGAAAGCATCATCTTATCAGGAAATGGTATTTTCCTTATAAAGTTTTACAGAAAAGAGGATGAAAATTTGGTAACAAATGAAATCAAATCTTGGATTTTCATGCTAACAGAAATTAAGAAGCCCGTATAGCTTTGCAATGAATGCATTTTTTAGTAAAAAGTCTGATGTAGGAGAAGTTTCTTAACATGTTCCTGATCATTTTTAATGCAGGGATGAACCAAATTGCTGATTCCAATGGCGCATCCAATGTTGATCCCAAGGAGTTATTCCTTCCTTTCCGCTGTTTCTGTACGCGTAAAGATGTAAGTGTGGAAGATGAAACCTTCATTTTCTTTCAAAGCAGAATCGACCTGGAAAAGCCTATCCTGCAAGAAATATTTACTTAGCTATATTATTATCAAGAGTACACGTACATTTGTTCTAAAATTCTTTATAAATTGGATTCATGAAGGCCTTTTAAGAAAGCACACATTTCACGTCATATTCCTAAGTCTTTAAACTCATGTATTCATTTTTGACATCAGATTAGCTGCAAGGATGTCATACTGGAAGACACAGAGGTCGCAAAAGCATTAATTGGATACGTTAATCAGAATGCAATTGAGACTTTGATTGTTGGTGCGTCGGCGAAAGGAGGCTTTCTTAGGTATGCAACTCTCTTGAGAGATATCACTAGCAGAAATATATATATATATATGTACCGGAACTTCTACTCTGATATGAGAAGAGAAGTTAGATTTCTGAAAATATTCCTATAAACGACACAATGCATCCATCTCAAATGCTATGACAGACAAGATAGACTAACATCAGATGCTACGATAAATTGCTTAAATTCATTAATTAGGATGTTGAAATGTGTGAAAATGGCTAACAAGCTTTGCATTAGCAGTCTGAATGAGTGTTTGTGTGTTTTTGTAAAAGACTAATGACATTATGAGAGCATAATTTTCTTCCAAATTCCTCAACTTCCGAAAAATTTCTTCCTCGAAGATTCAAAGCAGCAGATGTCGCCAGTAGCGTGTCGAAGGGGGCACCAGATTTTTGCACTGTATATGTTATATCCAAAGGGAAGATTCAATCCATACGGGCTGCCTCCCGTTCTGCACCAATTAACTCTTCATTGCATAACCAATTTCATAATCAAAACAGCACATCGCCAGCTTCTATGGATGCACAGATCCCCCCACTTCTGTTAAAAGAGGTCAGGGATTTTGTTTTTTACTTCTTGTCCTTCGTCTTTCTTTTTTATAGTAACTCGATCCTATTGATCGATCATATTGAATTAATGATGTGTATTCAATCAGTAGCTGATAAGCCACCCCTGGAGCCACCTCGAAAATCAGTTGGTGATACAGAATCCTTCAGGTAAGCGATGCTTAGTGCTCACTGTCATTGTTTCATAAGAGACGAACAATGAAACTCCAAAAACATATATTAACTACACAGGTAGTTTGCTAGTGAAGAAAAGGCCTGCAATATTTTAGAACAATTCATGCCAGACTCCTATCGATGACCTTAATTCTGTCTTCTATAGTACCCAAATGAGAAAGGGGAAACTTTATCAGTCTCTCGAAGGACTAACGTTAAAATTTTCGCAACTGAAAACAGGTCACCATTCACTAGGAAAGGCTTAAATGGAAAATCGTACGGTGAACTCTCGGTTCCAGATACTGATATATCCTTTGTCAGCTCAGGCAGACCAAGCATCGATCGCATATTTCCATCATTTTATGACAATACAGAAACAAGCCGCACACCTCCACGGCTCTCAAACATCTCTGACATTGACAGCAACTACAGCTTTGAGTCATCGCATTATGGAAGGAGGTCAATGGATCAAAGTGGATTTTCACCTGAATTATCGAACTTCTCAAATGAAAGTGACCAGATGCTATCAGCTTCGGTAAGAGCATGTAGCCATTCATTTCAATCTCTGACAAGTAGGATAGGATCTGCATTATCTGTAAACAAACAAGCATATGTATACAATAGTTTCATCTAGAAGTAGTGTAATAATGAACAAACATGGATCTAAACCTTGTTACCCAGGAAACGAACTAATCTGTGAACAGTTCTACTTTGATCCACGTAGATGAAGAATGTTGCCCACCTTCCTGTAAAGCTGACAGCAATTTTCCGAGTTTTCTAAAATGACAAATAATCCACTATCTACATTACTGTTTGTGAGAGCTAACAATTGCATTCAATATACATGAAACGCAAAATTTAACATGCGGTGCTGTAAAACCTCAGGATGATGTTGAGGCTGAAATGAGAAGGCTAAAGCTGGAGCTCAAGCAAACAATGGAAATGTACAGTTCTGCCTGCAAAGAAGCACTCACTGCAAAACAGAAGGTAAAAGAAATTGCATCTTCTTGTCATGTGGCCTCAAGGACTCCACAACGTGTTCTGAGCTAAACTTCTTTGCAGGCAAGAGAGCTTCAGCGCTGGAAAATGGAAGAAGAGCAGAGATTGGAAGAAGCACGACTAGCTGAGGAAGCTGCATTGGCAATTGCAGAAAAGGAAAAAGCCAAATCCAAAGCAGCAATTGAGGCTGCAGAAGCAGCCCAGAGAATTGCTGAGCTGGAAGCACAAAAAAGGATTAGTGCAGAAATGAAAGCACGCAAAGAAGCAGAAGAGAAGAGAAAGGCCCTTGATGCTCTGGCAAATTCAGATGTCAGATACAGGAGGTACTCAATCGAAGAAATTGAAGCTGCAACAGAATACTTTTCAGAGTCGCGCAAGATTGGAGAAGGGGGTTACGGTCCTGTGTACAAGTGTTATCTAGACCATACATCCGTAGCAATTAAGGTTTTACGTCCGGATGCAGCTCAAGGAAGGTCACAGTTTCAGCAAGAGGTATGTGGCCAAAAACAATTCTCTACAGGAACTTCAATTCTCGAAAATTTTCAAGCTCTTATTCTGAACCGTATTTCAAAGGAAAAATCAGTGAAGTCACATTTCAGAAAGCAATTTCCCCAAAAACATTATTTTTTAAAATTCATTGAACAGCTTAAGAATGAACCCCTTGATTTTTTTTAACCCTTTCATGGTTCATAAAAATCAACGGAAGTCTCTCTGAAACTATACTGAGAGCTTTTGAAAATTATCTTCATCTTTTAGAGGCACAGAAATTCTAGATTTTTGCATAACCTGATGAGAACTGTTTGCAGGTTGAGGTACTGTGTTGCATAAGGCACCCTAACATGGTCCTCCTCCTGGGAGCCTGCCCTGAGTATGGATGCTTAGTATATGAGTTTATGGCCAACGGGAGCTTAGAAGATCGTCTTTTCTGCAGAGGAGACACTCCACCTTTGTCGTGGCAACTGAGGTTTCGTATCGCAGCCGAAATTGGAACCGGTTTGCTGTTCCTCCACCAAACTAAACCTGAGCCACTTGTACACCGTGATCTAAAACCTGCCAACATCTTGCTTGATCGCAACTTCGTGAGCAAGATCAGCGATGTAGGGTTGGCCAGGCTAGTCCCGCCATCAGTTGCTGACAATGTGACACAATACCGCATGACATCCACAGCCGGCACTTTCTGCTATATAGATCCTGAGTATCAGCAAACAGGCATGCTAGGCATAAAGTCAGATATATACTCTCTAGGGATCATGTTTCTACAAATATTAACAGCGAAGCCGGCAATGGGATTGACTCACCATGTTGATAGGGCACTTGAAAAGGGCACTTTTGCTGAAATGCTGGATCCCGCAGTGCCTGACTGGCCGATTGAAGAGGCAACATTCTTTGCCAAGCTAGCACTCAAGTGTGCCGAGTTAAGACGGAAAGACAGGCCGGATCTCGGCAAGGTTGTCCTGCCAGAACTTAACAGATTGAGAGCACTGGCTGAAGAAACTATGCATCAGTCATTGTCATCAGCAAGTCCAGTTCCACGCTCTCCACCGTTTAGCCCAGTTTCAATGCAACTAGTAAGCTCACTAGAATTTAATTCTGCATGAAATTGAGTCACTAAAGAGAAAACTTTACCTTAACTTATGGTTGATGTTTCTGCAGAATGACCATCCTTCTTCGAGGTCTGAAGTAAGCGCAAGAAGAAGCCCTTCAGCCCTTGCATGAAATGTCACTGAAAAAACCAAAAACTGTAACGATAGAGGAAATTAAAATGGGAGTAATTCCATCATTTTCCTTTTTCTTTTCTTTTTGATACTCTGTAGATATCATCAATCGAGATGACGTGATAAGTTCCTCAGGAATTTTTAACTTTTTTCTGTTTGTGTTTCAATGTCATAAATTAGCCGTCCAAACTCTTTCAATTGCCATGGAAGTGGCTAGCAAAGAGCTTACTTAAGTTTGTAGACTGTCGCTAAGAACTTTTAGCAGTATTCCTGTAATTTGATTTTGCTGTAAAGGTACCCCTCATTGGTACGAACACAATGATCTATCCCAAAAGAATCAGTTTATCAAATTTGATTTCATACTCCCTCGTAATGGCTTGGAGACTTATACTCCTCAGCTTCTTCTCCTTTTCATGAAAAACTGTTTGGAAAGGATAAGCAAGCATGCAAACATGGATCAAGAGAATTGCCCCTTTAGTAAGGTTTCAAGAGAAGGTTTTGCAATAGCCCAAATATTTCGGTTTCTTTTTGGAGAGGAAAGCATATTTATACATATATTCACTCCGCTTCAATTTAATTTAATCACAAGACGAATACCAATAATTCTAGTCTAATTATAGTGAGTAGAGTTGTTAACGAATCGAATTCGATTGAATCATAGTAAATTTGGAACTGATTTATTTAGTGAAACAAACGAGATCTTATAAATTCGGATCAATTTTTGAAATTGTGAAATTGGATTTAAATCCTAATGGAATATTGTTCGAACATAAAATATATTTCATTTACTATATGTATATTAAAATATATTAAGATAATATTTTATTTATCTATTTTGTAAAAAATTTAAATGTCACACAATTCAAAAGTACAAAATCAAATAATCTTAATAAATTTTTTTCTTGAACTAGGTAGAAAGTATGATAAAACTAAAAGAAATAAAAAATAAATAATTTCATTTCTTGTCCACGTGGTAGAAAAAATAAATTGATGACAAATATAATAACACCAAGTCTTGAAAAAATATATAAGACAATTTATAATTTTTTTTTCATGAAATTGAATTAAGAAAATAATAAGAAATTTTACAGTCGCTATTATTGAAAAATATATATTATTTAAATTTTATAATAAACAAATTCTAAATTTCAACCTAGTTTCATATATATATATATATATATATGAATTTAATCTCTTTAATAAATAAATTAACTAATTTGGATTATAATCGAACTTGAATTAAAAAAATTATTTATCATATTCATTTAATTATATGAAATTGAGATCAAGATTGATTCAATGCATGTAGGACTACTTGATTCAATCCATTTACAGTCCTAGGAATATTCTTCTTTTGCTCGTAAAAGATTACATATTCGAATCTTCTTGTAGAATATTTGTGCTTAAAAAAACTATATCACAAGAGAAGGTCAAAATAGTCTTTCAACATAGTAATGATAGCCAATTTAATCCATTGTGGTAACACGCCTCCTCTCCGACCTGCTAAGTGCTAACTACTGTCCTCTTAGTACCTAATAATACCTAACAATTGATGTTGACTGTAAGAACCTTTCTATGACCAAAAAGACAAAAAAGAAAAAAAGGCGGCTGGCTTTTACATATCTTCATAACCTCGGTAAATTTGCTTCCATGAGTTCGAAGTGCTCTGAGACATTTCCATAACCCAAAAAGGACGTGAGGGCACCCATGACTTGAATCTAGACAAGGTTTGCCAAATGATTGATAGATAAAATGGGAGTAATTCCATCATTTTCTTTTTCTTTTCTTTTTTATACTCTATAGATATCATCAATCGAGACGAGGTGACAAGTTCCTCATCAATTTTTTACTTTTTTTCTGTTTATGTTTTAGTGTCGTAACTTAGCGGTCTAAACTCTTTCAATTGCCATAAAAGTGATTATCAAAGAGCTTACTTAAGTTTGTAGACTTTCGTTAAAAACTTATTTAGTGAGTAAGTTATCAACGGATTGGATTCGAATCGAATCATACTAAATTTGAATTTGATTTATTTAGTGAAACAAATTGAATTGTATAAATTTAGATCGGATTTTGAAACTACGAAATTAGATTCGGATCTTAATGAATTCGAGATCGCATTCGAGAGATCGATTGGATTTATCACTTGATTTTTATAAAAAAAATTATCATTATTACATTTTATATATTGCTCAAATATAAAATATATTTCATTCACTATATTTATAATAAAATATATTAAGATAATATTTTATTTATCTATTTTGTAAAAAATTTGAAATGTCACATAATTCAAAAGTACAAAATCAAATAATCTTAATAATTTTTTTTCTTGAACTAGATAGAAAGTATGATAAAACTAAAATAATAATAATTTTATTTCTTGTCTATGTGATGGAAAAAATATTATATTTATTATAAAAATATTATTTTTAAATTCAAATTAAATTATTATTAGATCAAGATTCAATCCATTTTACAATCTTATCCTTGTAGAAAATTACATATTCAAATCTTCTTGTAGAATATTTGTGCTTCAAAAAACTATACCACAAGAGAAGGCCAAAATAGTCTTTCAACACGGTAACGATAGCCAATTTAATCCATTGTGGTGGTAACACGCCTCCTCTCCTACCTGCTAACTACTGTCCTCTTAATACCTAACAATACCTAACAATTGATGTTGACTGTAAGAACCTTTCTATGACCAAAAGAAAAAAAAAAAGACGGCTGGCTTTAACATATCTTCATACCCTCGGGTATATTTTCTTCCATGAGTTCAAAGTGCTCTGAGACATTTCTATGACCCAAAAAAGGAGGTAGGTGAGGGCACCCATAGCTTGAATCTAGACAAGGTTTGCCAAACGATTGATAGATAAAAAATAAACATAATCCAAGAGATGGGGCATCGTTTAAAAATACAAGCTAGAAAGCCCAAGAAATGCCCATTTTAAATTACATATTACATAATACAACACAGGTAATGTAATTAAAACTCGCATCTCAGAAAAAAATCCATAGAGCTCAAACAAGGTACCCAGAAGAAAAATCATCCAAAAATGGCGCCCTTGAATTAACGGTAATACATGAGCTGCTGAGCGGCCAAACTATTAGGATATCCATCATACAGAGCTTGGGACCCGCCGGAGCTCAAGCCCATCGATGCAGAAGCTAGGCCATGCTGTCCAGTCAGCTGTACAAGAGCTTGCCCTGAAAGGCCAGATGCAGCAGCCTGGTTTAAGGCAAGTTGGCGCTGATAGGCCAGCAAATCAGCCGCAGAATAGCCTTGGTTTATGCCAGTTGATGGAGCGATATGATATGGTTGAACTGGAGGTGGCAATGGATTTGAAGCTGTTCCAGGAGGAGTTGGCTTGCTACCCCATGAGCACTGCACAAGGAAAAAACCAATGTTGACATGAAAGGAAGCAATATGCCAAAAAAATAAAAAAAAGTAATATTATATCTGACCTTCATGGGCTTTCCACAAACTATCCTCCCATTGCCCATTTGTATGGCTGAGGCTGCTTCTTCATGAGTGTTGTATCTGACAAATCCAAAACCTTTATCTCTCTGGACACGCACCTCCTCGATTACGCCTACCCCAAGAGCATGAAAATGACTATGCAGCTCGGTTTGAGTGACCTGATCATACAGACCAAATTGTCAAGCAAAAGGTACAGAGCCAAGGAGTCAACATCTCATCATTTCCATTCAGGAGTTAACAAGATAGATTTTTTAAAAAAAAAAAAAAAAAAAAGAGACCAAAAGAAGATAAAAAAATATGACAAGAAACCAATAACTCTCAAAATCAGAAGTTCCTGAACAGATAGCATATTTAATCTGTTGCCTCTAAAGCACTTTTTATTATTCAAAAATGTCTTGAAAAATGATATGAGAGTGCCTATGGCTTCATAAGAAGCTCCTATTCACTTAAGAAATGTGGAATTGGAGATCAAAGTTCCCGCTTCAGAAAAAAGAAAAAAAAAGGGTTTAACCTAAACAGGTAGAAAGCAGCATGATAGTTATATATTTCTTTATTCATCCTTCAAATACCTCATGGGAAAGATTGCCGACATAGACAGTGGTGTATGCAGGATTGTTTTCAGGAGCCTCTTCATTAGTGTTTTCCTGACCTCCTTCTGCTTACCAAGATACAAAAGCAAAACTCTGTCAGCATTCAACTCCCCAACCATACATTTAAAAAAGATATCTGGTTTAAAAACTCGATACAACAGGAAATAGCTCAACTAAAATTCAGAACTTTTGGCTGGAAAATGGAGTTCTATGCTGATCGTAGCTAAAGAATCATGCCAAAATGAAGCTCAAAGAAAACTTATGGCAAACCAAACCAAATGCAATAATAAATAAATAAATAAAACACATTGAGAATACACTACAGTGATGATTCCACTAAATGATAGCAGGGACTAGCAAAATACTTTGGGACCTTGAAATGAGCTAGTCACATATCTATGCATGCTTGGTAAATTGCAAATGCCTATGAACCATGGGTGTGCATGAAATGCGGAAATAATAAAATTCTTAGTTGTTAAAGTCATTCACCATTATCTCATACTTGAGATAGAAAGGACCAAAGAGGGAGAAAGCGACCTTCTAGGCACTACCTAAGGTTTGATCTTCTAGATCGAGCAAAGAAAAAAAAAAAAAAGAATCTAAATAATGTGGGCTAAATTACCAGAAAAGATTTAAGCTACCTGAAGTTCCATTAGTAAGTATAACTGCATTTTGGTTATCACTGTTTTGCTTATCTTCATTGGATCCGATAGCTTTAGTTGCCCAATTACATCTTATCTGCCTGTTTCCAAGCCATTTACCTACAGTTAAGAATGGGAAAACCCGTCAAAATTCTGCAGTAGTTCTTCCCAGACAACTCAGAATAGTAAAACCAAGCAGCCAAGGATGAAAGTTAGATGTCTAACCAGTTAAGTCATTAATTGCACTTTGTGCCTCCTGCAGATCAGTATCACTAAGAGAATTAGTTTATGACTCAAGCAAATTCTTAAGAAATTTTAGTCAACATCCAAATGGCAAAATCACAACACAAATGTATCAAAGGCACCAGACATAAAATTAGTCTTCAATTTGTTCGTGGAAAACCAATCATTACTTAATCAAAAACATTGAAAATGGATTTGTCAAAAAAACATTAAAATGGAAAATAAAAACACACAGTCTAAGTTTGGTGTTTTACCCGAAAAGCCGATGCACAGGCCTCGGCCATCGGGCTATCATCATGCCGAAGGCTGAGGGATTACTCAACTTAGGCATTTCAATGATTTTATAGAAGATAAGTAAAGGTACAACATCTTCTACAAATCACAAATAAAAAAAAATCTAATCCTATAAAAAATTTTCAATCCACATGCAAATTCCAAATAAACTAGAAAAGTACAAACAATTCTAGCTGAGGTCCTCAAAATTTCAAGGTCCAAGCAAAACATTGTTAACCCATAAAATCTTCTATTCCTAAACAATTTACGTACATTGTGCGTGACAACAAGTTCATAAAGCATAAAATGGATTACACAATAAATCCACAACCCTAATAACCGAAAGCATACCAGCTGATTACGGAATGAAACAAAGCCATATCCTTTCGAGCGGCCAGTTTTGTGATCCCACATGACCCTTGCATCGCTGAAAATGATGCAACATTATGAAAATAAACATAAGGTTTTGAGAACAAAAACAACCGCCTAATATTTTACAAAGCCAAAGAGGAGCATAAGACATGAGTAACTTAAGAGAGATGTAGCAGTCCACTTTAACATCTCATCCAAGATTGTTAACATTAATCAAAGAGTAATCCATTTGTTGTAACAAATACATTTGTAGTTTTAGACAAAAGTGCAAAACAGTTCAGTGTGATTTAGCCATTTACATTTCAATGACAGCTTCTTTCCCCACTTGAGTGACTTGCGTTTTGTTCCTCAACAGTGTCCTTAACTGTTTTAGCATCAAGAAATATGTCCCTGACACTGCATTTAACAACTTTTTAAATGGATGGGCATGACTGGGTATGCTTAAAAGTGTTGCAAATAGCAAAAGAGCATCAATACCTTTGCCTTATTTTTCTTCTGGTATTAACACATTTAAGAGCGTTGCTTAAAGAATAAAACACAAATAAATGCAAATTGGCCCAATGACAAAATACTTGGTTTGCACTTGACCCAACCCATTTCAAATACTAAAAAATAAGAAACAGAAAACAAGGAACTCACGAGCAACTAGGAAAGACCGAGAAGCATGCAAATAAAGTTGCATCAGTAACCTCTGGACTCAAATCACCAACAAATATATGGAAATGCCCTGACAAGATGAAAGGATAAACCCATAAACCATGAACAAGCAAGAGGCAACCAAATTAAAAAAGAGCAGAAGAATGAAACTGAAATAACCTGATGTATCCTCCCTTTGGCTATTGGCATATGCCCAATTCACTTTAAGCGCCTGACCATAACTGGAAAATATATTAATAAAGCATGAAAAACAAAAAATCTATGATATCCAAAAACAAAAAATGAGTTTACATTGAAAACAAGGTAGCACTTATTACTGAGTAAAAACTAGTATAGCTTATTTGCAAACCTTAATTACTCAATCCACAACATGCAATCAAATTAGTAATTCTATGAATACTGAAGTGGCTGAGTCCAGAGGAGTGCTTGAAAATAGGAAACAGATCAGTGTACAAACATACCATTTACAATCATTCTTACACTTGTTTTAGATTGTCAGGCGAATGAGTCAATTAGGCTACAGGTAAAAAAAGACCAAGCATAATTAAGGAGACAATGAAAACTTACAGTTGGCGTCCATGCAATGTCATTATTGCAAGTGCTGCAGATGATCGGTCATGGTAGTCCACAAAACCATATGATGACTACAATTAGCACAAATGAAATGAACCATCAAACAAGTGCAGGCAGCATCATGGAAAAGAATATAGTAAAAAGAAAACAGATAAGACCAGCATAAAGTCAGAAAAGAAAACCTTTTTTTTTTTTTTTTTAGTAAAAGAAATACAACATGTAGAAATACATGCAAAAGAGACATCCTCCATCTTTAGTGTTCAAGTTTTGTTTCGTTTTTTTTTTCAGCTGAAATGATACTAGGCAACGTCATGAAGTGACGAAAAATGTCCGAGAAACAAAGATTAAAGGGGAAAAAAAAAGTGGGCAATGGGGGAGCCGAACTGAGCATAGTAGTAATGAAAGAGAAAGAAAGAAAAAAAAACCTTATCCTTTCTGATGAGTTTGCATCCAGCAAGAGGGCCAGCAGTGGCGAAAACTTCAGCAAGAAGTTTGTCAGTGACGTTTACATGAATATTTCCTACATAACTAAAGGAAAGACACAGAGTGAGTATTAGAAATTAGAAAGAAAGTGAAATAAGAAATGCAAACATCTTTCTTTCACCATATACATAAATAAAAAATGCTTCAGGAAGGGAAGAGAAGGGAAGGGAAATTAGGTTAAAAAGAAAAGAAAGGGGTGAAATAGAAATAGGCTTACACGCTACGACAAGAGGAAGAATCAAAACCAGGAGGCAGATTACCACCAGGGATGGGCTCCATCTGCAGCAGAATAAATATAATTACATTACGTAACCAAAAAAAAAAAAAAAATTGAATCCAAAACAATAAATTAAGAAAAACATTAAATTTCATTAGCAATTTGAGATGCAAATGTATAATTATTTTTAAGAGAAGAAAAGAAGAGAATGGTGATTGAAGCAGAAAGAAACCTAACAAACACAGATTGAAAATTTAACAAAGAGAAAGAGAAAGAGAGAGAGGGAGACCTGAGACATGGCAGCGGCGACGAGGGCAGGATGATGATGATGCTGATGATGATACATGTGCTGCTGCTGATGCATTCACTCTCTCTCACCACCACCACGATGACGACTGATCGGCAACAACAACCCTCTATCCTTCTCTTAGTTTTTTTTTTTTTTCCCTTCCCTCGGTTATGATATGTTATATATGTCCGCAAACGCTTCCTTTCAGCTTCATTTACAATAAAAACTAGTAATTTATTTATTTATATCCTTTCTTTTTGTTTTTACATTTTTTATATTTTCATTTTTCCTAAATCAGTTAATTTCGGTCTTAATTATATCCTCTCACTAACCTTTTGATTTAACAGTGTTAAATCGTAACATTAACGTCATAGAATTGCAACACATCTCTTTTTTTTTTTTTTTAATCATTCATTTACTTTTTTTTTTTACCAAATTTAAACAAATAAATTTTGAAAAGAAAAAACTGAAAAAAAAAAGATTAATCAAATACATAGCTTTTTACAGGATTTATTATGTTCATTTCTCAATAAGGAAAAAAAAAAAAAAATAATGGACGGTCTGTGAATCTGCGAAACCGGCGGGCAACCAGACTGTCCTGAAAAAACACCTAACAGGAAATTCAATTACTACCTACAACAAAATTGCTTATTCTTACACGGTTATACAAAATTCTTTTGTAAAAAAGAATCTCTCCATGTCCGTCCAGACAGGAACTGAAACCATCCTTCTCAGTGTATCCTTCCCTTGTAACTATAAAGTTGTCTTCTTCTTCGATAGATTGATTGAATTGATTGTGTGAAAGTATTAACCAAAAATGATTCCAAGTATTTACTGTTCATTCACTCCACTCTACATAGCCTGAACAGCTTCTTCTACTTTCGGTTTGCTCTTCGGTCGCCCGGATAGACTTACATTTTTACCTGATAAAATCTGCAATGCTTTCTCCATGGTAATGTTCTCCGGCTTCAAATTCTGCATGTGTTTCAAATAACACCCCAAACATGAATGGTTTGCATGAAGATACTGCAACTATTAGTTGATTCCCCCATGTTCTGAACATCATTACTCAATACAACGAAAAGAAATGCTAAACAAGACATACCTTAGGCACAGAAGCCAGTGTACGACGATGTTTGATCGTATATCCAACCTTTCCAAGCTTTAGTATCACTGGTTGCCCATCCTTCGGATGGTCACCCTAACAAAAAGGAAACATAATTAGGGCAACAATAGCTAGAGGCAAAGGAAAGATAAATCTGTGGCGATATTAACGAGCATACCAATGTCAGAGGGTAGCGTAGCAAGTCGAGAGCAACTTCAAGAGTAATAGCATCCACATCCTTTATCTAAAAAGAGAACAATTTGGTCCATTTAATAATTGTTTGCCAATTACAATTCACAGCATCGCACCAAGTGCATTTCCAAAAACACTTTGTACCCATCCAAAGAGACACTAGCAGGACATACATAACCGAAAAAAAAAAAAACGACCACAATGAAACATTGTACCCATCCAAAGATGGAGAAGGAAATTTTAATGAATTAAACATGCCAACAATGACTACAATGTGCTAGTGGGCAGAGCAGCATGGCAGATGACATCTCTAAATTTGCCCCAAGGGGGAAAAAAAGGGAAATGGACACGCATACACAACATTGCATCAACATAAATGGCATCAGAAAGCAAAAAGACGTTCCAAAACAATCGCATGTATGACACAAGTAAATCTATACATACATGGGAAACAGAAGATCTTTTAGGTGTGTGACCCTTCCTGTCATCACCAAGCTGTATGTAGAATCCATAAGGCCCGTTCTTCAAAAGAAGCTAGGAAAAAAAACAAAAAAAACAAAACACTTCTTGTCAACTTCAATGAAACAACAAACAAAATCAAGGCATACCAGTTGCACTGGTTAATGGAAGTAGTACTCTCATGCAAAGAGCTAGGTTTTTAAGGAAAACCTTTTCATTGGAAGTTGGATGAACGCCAAGCACTTTTGGTTCATCAGTATTAGTACTTTGAGGATTTTCTTCTTCATCATCATCACCATATAACGTCTTTGCAATGTACCTGTCACATTGATCAGCAAAACTCAACCATTTGCTACCAAAAACAGGAAAAAGGGGCGTTGGGGTTCTCAGAAAAGTAAACCCACTGTCATGATTAAGAGAACCTCTTAACAAACCGAAAGAACCACAAGTAATACCAGGTTATCACCTACTCCTATTAAATATCAGAAATCTGTGACAAAAAAACTAGAGTAATATGCCTCAGAGCCAGCTTCTCTATCTTTTGCCACAGATTTACTTCAGCATACAACAGCAAAAGACAACTTATATAATAAATCAAACTGAAGAACTTATTTTTAGAAATATATGAATGTGAGGGATTGCAAAAGGCAGACCATACTCACTTGCACTTTGGGTGTTGGTCGCATCCAATAAAATAGCCTGCACCAAACCTACTTACTTTGAATATCAAAGTGCCCTCCATACAGCTGAAGCAAGTCCAAAGAAATATTGGAGTCAGATTACTTAGTCAGAACGATGATGATCAAAATGAGACATGCCACAAAATAGAAAGTTAGGATTAAATAAAACCCATTTCATCGCCCACTAACACATGAAACAGCAGGATACACCTACCATGGGCATGTTCTACTTTTATCAGGGAGCGAAGCGAACAAAAAATGGCCATATGTTCTCTCCAACATCTTCTCCACCTGGAAATGAATTAAAAAAGTGAGGATAGTTATTGAAATTCACATGAGTAATGTCAGGAAAAAAAAAAAAAAACTTAAAGTCTTAGGAGCAACGTATTTGGAACCCCTTCAACTAAAGACAGAACTGTACCTGGTGAATATGGACACTTTCAGCACGGCTACAATACAACCGAAATCGTGTCCAATAATCTTTGAGAAGGCCTTTCCATTCAGTTAAGCCAGCAGAAACATTATCAAGCTGCAGGCAAGAAACATAAATCAAGAAATTAATAACTGCCATAGTGATTGCAGTAAGTAATGAATGACCACCATTGAAATTGTTGAAAACAGAATAAAAAGGGAAAGAAAAGAAATAAATCATGATTACAAAAAAGTAGACGGCAAAAGGATTATACAACTCTTGAAGAGAAAGGTAAAATATTATTTTCCAAACAGGACTAGCATCTGAAAAAGTAAGGAGATTTGAATGCTAACTATTTAAATCACCTCAGTCTCCATATCAGCAGTAAAGCTGTAGTCCGTGACCTCAGTAAAATGGTGAGAGAGAAATGCCGACACCTGACAAGGCCAAAACAAATGGCTATTAAGAGAAGCTTTCCAAAAAACCAACTTTTTTCGTAGCACAGTACTTAGCATAGATTTCAAGGAGGAGAAAGGAGCCTCATTGAACAATCATAAATAGGTGATACACTTGTATTCTTTTTCATGAATAGTGACAACTGTAGTTTTTGCTACTTATACTCCATCATATTTATTTATTTATTTTGGAGGAGAGGGGTTGCTTCAAATATCAGGGTTCTTGTCTCTGTGATTGTTTGACTTGTATGTTTTTTTTTTTTTTTGATAACTGAGCAGTAATTACTGAGGGGTTAACTGAAATCCAAATCAGCCTTAGCAAGACACTCTTTGTCAAAAGAATCAGGAAAATAACCTAAAACAGACTTTCAAAGTTCATCTAACTGTTTGCCATCTTTTGTAGCTTAATTCATTGCTTTGGATCCATTGTAGATTACTTCTTTCAAAATATATAAATTAACAAGGCAAAAATTTATCAGACAATACGTTAATTGGAAGGATGCTAAATCCAAGGTCATTCAGCAAGAGGTTAGAACATACCATGCGACCACGAAATTCTGGATGCAGTACATGGTTTTTTACAGTCACATAGTTCCTATCCTGGCATCATGTATAAATCAGATGTTAATAGACAACTCCATACAGCAGAAAACTAATAAACAGAGCAGACATAAATTTTGTCACGGTTGCAATAGATATCAGCATTGCAACTTCATTGTATTTTACCAAATGTAAAACTAACTGAATCATAGCCATGCAACACAAAGTAGGTTTACACTATCATTATGTTTTTTCTTTGATTTAAATGTTTAAGCCAACTCAACGACTGTTGGTTCATGTGGCTCAAACTGAGACCTTGTTTAGCGATCATTCACTAATAACAAACCTACTTTGGAAATCCTTATCCTTTCAAAATTAAAATTAAGCCCTATCTATCACAAAAAATACCCCCAATCTCAGACATTAGACGTCTGGTTTCACATTTTTTGCGACCCTAAATTAGCCTTTCCTCACAACCTTGGAAAAACTAAAACCTAGTGTCCTCACAATCTGCTTCCCATAAGAAATCCACTTGATACTCAATTTTAATTAACAAAACTGAGCATCGATCCAAACTACAGGGGTCGGCTACATGGATTTGGCCCTCCATTCAGTTTGATTATGGAGCTAAGCTTTTTGTAAGCAATTGACACTAGACCATTACTTATTACTGCAGCTATCATCATACTTGGACATTCCTTATTACAGCAGAAAATAAAGAGGCGAAGACTCCTCCTAAACACATCATCACCTTTAAAACCTTCAGTGTGCTGGCATACGTTGAAGGTCTTCCAATGCCAAGTTCCTCCAGCTTCTTAACCTGTTACAAGCAAATCATGAAGGCAAGACTAAGAATAAAAAAGACTGAAAAGTTTGACAAACCTGTTACAAGCAAACTGGATCACATTGTCCTCTGTCCCTCTTGTCGGGAGAGATCATGAGTTTGAGCAACAAGAAAGTGGAGTTAAGGGCAACCAAAGGCCTAAGAAATTTGTCTAATAATGCCTTAGAGTATAAATAAAAATGTACCAGTGATCCCTCAGAGTAGCGTGGTGGAGGCTCAGTAAAGTGCCGCTTCATATCTACTTCCTCAAGATGCAATGGATCCCCTGTCTACTGACATTTGAGTTAGAGAATGCACACTCTACAGAACACTATGAGAGATACCAACAATCTAACAATAGTAAGTGCAAGTTTACAAAAAATTGGAAACATGATAGAAATAGGCCTGATAATGGAGTATTACTTTGCCGTTACAAAGATTCCGCAAAATATTCATATCATGACAAGAATTGTCATACCAGGGAAATATCAACCGAGGCTTGAGATTCAAAGTTCCATATCTATTTTCTTGAATGCAATTAATAAATAACCTAGGGGAGAACCACTACCTTAAGTGAAGCAAGAATTCCAAAAGCTTCTTGACGATCATGCGAATCACTTTCCCTATATCTTACAGCTCCAGCCTCAACATCCTAGAACACACATAATCATGCAACGAGTTGCCAAATCAAACCAATGCCCATTATAATCACATGCCATTCAACTGACTGGAGAAAAACACACAAAACCAGTTACACAGTATTAAAGGACATTTCTAAGTGGAGTAGTTTTATACCTCATAAACTGCCTGGTATCCAGGAAACTCAACTCTTGAGCATGAAGATCTCAAAACAATGGACTTTTCAGCATTCCCAATGTCAACTTGCACCTAGTTAGAATGATGAAGTGTCAAGCAAAGACATTTAATGTCAAGCTCCAAGCAAACAATGAAAAAAAAAAGAAGGAAATTGAATAGTGGACAAACTAGATAATCTATCGTAACGATTTACATTCTAACCTGCTCAATAGTAACAGATTCCATCTGGCATGCCACAGTCCGAGACCAGATTAGAGTGTATAGCTTCAAGGAATCTTCATCAAGTACTCCAACGAGCATTGCTATATGTCAACAAGAAATATTTTCCAAGGATTATTTTGCTGTATGAAAGAATTGGAGAAAAGGTGCATCTTTGCATCCCAAATTCAAATAAAACAAGTTCATGAATACATCATCCAGCTTGAAAAGTTTTTGATTTACATGGTAAAATCTGAATATTGGTAGGTCTGATTGCTTCATGGGCCTCTTGAGCATTCTTCACCTTCTTAAAATACTTGCGTGCACCCTTTGATGCGAAATCTTGACCATACCTGTTGAAAATGTTTTTTTTTTTTTTTTTTTTTTGTGCACAACAAAAAAGACGACATAGCATTAGAAGTGGCATTCAAGAAAACATGGAGCAGAAGCAAATCAATGAAAAATCAATGACAAAGAGAAAGCTTCTTTTATTTTTCTCAAATGTAATGTACGGAATAAAGATTTAGACGCACCAGACCCACTATTAAAGATTTGCATGAAGAGAGGCACCTAATCCCCCCGCCCCCTCTCTCCCTCTCTCTCTCTCTCTCTCTCTGTACACAGTCTGACCAAGAAAAGGTAATAACAATGCCAAGAGAAATAATCTAGGATTTAAGAAATCAATAAACTTCAAGAAAGAGCCCATCTACGAGAAAGTGAAAAAGATCAATAGACAGTATAACTCTTTCTTAAGAAACCATATTGCGCTCATGCTTAGGAAGTTTGCTCCATCCAACGCTTTTCTATTCCTATCTTCCCAAATACAATGAGCACTGCTATCTGTCATCTTTCTCCTTAAGTTCTTAGAAAAGGAAATCCAAAACTAGCACAGGTCTTGATTGCCAAGAGAGAAGTGAAATACAGATCTTAGCACCCAGGATTTAAAAATTACCAAATGGTAGGTAGGGATAGTGAAGAGATACCGTAACCAATTCAAACCTTCCCACGAAGTTTCAGTAACATCCATGTGGGGGGTAATCAAAAGATAATAACCTGAGCTAAAGCAACTTGCAAGTATCATATCAATAAGAGATGTTTTAAACTCCTAGAAAAATGAAGATTCTGGAGTTGAGACAATGTCAAGAAGAGGACAGGGGGATATGAGACAAGCATATAAAGCATCCATATTAAAAATCCAATAAAATCCCATACAAGTCACCTTTCAATGATCAAGGAACGTATGCTTCCAACAGCTTCATCCGAAATCTAGGAAGGAAAAAGAAAAGCAATTTAGCAAAAGGAAAGACTAAATGCAACAGAAACAATAAACATGGAGTTATGACCCAACCACCATCAGTTACTTGCAGAACACTAGACATAAATCAACTGCTTGGGTATTCTACAAAATAAAAAAGCAGTGAAATTGATACCCACATGCAGTCCATCTGTCCTGAGGTAAGTTATCAACCCTGTGACCTTCCCATCTGATAACTGAACCCCTTCATAAAGCTTCTGTGCGACCTGCATTTTGATGCATTACATACAATGTCAGAACAAAAGATGAAACTGAACTAAAAAAGGAAAAATTTCCAAGGCTAGCTTGAATCTCAATGTAATGTCAAGCTAATGGACAGATAAGAAACAACAAAGAATGATGAAAATGTGACGACAGTTTTGTCTAAGCACACAAATTCAATGTCTATAAGTCATGCTATCGGTATCTTCTAACCAAGGACAAGAAATAATAAATGTATAAGTGGTTTCCTGTTTTTTATGCATAATCTATGTGGCATATAGGCTCCATAACTAAACCCGTTTCCATACAGAAAAGCTTAATCACAGAGTGCCAACAAGTGGGACTCACATTATGGATAATTTGGTCAGCCATGCGGGGGCCACATGGATTTTGCAAGACAAGGCCATTGCAAGCGTATAGCAATCATTTTTCCTGTTAGAAAGGTGCACCAATCAGTTTTCCTGATGTGGTATACTATATGCCCAACAGCATTTATTCAGATATTGATATAAAACATATACACCTGCATGCATTATATTTGCAGATTGATGGTAGAATAACCAAAATCCACCACTCAAAGACGGCAGGCTTGCTGAAGGAACTGAAAATCATTAAATCATCTGAGATAAAGTAATCGAATAGATTTTTCACTTTCACTATTTTAAGAGTTCCGCAGAGCTTTTGCACTCCATAACAGAGTATTATATGCAGTAATATCACAAAGGTAATGATTTGTAACATCAGGCATGCCGAAGCTATAATGGGAATAAATTGAAAGGAAAACATCAAAAATTAAGGTGCTGAAACAATTAAATATGCAATGCAGAACAAGAATACTACAAATTCGAAAACAAACGGCTTTGTAATGGAAAAAATAAACAAAATAAAGTAAGATATCATAATATAGTCAGCTCTATATATCAACAATATATGTAAATAGAAAATTCTAGTCTTTATCAAGCTAAGACATCCAGCATGTGGACACCTCGAATTGAGAGCGAAAGTAAAATTATTATGTTTTATTCCTCATCATCCTGATGACAATATGCTATATGATACAGATATTAGCTGATAATTAAATTATAATTAAGGTAGTCACAGAAAATTGAGAGAGCCACACAAAAATCTAATTATCGGACAATAGAACACAGACATAGCCAAACATATCTACTAGAAGTATTTAAAGAGAATGATAACAAAATTTTACACTAACAATGCTGGAAAAATAGAAAAAAAGAAAGATCGAATGCAAAAATCCACTCAAACCTTCATTGTGTATGATGTGGCAAAATGTAATTTGTTTGCAGCATCCTGTTGAAGTGTTGATGTTATATATGGAGTGGGAGGTTTTCTATGCGTTTTGGTTTTTTTAGAGCCAACAACTTGAAAGTCAGCAGAATTAATCTTCTGTTCCATATCCTTTGCCTCTGTGTCAGAGCTAATTGAGAATTGATTCAACTTATTGGAGTCAAAATGGGTCAAGTGTGCATTCACTAAAGAATCTTGCTTCTGTTTCTTCAACTTAGCGCCAATAGTCCAGTACTCCTGTGGCTTGAATTCCTCAATTTCCATTTCCCTGTCACATGTAAGAGATAATGCAGCTGACTGAACTCGCCCAGCTGACTGGCAACCCGGTAATTTCCTCCACAACAATGGTGAAATGTTGAATCCAATCAAATAATCAAGAGCACGTCGAGCAAGGTAAGCATGAACTAAGTTTACATCAATTCCTCTTGGAGCTTGCAAAGCATTTTTTATGGATGCCTCAGTTATTTCATGAAAGACAACTCTTGCTACAGCAAGATCTTGGCGTAAGGCATCCTGTTGTTGCAACATCTCAATAATATGCCAAGCAATAGCCTCTCCTTCACGATCAGGATCTGATGCAAGGATAAGATTCTCTGCTCTGAAGAACAAAGCAAAAAGGATGAGAGAATTTAAACAACTCTAACAGAAGAAAAAGAAGCAATAGATGACAAGTTGCAGCATACTAAGCTGCTAGCAAAGTGCAAAATCATTTGTATAACTTAATTTTAACGGCAGAATTCCAACAAAAAGCACCTCTTACTTGCCAAGTCAAAGCTCAGGGCAGTAAAAAGTATACAATATTCATTATAACATATCCTATATCCCTATAACTGCCACCATTAAGAGGAAGTTAATGGAAGGGATAAAAATCGTACCCGTTTAGCGCAACCTTGATGCTCTTAAGATGAGTCCAGGCAGCAGAAGGAACCTCCCATACCATACTAAAGTCATCATCAGGCCGCACAGATCCAGACCTTGCAGCCAAGTCCCTTATATGACCATAGCTAGGCAAAACTTCATACATATCACCAAGATAACCCTGAATCACCTTGGCCTTTGTTACAGACTCAACCACCACAACACATTTCCCTGTTGGAGGATATAGTGACTTTAGTTTATCTCGTGCAAAAGATTTCAATTTGCCTATCTTTTGGGGTTTCTGTTTCTCTACTGATCCGGTAACTGCTTTAGCAGTTCTTCCCTTTTACTAGAGTTACCGCTTTTCTTGTTGGACTGTTGTTTTGTTGAACCATTTGGCACTTTAATGGGCATTTCTTCCGTTGTTTTTTTCTGGAAAACCCAGGGTTAGTAAGCATATTGCAAGTTGATAAAGAACTAAGTTTCTGATTCATCTACCAATTAACAGTGGCTAACCTGTGAAACTTGTGCAGCAGTCTGACCATTTTGGCTGGCAAGAGACTTCTTTGATTGGGAAGTAGTTGTAGATTTTGAGCCAGCAGCTTTTTCTGAAACAGCAGTGCTAGAAGCTTGTCCCTTTTTTTCTTGCTTTTTGATTCCCTCTTTCCTGTTTCATTAACTTTGGATTTATTGTTTTTGGTTCTTGAAACTGCTGAACCCAGCTTTACATCTCCAACCGTCGATTCTGTTGAAGTAACAGCATCAACATCTTTAGAAGCCGAGATAGGAGAGTTCGTGTTAGTTGTATGTTTACCATGAGCAGCAACCAATGCCTTTGGCTTTTTCCAATGCTTATTAAACCCACCCACATTTTGATTCTTATGATTTGACCCTCTCGAGGCTGTTGAAAAAAGCCTCTTAGCAAATACTCCACATTCAAGAGAAGTCAGTGTGTTACCATTATTAAAAGACCAATAATTTAAGAGACTCCCAGGGTTTAAGTGGGAATTAATGGCCGAACGAGACATAGACATAGACCCTCCATTGGTGAGATTTTGAGAATGATTGATGGGGATAACGGAAGAGAGTTTATCTCTTCTTAATTTAAGCTGTGAGCATTGCTTGTAACTAAGACAAGTAGTACCAATTGGTAAGTGAAACGCTGGATGATTCTGAAATGCCCGGCATTGTAACTGCCAAAAAAAAAAAAAAAGAACTAATGTAAAGATAGCATCTTTATCACTGTATTATGCTATGCAGAGAATAGAAAGCTGAAAATGAATTTTTTTTTCTCATAGACAAAGTACACAAAGAATCCATTTTATCTAATGGGGTATGAAGAATCACAGAATATCAGAGCAAAAACGGAAAAAACAAATTGAAAATAGAACAAGAGGAAAGGAAGGAACCTTAGCCATGACAGGACGAAAATGGAAAGCTGTAGCAGAAGAAGAAGAAGTAGAGAGTGATAGAAAGCTCTTCATCTCCCTCCTTCTATTCCTTCTTTTTCTTCATTCCTTTGCTCCTTTGTCAATAAAGTTTCAAGCTTTCCTCCTTTATTTGGCCACTTATTTTTTGCAGTGTATGTGTTTCACTGTGTTTTCTGCTGGCTGGCTGCAGGCTGGCGGTGAGAGAGAGAAACCAGAGAGTTTTTTTGGTTTTGTAGACAACCACAGAGGATGAGGTGCAGGGTTTTGCAAAGGTTTTTTCTTCTTATTATTATTTTTTTCCTTAAAAAAATCCGAAATTTTGGTGAGGGTAAGTTGTAACTGGTCGGTCAAAAAGTGGTCCGGACCAAGCCCAACACACAATACACTGTTTCTCGGATCATCAACAAAGCGGAGCATTTATTTTGTCGTCTGGCTGGGTCAAAAATAGTGGTCCGGGCCAAGCCCAACAAGCAATACAGTAAATAGCATCCCTTTCTCGGGTCATAAAATCCAAAGAGCGGAGTTCTTATTTTGTTGTCTAGCCCTCCGATTCCGATAGGAAAACTGATTCTGTCTGAGTCTCCGATGAGCTCTTTACCCTTCACCGTTTAGATAGATTTAGTTCTGCTTTGGTTAATATTACAGAAGGTATGCTTTCTTCTTCTTCTTCTTCAGTATCTCCTTTGTTTTCTGAATGCCAGTAGTAGTAGGATTGCACATCATATTTAATTGCAGTTTATTAGTTGAGAAAATTAGCAAAACCCTCCAAGTTTCAATTTTTAGTTACTCCGCCTACATATTAAGTATTGAATGAAAGTGGGATTTTAGGGAGATTGTTGTTTTTAATGTGAAATCATGATGAGTTTGAAAGTGGCTTTTCATTTATTTAGTTATTGATTTGCTAGGTTTAATGGATAGGCAGCCGCAGCAGCCCCATGATTATGCTGCAATGGCATATGGTCAGCAGCAGCAGCAGCCACCACCTTATGGATACCATCCTCCCCCACATCAACACCAACAATACCCTCCCCCACCTAATCCATTCATGCCTCTTCATCCTTCGGTACAGCAATTCCCTTACACTCAACCTCCTCCACACCCTCTCCATCTTCAACACCCACCGCAGCAACAGCAGCACCCTCCACCTTTTGCTCCACATTTAGCCCCTCACCTTATTCCTCCGCCTTTCCATGCTCCTAATTATGATTCTCCTTCGCCCCCGGCTCCCCCTCCTTCCGATCCTGAGCTTCAAAAACGTATTGATAAACTTGTTGAGTATTCCGCAAAGAATGGGCCTGAATTTGAAGTCATGATTCGTGAAAAACAGCAGGATAATCCTGCTTATGGTTTCCTTTTTGGAGGAGAAGGTCATGCATATTATCGGTATAAACTTTGGTTATCTACACGTGGTCCTTTTAACTCTCCTTTCCAAGCATCTTCTATGATGCATCCACCACCAAACCCAATGATGAATGCTGCTGTTGGGCCTCCCCCTCAAATGCACCAACCTCCTTTTCCACCTTTTTATGATCACCATCAGCAGCACCCTCCTCAGCCCTTTGGCGCTCATGGTCGACCAGATTTTGAATCATCCAAGTCCTTTAAAGGAGTCTCAGGTCCACTTCCTCCTGATGTTGCAGTGGAGCTCAGTAATGTGCTTAACACTCTAAATGGTACCAAGGAGTCTATCAAAGGTGCCAAGACTTGGTTTATGCAGAGGTCTCCATTTGCACCGGCTCTCACTGAAGCACTCAGGGACAGGATTTTTGCTCTTGATGATTCTGAGAGGCAATTACATATCATCTATCTTGCCAATGATATTCTTTTCGACAGGTACGGTTCTACTTCTGCACTAATTGTTGTCTGAATACCACAACTTGATCTCTCCTTGACAAATCTGTTTGTTCAGCACCAGCAGTTTGTCTCTGTGCTTTGTTTATAAGCTTCTTGCATCATACACTCATGTTAGTGTCATTTTATTTTCCATTCGTTCTTTTTTCCCCTTAAGAGTGCATATCTTCTTAATGGGATTGGTCTTTGTAATTGTGTGCCTATTACGATAGCTTTGTGCTAGAAGAACCTCTTCAATCAAATATTGCTATAATCTTTGAGAGTGGTTCCTTGTCAATATTATCTTACTCTGAGACCTGTTGTTCTTAAGGAAGCTTAAATGTATGTTTTTGTTGCTTTGAAATCTACTATCTTGAACTAAATTACTCAAGCTCTATGGTTGATCAGAATGTAGATACTTAGCAATAATCAAATTTGAAGTTATATGGCTCATCAGAATGCAGATCGCCTACAGTCGAATTTGACAAATATGGAAATATGACTAATAAATATTGAATCACAAAGTAGGGAGCAAAGTTGTTGGTTTTCAGCTACTAGAAGTAGATTGCTCCGTGTGAAAGCACCCTTGGATAATAGATTTTAAAAAATTCAAGGAACTGGGGTCTCAGAATACTTCAACATGTGAAAGCACCCTTGAAAAAACCTATCATAAGTTATTTGAAATTCTGGTCCCTGTTTCCATACAATTGAACATCTCCCTCTTTTATGTAGTATGTAATGGTTTAATTTGGTTGGTGTAGATAGGATTTATTAAATGTTTGCTATTGCTATTGCATAGATTTAAAACTCTAAGTTTTATATTCAAGGCCTATTTCGGACTTTAAAAATCCTATTCATTACCATTTTTATTTGTCTCGGAAATATTAGCAAGATAATATCATATTTTATCACCCTTCATAGTCACTAGAGTATATCATTGGAAAACCTCACAAAAAGGGCCTCAGATAAAAGGCCACGTAATGACATTTTTTGCATTTTGTGAATAGATTTCAAAAAGACAAAGCTACCCTCTCAATCTCTGGTGCTTTTTTTTTTTTTTTTGACACCCTCTCTTCAGTCTGCAATCTACCTTCATAATTGAGTAGCTACTTCCCCTTGAATTCTATTCCTGAAAGGCCAAACTTGATCCCAACTTAAGCCCATCTCCATATGAACATGAAAGAAAATGATAAGAAGAGAACAAAAACTTTTGTAGGTGGCAATGGCTTGTTATGCACATCTTTGTATAATCAGGAAATTATATGCATTGACCCTGGGTAGTGCTCCACACTGTACTAAGGAAGAAAAAAAACATGTTCAAGTTTACATCATCACCTACAAGTCTGAGCATAATTTCAGAGAATATTATTATTGGCAATCTTTTGTAGGTGCCGATGGCTTGTTATGCACATCTTTGTATCATCAGGAAATTATATGCATTGACCCTGGGTAGCCGTATCTTTTGTTTCATTTCTTCTGGAACAATTACAAACACTTTTTTGATTATGGATCCACTGCTAGAAATTCAATGTGTAATCTTAGCATTCAATGTGTATTCCTGAATAATCTCATTTTTCAATTATTCGACCATTTCATTTTACCAAGTTCAATGTTAGTCAGATTAGTCAACATTTATATGTTTCGATGCAACAACAAGATGTTATTTGTAACAAGTAGTTTTGTTGTTTGGTCAAATTCGCTCCACCCTGTACTGGGGAAGAAAAAAAAAATGTGTTCAAGTTTACATCATGACTTACAAGTCTAAGCATAATTTCAGAGAATATTATTATTGGCAATCCCTAATGTTTTTGTAGTTTTCTTAAGGCCACACAAGCTCATATTAGATTTCGGATTCTATCTCTAATATGTAAAAACTTGAGAATGTATGAGTTCACCTGGAAAGTTGACGCTATATATATAGTTATATCTCCAAAATGTGCAGTTCGTCCAGAAGTCCTTTCTTTTATGTCAATTTTCATTCATCATCCGATTCCCCATGTCCCACTCTCTGCAGCTGCCTATCTGTGAGGTCTGTCCTATTTTAACTATTTTCTTTCTACTATTATCTTTTATGACTATTCAAGCCCCCTTGATTTTTAATGCAATCAGCCATAGTTTTCTTTCTCTGCTTGGTTGTACTTTATTTTTGGTATTTGATTTTACTTTCTTGATGCAGCATTGTGAACATCGAGTGGCATGCTCTTTTTTTCCATAGAAAAGATGATTTTGTTCATTGCGAAAGAGTCTTTTGAAACTTCCTTGGCCTCTTTTTTATTTGTTACCTGCAGTTTGCAAAGGAGAAATAATCCCCATGATCTTGATAACGAAGCCCTTGCATTTAAGCCAGTCCTAGGTCCCATGCTTGCAAGGATTTTTCACTACCCTCAGAATAAGGATGAAAATCAGTCACGGTTGCAGAAAATTCTGCAGTTTTGGGCCTCGAAGGAGGTCTATGATCAAGATACCATTTATAAACTTGAAGGTGAGATGGTTGGTGGACCACCGGCAAATTCTTTTCCAGGGCCTCCAAAAGAATTATCTACTGGTTCTGCAGATTCGGTGCCCACTGCAGGTAGCTTCTCACATCCTCTTGCTAATCATGCAGAGCATGTGAAACCAATACTGTTATTATACTAGGGTTAGTTGCAACTACAGAACTTATTTTGGGGTGTGCATCTTTATAGCTTTAAGTAATTTGTCTTTGGATTTGTTGCCAAGAATTTGGTAATTTCATTCTAGCAAGAAATGTCAAGTTAAGTTCCTTTTCCTGCAGGCTTTCCTCAGCATGCAGCCAGTCACAATGCTCCACAATGGCTGCCTGATAGGCAAAGTGGAGCAGATCAGGAGCATCTCGATAAACAAGTGCCACCAGTCATGCTTCCAACCCTAGGAAATCAGCAATTCATTCCAAATTCAGTCCCTGCTGCTGCTGCTTTTCCGGGTTCCCTGCCCATAAATTCTTCAGTTCCACCAGTAGGTCAACAACCTGCACCACATTTATTGCAAGCACCTCCTGCTAACGTTGCTGAAAAATTGTCACCGTATCCCCTTTTCCCACCCGGCCTTATTCCTGGAATGGTCAGAAAGATGCAGATTGGCAGTGGTGTACCCTACTCACCTTTGAGCCCTTTGGACATCCCGACGGTCATACCCTCATCCAATGTATCCCCATCAGAAGTTCTAGATAGTGTGTCAAAGTTTTTTAAAGAGATTGGAGAGGTTAACCCGTCTGAGGGACCCATGAAACCTGATCCAAAAGATGAAGATGAGGAGTATGAGAGAGATCCTCCAATTCGCAAAGGAGGAGCTTGCATCCCTCCTCCTCCAAACTTACAGGTTGACCCAGAGACGGGAGCTTATGCAGATGGAAGTGTGGAGCGGAAACATGGAAGTGGCTCAGGAAGATTGGGACTTGGGGCGACAGCTGATCCTAACGAGCCTAGTCAATACGATGATGTTTACACATCTTACAGAAAACATAGAAGCACCACCTATCATTCATCGATGAGTGCTAGGGCTGCTACTAGGTAAAAACCCCTTGCATGTTATGTCGGTGTTGTCAACTGGAAAAGCTGGAAATGTGAAAGCACCTATTGAGCTACCTTCTTCCCATCCTCATCCAACTGTTTGTGTATTTGTGGAAACTTGGAAGTGTAGGAGCTTGTTGTTGAGGCTTTGGTTTATGCTAGTTATAGTTTTGATTTAGAGGAATGTGGTTTCAAGCATTAAGCATTAGACGAACCACCTTGCAGTCTTGTTGTAATCACTTAGCCAATTAATACCAACTTTGGCGTAGAAACTTCAATTTTACAACGACTCGGGTTTCCTTGTGCCTCATCTCCTTCAGTGAGTTTTGTTGTCTTGTCTTGTGTGTGTTTCGTAGTAATAAACATATCCAATAGTAAGCATTAGCAGGAAAAATCATGCATGAGCAGTAGTAGAGCGGGTCATGCTAATGATGCTGCTAGTGCTAGCTAGAAAAGACCTGACCAGAAGAAGCCCAGTCATAAAAGACCGGACTTGAGGATAAACCCAGTAGTCCCCATGGCTATGGAGTATTATCAAATGGATTTTTCCTACATTTGTGCTCTTTATTTTTTGAATTTTTATTAGAATTATAATTTATATATATATAGTTTGATTGAGATCTTTTAGAATTTTTCATTGTCAAATAGCCCAAATTAATTGATTTTGCTTTGCTTTCTGCCAATATTATATTTCTCATCTATGAATAAATTGATCGATAGAAATTGCCAACTACCTGGTTTGTCATCACTCGAATAATAATATAAAACGCAATTCCACTTTCCAACTGGAAAAAACTATATATATATATATGGAAAAGTAGGTTGGCTCTGGAAGTAATTTAGAAAAATCGAGAAGGGCAACGGTGACATTGGATAAAATATGAGAAGGACAAAAAAGAATAAGAAAGAGAAAACCGAAGAAGCTTTGAAAGTACAAAAAATGAGAAGCGAAGACTGACTGACTTACTGCCTGTCTTTGGTCTCTTCTTCTCTCTTCTTCTGCATTGCTTTAACCATTAATTTCTTTCCTTCTTCATTTCGATTGGCAAAGAATCAGACTTACTACTACTTACTATCTAGGTAGGTAGGTGGGTGAGTAACAAGGCAGCCAGCTTTTCTATTATTTTTTTACATCTTTTTTACAAAAAAAAATTGAGAATTAATTGATAAAATATGATATTGCTAAAAGAAAGAAAGAATTCATCTCCTATTTCTTTTCTTAAGTTTAATTGTTTTCACGATATCTTATTTTTTATCTAATTTAATAGGCTGATCTAATTTCTGTCAAACCCTCTTCCTCTTTTCCCACTTCTATATATAAAGCTCTAAGCTTTATCCTGATCCTTTTTGTTTCCCCAGAAAAAAAGTCATCTTAAAAAGTAAAATTTTTAGGATTTTGATGGTTATCATGTAAAAAGCCTGTGTCTTTTTGTATGACTGATTTTGTTATGTTTTGATTGCAGATAGTGAAAGATATATACCTACTGTGTGGGGGTGGGGGCTTCAAATCCGTTCAAGAATGTCTTAAAAAATTTATAGCTAAGGTATCATCTATCTCCTTACACTCTGATGTAATGTAATAGTAGTAAAGTCCGTGTTTCTATTTTTGTTTTCCCATATTAGGACTACTATTTGTAGACAAATGGGTTTCCCTAATTGCCTGCTTCCCACCTCTTTTGTCTTTAATTTCACGGTGATTAGAGGGTGATTTCACAGTTAAGTGTCAAGTTGTTTCATTTTATGCTTCTTAATCGTCATCTCTGTCTTTTTACGTTCTGTTGTGTTCTTTCCTTATTGGTTTTGTTTTGTTTTGTTGTAAGTGCAAAGTGCATCAGAGATTTTGGATTTTATGCTCCACTTAATCTTCATTTCCTGTAACTTGTTATAAACAACTATTTCACCCATTTTATTAGTGTATCCACTGCCGAAACAGTGCATTACGGACTATAAATTATCATTAGATTTAGGTCGGTTCAACTGAAAATGCTAGCTTTTGTGTTTGGTTCTAGGGTGCATGTATCGGAGACTCTGTAACGTTATATGACTTGCAGGAGTTTGCAATAAGAAGAATTGTGTGTTGCCGATTTTATCTTGACAAGTTTCAGGAGTTTACAATAAGAAGAATTGTGTGTCCCTGATTTTATCTCGACAAGTTTCCTAATGATTGGGAAAATGGTGGATGGTCAAAAATTTACTGGACTCATAGCACCAAGTAACAACAATGGTAACAACTACTATGGTTACACACAAGGTTTTTACCAAGAACTTGGTGATGGTACAAACATGTCCATTGACAGTTTACAAACGAGCCATGCTGGTGGGTCTGTCTCAATGTCGGTGGACAACAGTAGTGTCGGATCCAATGATTCTTTAACTCACATGTTGAGCCATCCAGGTTTAAAACCTGTCAACCACCGTAACTACAGTGTCTCAGTGGGCCAGAGTGTGTTTCGTCCAGGGAAAGTCACCCATGCACTAAATGATGATGCGCTAGCACAAGCATTGATGGATAATCGGTATCCAACTGAGGGACTACAGCATTATGATGACTGGACAATTGATTTGAGAAAACTCAATATGGGTACAGCTTTTGCCCAAGGTGCTTTTGGAAAGTTATACAGGGGGACATATAATGGGGAGGATGTTGCGATTAAGATATTGGAGAGGCCAGAGAATATCCTGGAGAAGGCTCAAGTGATGGAACAGCAGTTCCAGCAGGAAGTTATGATGCTTGCAAATTTAAAGCACCCGAACATTGTACGGTTTCTTGGTGGATGCCGGAAGCCCATGGTTTGGTGTATCGTAACAGAGTATGCAAAAGGTGGGTCAGTTCGGCAGTTTTTGACTAGGAGGCACAATCGGGCAGTACCTTTGAAATTAGCAGTTAAACAGGCTTTAGATGTTGCAAGAGGAATGGCATATGTTCATGAACTTGGGTTTATACACCGGGATTTGAAATCAGATAACCTCTTAATTGCAGCAGATAAATCAATAAAAATTGCTGATTTTGGGGTTGCGCGGATTGAGGTACAGACTGAAGGGATGACACCTGAAACCGGGACATACCGTTGGATGGCTCCGTAAGTCTCTACACCTTTTTATACACTGCGGTTTCTGCATGTATATTTTTTGTTGCCAGCATGTGATTGTTTTCCCTTTTCTGGGTTCTATTTCTGATAAATGTGAATTATTACAATAGATTTCTTCCCTTTTATTGCATGATTAATGTATCTGAGCGTGAATGGTAGTAGATATAGGTTTTTATGGAAATGTTCGTAGTCCACATTGTTGTTTGGAGTTGTCACATCAAAATTGCACAGTGAGTGAGAATTTTTTTAGGAAGTTGAGGTTTTCATAAGTTTCTGGAAATGCTTATTCGTCCTTCCCTTTTTCTTCCTTCAAAGTGTGTAGGGAATAGCTTGTATATCTTCCCTCTTCAAGGTTTCCCTTTTACCCTGATACTGTTGAATGACAATAAGCGTAGCTACCTCTATTGGTAGGAGTTGATGATGGCAGGGGAACTAATGGTCTTGAACATCATTGACACAATGTTGGCAATTATGAGATCAAAAATTTGGAAAACTTTTCTTGAGAATATTGGAATTCTTGTTTGAAGTGCTATGCTACCCTACATAGGATGAAGGACCAGCAATTGATTCTATTCCCTTCTTCTTCTTCCTTTTTTTTTTTTTTTCTTCATACCATTGGATATACTGATATCTTCTGGTGAGGGCTGAAATATACCTTAAAAAGGTAACTCCATCTTTCACGTCTGCAAAACAACTTGTATGTTGGTGAATAATGTGATGTATTGTACACTGAGGTGCTACAGCTTGCATTATATTGTCTATAAGATGTGATTGTGGTATCAATAGAATTGTTAGGCACCTAAAAAGGAATTCTATTTTTCACCTGTCTTCTTAAACCTTGCGCCTTAGATTTGCTTCTTTCTTCTACTCGTGGTGCATTTTTTCCACACATTGAGTAGCACTTTTTCCTTTTTCGATGTCCAAACTTTCAGTAAAATGCTTTTGAACTAAATTGAATCATGCTGTTCTTTCTCGGTGTAATATGGCAAATGATTGCATCTCTTGCCTTATGCATCACATGAGGATGGTTCTTGTCATGTTGGAGGAGGAAAGAGATGTAGATTGGAAATAAAGTCTGTACCAGCCACGGGAGCAAACTTCTATGATACTGAACATAGCTCCTTGCCTGCTTTCTCCTTCCACTTCTCATATCTAGCCATATATGTACTGTTACCAAATTTAGAATATTTTATTGGAACCCTTGAAAGTTGAAACATTTATTAGAAGATAAAATTGTAATATTGAAGGCCACGATCTTTTCTCAATTATTTTATATGAATGGTTTTGCTGACAGCCTTGCTTGCTCCAAGTAAACCTCTAACTTGCTTGTTTTCTTGATGAAACAGACACATGATCACAGTATTATACATATGTAGGGAATGTGAATGTTTTCCATTAATGTTGGATATATTCTTTCTGAAAGGAATTGAGTTAGTAGTAAGTGGAAAATTTGATGCATGTTTATAGAACTACAATAAAACTTGATCTTCTTAGTGCACTTGACTGCAACACATATCTGTTTTCCTGAATTGCCATTGACAAGAATCTTCATGCTTTTACTGATTGCAAGGGCTTGTGCTTGTAACCACATTCTTGCAGAGAGATGATTCAGCATAGGCCCTACACTCAAAAGGTGGATGTGTACAGCTTTGGAATCGTTCTTTGGGAGCTCATAACAGGTTCCCTTCCCTTCCAGAACATGACAGCTGTGCAGGCTGCATTTGCTGTGGTGAACAAGGGGGTAAGGCCGATTATCCCATATGATTGTCTCCCCGTGCTGAGCGAAATAATGACACGCTGCTGGGATGCCAACCCTGAAGTCCGTCCCCCCTTCACTGAGATTGTCAGGATGCTAGAGAATGCTGAAACTGAGATCATGACCAATGTGCGCAAGGCACGCTTCAGGTGCTGCATGGCTCAACCCATGACAGTTGAATGATCCAGAATATGAGACCGAAAAAACAGATGTTAATGAGGATACAGATTAAAATTGTATGATTAAACCGAAGCTTTGTATGAACTGAACTTCTATGTTTATGTATCAGTTTTCTCTTCTTTTTGCAAGATAGGAAGGTGTTAACCATTTAGACTGGTGGTTTCTTTTTCTCTCTCTCTTTCTTCTCAAATTGTTCTGATGTAGCATGGTCGAAGGTCCTGTAGTAGCAGGGAGAGCGTTGATATAACTGCCCCAGTAGATATATATGGAGACTTGTCATTTCTATAGCTTGCGAGTGATCGTCTTGCCTTCCATATAACATAGGCAAGTCCTCTTTGTGAATTAATACTACCCTCTTTTTCTCTTTTAGCTCTATGCATTAATCATCATATTTGTTCTGCTGTATCTGTGGTTGAATTTTTGTTGTGGATACCCGAAAGGGCATCCTTAAAGATTGTCCGAATAACGGTTAAGGCCTACCCGTCCAAAGAAAAAGGAGGGTGGGTGCGTTTAACACGTTGCTGGCAACGTTGTTGACGGGGATGAATTTTGTGTGACGTCATACATACGTGTAAAGTGGAGTCCACTTGGATGGGGTAGCAGAACAAGGGTTCAACGACATAAATAATAACTCTTGTTGTTGTGTTGTGTTTTCATGAGTTTCAACATATGGAAAGCTATTGTCGAGTTAATTTTATGATTATTAACTCTTGTTGTTGCGTTGTATTTTCGTGAGTTTCAACGTATGGAAAGCTATTGTCTGCGTTAAAACGATCTAACGTTCTTACAAACCGTTGCTCCTCTCCTCCTCGTATTGCAAATTTGTAATCCCGCGAGTGCCACTTCACCCATATATGTTATATTATATTATAAAAAAAAAAAAAATTGTGAGAAATCAAAGGATTATGACTCAAGGAGAGAAATTTAAAAGCTGAAGGACTTGGAAATAAGTGTAATAACGCATAGACCATAACCATCCGTTAGATTAGATTATAGAAAAACAATAATAATAAGAAGAAGAAGAATAAAAGAATAAAGGACAGTAAAGTAATTTCATGGTAATTGCAAGGACATCTATGTCCTTGGAAACATAATTAAAAACAAAATATAAATAAATAAAAAACTGAGACTTTGAAAGTAAATGCAAAGAGAAGACTGGTCTATCCTCCTCTCTCTCTCTCTCTCTCTCTCTATCTATCTGTAGTTGTTGTTGTTCATCATCTAAAACATCTTTGTCTTCTTCTTCCTCTTTATCTTCCTCTTCTTCTTTTAATTTGTGATTCTTTAAAGTAGACTCTAGCTGAAGAATTGAATTCAGACATTGTTGCTGCTGCTGCTGCTGCTGTTGATCCCTTCTTCTTCCTTTCACTAATTACTAGTAACCATCAGGTAGGTAATAGGTATGCAACCATTTATTTCCCTCTTTTTCCTTCTCTTTATTGATGCTCTTTTCCTGATTTCTTTTAAATTACCTGATCTAATATCTGGCAGGCCCTCTTTTTCCTTTCACAAAGCTTTGAGCTTTGAATTTGTCAAATTTAGTCTTTACAAGTTGAATTTGTCAAACTTCAGCTCAATCTTTTGTTGTTTTAGTCTTTCTCAATTACTTGTTTCGCTGGCTTGATGGGTTTTGATTTTGAGGGTATGGTCATGTAAAAGCTCGTGTCTTTATTTGCTATTGTTAACAGTTATGATGTTTTGATCACAGATGGAAAGTCTAGGATCTGGATAACTGAATCTCTTTGAGGAGTTTCAGTTTTCGACTATTCATTCAATCATTGCAAAGGTATCTGCTTTTAATTTCAGAAATGTAAATTTCTTATTATTATGTTTCTATATTTGCTTTCTGGTATAATTTAGTTGAGGCCATTTGCCCCCAAACAGGTTTCCAAATTGGTCCGTTGTCTGTGATTCTGTGGGGATTAGTTAACAATTTCGCTATTACCTGTCAATTTGTTTCGTTTTATCAGCTTCCTAATCATCACTGGAAATTAGGTTTTTTTTTAAATTTCTGTCTTTTTATGTTCTGTTGTGTTCCTGTCTTCTCACATTAATTGTGGTTAGTTCGTGGGAGAACTGTGTAAAAGATTTCTGGATGATGCCCCACGTAATCTTAATTCATAATAACTATAAATAATAAATGATAAACTACGGTTATCTAAGAAAATTAGTGAATGCAACACCTGTCAAATGGAAGCACTACTACCTGTCCGTTGTGGTTTGATGATGATCATAGCTTAAAAGTTCTCATTTTTGTGTTTGCTTCTAGGGTCCATCAATTGGAGATACTGCACTATCTAATGAGCGTGACTAATTTCAGATAAGAAGAATTGGGTGTTGTTGATTTCATTTTGCCTAGTATTCATGATTGGAAAAATGGTGGAAGGCCCAAAATTTACTGGAATCATAGGAGGAAATACCAACAACGAGAACAACTACTATGATTTCACACAAGGGTTTTATCAAAAACTCGGTGAAGGTACCAACATGTCTATTGAGAGCTTACAAACAAGCAATGCTGGTGGATCTGTCTCAATGTCGGTGGATAATAGTAGTGTGGGATCCAGCGATTCTTTAACTCACATCTTAAGCCATCCAGGTTTAAAACCTGTCAATCACCACAACTACAGTGTCTCAATGGGACAGAGTGTGTTTCGTCCAGGGAAGGTCACCCATGCACTAAATGATGATGCATTAGCTCAAGCATTGATGGATCCTAAGTACCCAACTGAGGGGCTGCAGAATTATGATGAATGGACAATTGACTTGAGAAAACTCAATATGGGTACGGCCTTTGCCCAAGGTGCTTTTGGCAAGTTATATAGAGGCACGTATAATGGGGAGGAGGTAGCAATTAAGATACTAGAGAGGCCAGAGAATAGCCCAGAGAAGGCACAAGTGATGGAACAGCAGTTCCAACAGGAAGTTATGATGCTTGCAAATTTAAAGCATCCCAACATCGTGCGGTTTATCGGTGGCTGCCGTAAGCCCATGGTTTGGTGTATCGTGACCGAGTATGCAAAGGGAGGGTCAGTTAGGCAGTTTCTGACAAGGAGGCAGAATCGGGCAGTGCCATTGAAATTGGCGGTTAAGCAAGCGTTAGATGTCGCGAGAGGAATGGCATATGTTCACGGACTTGGATTTATACACCGGGATTTGAAATCAGATAACCTTCTGATTTCAGCTGATAAATCTATAAAAATTGCTGATTTTGGTGTCGCACGGATTGAGGTGCAGACTGAGGGGATGACTCCAGAAACTGGGACATACCGTTGGATGGCTCCGTAAGTCTCTGCACCTTTTATGCATTGAGGCTTCTTTCTTTGTGTTACGTGATGATTTTTATGCATATTTCTGGTGACCTGTTGAACTCTTTTTTCCTAATTCTTATGGGTGTATTTTACAACATTAATTTTTTCTTCTTACCATGTGAGTAACTGTCTCAGCACAAATGGTAGTAATTATAAGTTTCTTAGGAAATGGTGGTTGTCTTCCTCTTTGTGTGGATGGAAACACTGATAATAAATGAAAGAGAGATTCTAGAAAGTTGAGCATTTCTTCCCTTTTAATTCTTGTGCACAGTTTTGTGAGTTTCTGTGTATAACTTGCCTTGCGTGGATGTCTCTTTTTGCAAATCAATTCAGCGATTCATATCCTAACAGTTTTTAGTTCCATAGATGGAGATTGATGGCACAAATGAAGCAATATCCATGTATATCATGTGGGAAGGCTTCCTTGAGAGTAGTTTACTTCTATGGCATTGTCTTTTGAAGTGCCATTAGGATGGAAGAATACCAACTGGTGTTCTTTTCTTTGTTTTCTCTCTCTGTTATTTTTCCCACTAAATACAGTTGACTTTAGTACCTTAAAAAGCAGCTCCACTTTCACATCTTGACATTAGCACGAGAACTTTTAGTTTTGTTCATAGTGTCTCTCGATGGAGTAACTTGTTTAGATATTTGAAAAGGTGTAGTTATGGTGTTGTAAAAAGGGATAAATACCTTGAAAAGAACTTGTGTCTTTCACTTTTCTTCCCGAGCCTTTTCCTAGACTTCTCATCCCTCTTCTAATTCTCCCCCTTTTTGATGTTTATTAGTACTTGTAAATCAGTTTAGAATTAACCAAGTCATGTCACAGGGATTGTGTTAAAGGGGCTTGATTTCTTTATAAGAAATGGCCATTTTTAGAGTTTTAATTTGCAGCTGGTTATACAAGCTTGACCTAGATCTTTGAATGGAAGCAGCATTCAGATGTGTAAATAAATAATTGCTAAGTTTGGTGTTTTTTTGGGACACACCAGACTCACTCCAGCTAAATTTTCTTAACTTAATCAAATGATGTTATTTTAATATGTTTTGTTAAATGATGGCATCACTTTTTCATTTGGTTGTGTGATGCTAGATGAAGGCCAGGAAAGAGGTGTAGATTTGAAATATCATATCATTTCTGCCCATCTATCTTGGGAACATGGGATCTCATGTAACTAAATAAAGAAAAACTTCTACTGTTTTATTCAGTACTTCACTGTCTTAAGGCCATGCTTTTCATAAACTATCATATAAATAAGGTTTTGCTGAAGATATGCTTGCTCCAAGAAAACCTGTGACCTGTTTGTCTTCTCAATGAAACGGGTCATCTGCCATAGTAGACATTTATGTTTGTGTACATGGGAGCTCTTACCCATTCTCAAAATATTTTTCTGGAAGGGAATCGAATGATTATTGATTGTAGTCTAATGCGTGTCTAGGAAATCAATTATTGTGTTCGTTTGTGGCACTACAGTAAGTTGTAAATTCTTAGTTCCGAACTATCAAATATGTGAATTTTTCTGAGTCACTGTTTTTTATGAATCTGCAAACTTCTATCAATTGCTGACAAAGTTGTGTTTGTAACTATTATCTTATGTGTTTGACTTGGCCATTTATACAGAGAGATGATTCAGCATAGGCTGTATACACAAAAGGTGGATGTGTATAGTTTTGGGATTGTCCTTTGGGAGCTCATAACAGGTTTGCTTCCCTTCCAGAACATGACAGCAGTGCAGGCTGCATTTGCTGTGGTGAACAAGGGAGTAAGGCCAGTTATCCCAAATGATTGTCTGCCTGTGCTGAGCGACATCATGACCCGCTGCTGGGACACCAATCCTGAAGTCCGTCCCCCTTCACTGAGATCGTCAATATGCTTGAGAATGCTGAAACCGAGATCATGACTACTGTGCGCAAGGCACGTTTCAGGTGCTGCATGACTCAACCCATGACAGTTGACTGATCCAGAACATACGACCCAAAAACAGATCGTAAAGAGGATACAAATGAAAAACTGAAATATAAACTGATGAAGCTGTATGGACTGAACTTATGTGTTTGTGTATGTATCAGTAATTTTTTTTTTTTTTTTTCAAGATAGGGAGAAGTTGACCATTTAGACTGATGGTTTCTGGTTTTTGGTGTCAATTGTACTGGAGTAGCGTGGTTGAAGGTCATGGTTTCCTAGCTGTAGTAGTAAGGGAGCATTGATATGTATCTTCCCCCTGTAGCTATATATATGTACCTGCCATTTTCATTGTTGTTGGTTGTTGTTTTTCATATAACAAATGCAGGTTCTCTTTGGATTAATAATGCTTCTATTTTTTCCCCCTTTACTCTGTCTCTCTTGCTGATCAATGCCCTAACGGCCTAACCTATTTGCCTTGAAGCTGCGGTATCTGCCAAGCATTTTCAGGTACAGTTGGGTGTGAGCTCTTTGCAGGGATGAATTTTCTTTTATTATACTTGTAAATTGAAGTCCTAGGATCCAGATTGATTGCTTGTAGGGTATGGACGTGACTACAAATATTTCCAAAGTTGATCCCGCGAGAAGCTGTAAAACCATCATGGGTTCAAGACAATAAAGATTACACCTTGGAACACTTACCAAATAATTTCTCTGCGTTAGCAAATAAAAGCAAAATAACCACTCTTTAAAATCAGAGGAAAGGAAAATTCTGTGGTACAAAAGGTGTAGATTTGGTCAAAATATTGGGGCGGCCAAGCAGGAACGTTGCAGAAGTAGATTTCACTAGCTTAATTCTCCTGACCACAGAATCGAATTCCAAAAGTGAAGACAGAAAATGACCTAAACTAGATGGCTATTTTTCTGATGCTTTGCAGTTACTCCTTGTCTGTTCACGCACAATGATTCTTTCATTAGCACCAAATCTTTTAACATGCACCACAGTTTTTAGTTAACCATTAAACCTCAAACCAATCTTTTAACACACTTCGAATCCAATGCTCAAAACCATAAAGATGATACCATCCCACTGCTGTCTGGAACAATTGTTGATAATTAGCAATTTACTAACTAGTTTACTTTACAGAGCACCGGAACAATTATGACCAAGGCATCGCCGGATCCGGTCATGTAGGTGACTTTAGTCATTCAAGCATCAACATCAAACAAGTGCCTTACGAATGCCTTCAAAGTCACAAGAGCAATGGATTTGAATTTACAGAAGTGAACAAGCCATTGAGCAGACAATGACACCGGCAAGTCATGCAGTTAATCAAATACTACTCAAAGATCACTCCTGGCTTGAGCCATCAACTCAATCAATCACCATCCACAAACACGGAAATAAATTTAATGAGAAACCCATCAAGCACAAATAGTAGTAGACATCAATGGAAGACTTTGCTCAATTGAATTATTAAGGATAAAAAAAGTAGAGAGCTTTAACAATGATTAGTTCTTCTTCCATAATCAAGCAAAAAAAACAAACAAGAGCAAAACGGTTCAATGAATTAGCCAGCAATCATGGTACCAATGCCTTCTTCAGACATAATCTCATGAAGCAAAGAATGTGGCACTCTTCCATCAATAATACTTGCAGTTCTAACACCTTGACTAAGTGATGCCACACAGCAATTCACTTTGGGTATCATCCCACCAGCCACTTTCTTCTCATCAATCAACTTCTTCACGCCTTTTATATCAATCTCCTTTACCAAACTCCCTGGATCATCTTTGTTTTCAAGTATCCCCGCCACATCCGTCAACATTATCAGCTTCTCCGCCCCCAATGCCGCCGCCACCTCCCCTGCCACAGTGTCGGCATTGATGTTATAAGACTGACCCAAATCATCCGCTGCCACGGATGCAATCACTGGTATATGCCCGTTATTAACAAGAGGCTGCAAAACACTAGGGTCTACGCGCTCAACCTCTCCAACAAACCCCAGTTGAGCAGAATTGGGAGTTGGTTTGGCCATAAGAAGGCGGCCATCCATGCCAGAAAGGCCAACCGCGGTAGCACCAGCCTTATTGATCAAAGAAACAAGGTCTTTATTAACCTTACCCACCAATACCATGGACACAATCTCCATAGTCTTGGCATCAGTAACACGGAGACCCTCATGGAAGAGAGGCTCAATGTTGAGGAGTTTTAGCCAGTGGTTGATTTCTGGGCCACCACCGTGGACTAAAACAGGGCGGAGACCAACACAGGAGAGGAGAACAAGGTCGCTTACAACAGAGGCTTTGAGTTCTGGTTGTTTCATGGCTGCGCCGCCATATTTGACCACAACGGTTTTGCCCCTGAATTTCTGGATGTAAGGTAGGGATTCTGATAGTATGTCTACTCGGGATTGGTTGGCAAAGGTGGTGGAAGTTGGAGTGGTGGTGATGGTGGCCGCGGAGGATTTGATGGTTAGAGAGTGGTGGCGGTGGTGGTGGTGGGAGAAAGGGAAGGATAGGGTAGTTGTGGATTTGAGGTTAGAATATTGAGAATAGGAAGAGAGGGAAAGAGTTGATTTTGAAGGTGATTGTGATAAATTCAAAGCTTTGGCCATTTTCTTCTTCTTCTTGTACTGCACTTCGCCCTGCAGGTAAAAGCTATAGGAAGGAGGCTATAAAGTTTGCGAGCGAGTTGGGATTTTGGTCCGCTCCTTCCTACTTATTTATACTACAAGACAAACAACAACAACTCTATATCATTTTTTTCGCCAATTGCCACTGTGTCTTCCCTTCTCAGTTCTGACTACATCCAATTCCTTCTTACCACTCTTCAGTTTACATCCTTCTTTAAGTTTTAACTACTACCTTCTGCAACAGTGGTTTGGGGCTTTTGCACGCTTTCACAACGGGCCCCCATGAGAGGTATATAAACCATCTACCTCTACCCATGGTCACTCACATTATAATAATTTCTACAAATCTTGCACCTCCGATCTTCATTTCTTTATGGGACACCAGCAAAAGAAGAGAGTAGGAAAATATGAAAATAATTTAAATGCAGCCTTCTTTATCTCCCGTTGACCCCCAAAAAAAAAAATATATGCCTTTCTTTTCTTGAATGCAGCTATAGTTCTAATAATTACATGATCTACACTACTACTGTAAATACCAATTTGAAGCTTTTGATAATGGTGAAACATTTAATAGAAACCATTGCCTACAAAATCGTCATCATCCCCGCTGCTGTAAGATTCAAGCAATTGACTATCATCATCATCCTCATCACCGTCAGTCACAATCTCCAAGATACCAGCTCCTCCACCAAAGTCTACATCATCCATCATAAAGTCCCCATCGTCATCGTCGTCGTCAAGGTCACTCACACTATCGTCATCGTCATTGCTCATATCATCATCATCACTATCAACATCCCCATCCAGGCCTGGACCAAGTATGGGATCCACATCACCATCATCTTCATCATCATCATCCTCGTCTTCCTCACTCTCTGCATCATCAGGATCGGAGTCATCATCAGTTGGCTTTCTTCGACCAATCTCATAAACCCTGGCTGATGAAAACATCTCTTCTTGGTCATCCATTGTAATCAACCCAACAAATGAATCAGTTGCCTCTGTTGCAAAATCAAGGACACAACGGTCTACCGGCGTGGTCGCAATTTCAGAGTAATTGATGGCATCTACTGAGCGGAAAGCAGCAAATAACGGATGCTTCACACGACGGGTATGAACTGCTGACATTACATCATCAAGATTTCTCCTCAAGATTGCATAAATAACATCCCCACGTGCATTAAATGTTATTGCTGTTTGGTCCAGTGAAGGTACACTTCGAAGGAGCCTAAATTTCCGGAGATCCCAGACCTCTGAGTTTATAATCACCTGTACAGAAAAGATAACTATTAACAAAAGAACGACAAAAACATGGGTAGAGAAATTTACAACCTTCCACCTTTTGGGAGAGTAATCAACATGTAAAACAAGTGATGCATTTTAATCACACAGGAAATTATCTGCATCCAAGAAGGATCCTCAAATCTATCATTCTCTATATTCTTCTGTTCATTAGAGAAGTAAGATTTATCCTAAGGAAAATCTTTGTAATAAAGGGATTAAAATGATCTTCAATCAACAAAAATCAATGAGGTCTAATTGGAAAAAACAGCAGCATTTTCCATACCTCATTCCCAGCAGGATGAAAGCCACCACCACCATAATCTGTAAACTGATCAAAACGATGTACAGGACCAGATTGCCTCCTATCCCATAAGACCCCATTCCAAAGCAGCATTGTATCTGAAGGACTAAAGTGTACAAGGGAATAAACATGCCCACGACCTGTAGAACTTGAAGCTGTATCTGACAAGGTTGATTCCACATGACAGGTTTGGACATCATAAAGAAAAATCTCTCTTCGGGCCTGCTCTGCTGTTAGGGCTGCAAATACATTCCCAGAGTTGCTAAACCTAGCAGCCTTGCAGCCATCAAGTGAATGAATAGGCCCACCTAAGATTGAAGAGGCATCCCATAAACGCACATCCTGGGAACTTGATGAGAGCACCAATTGGGTTTCACCAGAAAGATATGACTGAACAAGTGTTAAAGGAGACTGGTGGCTTGTGCAGCTCTCTAGCAAATTGTTGCTATTGCAGTCGAAAATCTTAAGCTCTCCAGCATGACTGCCAACTGCAATATGAGAGGAATCACCTAGGAAAGTAATGCATGTCAAAAGGGCACCAGCATCATCCCTGCAAGTTCTCCATGGCTTGAATCTGCTGTATACAAATTGCCGATCCCTACGATTTCCGTGAACCCCACCATACATACTTCTGAATTCACGTGTGCCAAGCCTAGCTGTTACATTTGATGGGGCATCAAGGCTCCTTTTTGGTTCAGGACAAACATGTGGGTGTAAAAGAGAGAGTGGTGGAAGAGTGGTGATAGGAGCTGGGCACTGGCGATGCTGGTGCTTCAAATATTGAACAACAAGAGAGTCTAGAGTTAACCGCTCTGAGTTGCTGGACTGGTTATCATTTAGAAGCCCAGATTGAGTGTAGTTACCATATTGGTTGTCATCTGCACAATCTGCCAAAGTGCTTGGTGTTGATCGACCATGTATATCCCTCGAACCTGAAATAGGTGTAGAAAATGCAACAGCATCGCTAAGTGAACCTATCTTTCGTGCAGTATTGGGTGTCAGACAACCTGGAGACCTAAGTCCATGCTCACCGGTGTTGATCCGTTTCCCAGATGATGCCAACCCAAAATCCTTGAGGTCTGATAGTTTTCGTTTCATTGGCAATGAAATTGGAGTCTTACATAGAGACTCCATGTCAGGATTGCTTTTCTGTGAGGATTCTGGAGGGGCTTCTAACAGGTTTGCAGATGCAGTAGATTGTTTTAAACTACTTAAGACCTTCTTGAATGATAGTTGCTTGGAATCATGGAATTGTGACTGATTCCGTGACTGTGAACCAAACGTTGGCGAGAAAACAAGTGGCTTCTTCTTTGAAGACACTGTTCCCTCACATTTCAAGCTGGAATCATCATTGCATCCAGTTGTTTTAAGTTTGTCATACAGAAATCCACAAGGGGTTCGACCAGAGGGCCAGTGAATTTGTATTGAAGGGGTTTCTTGCGTGGAGGCTTGGTGTGCAAGAGATGAGGCAGAAGCAAGTGATGGCAAAGGTGTCAACTGTGCCTCTTTCAGCAGTGTAGCGGCTGCTGAAGCCAAACCAGATGCCTGAAGGTGTTCGTGTATAAGGAGCAAAAGTTCCCTGAAGCAGAGATGGGGTCAGAAGTGTGAGATCATTGAATCATAAAACTACTGGATTAAGATTTCTTAAATATACCTCGAATGATAGGTGATAGGAGTGGCAGCAGCTATTGCTGCTCTTTCTATGCGCTTCAGAGTAGGAGTAGCTGCATCAGTTGCTGCTAATGTACTAGCACGCCCTGAATTTGTTACAATCTGCAACAAGGTAGATGCTTGAACATATGGATCGCTCATTTCACTAAACTAACATTGAAAACACAAACACAATTTTACTCCAATTTTTCCAGCACCAAAAAGGAATATGTAAAAGATACAATTAACTACAGCGGGCATTATCTATTCTGAATAATTTTTTTTTCTGCTGCTGGACAAGTAGCAACAAGTTAAAAATTGTCACGTGTGGAAAAAAGAAAAAGGTGGCGAACAATAAGGTAAATATTTAACGGTTCATGCTTCGACAGGAGAAGACATGCCATGGACTATTGACCAGAGATATGCACCAGAGGGTGGCAAAATAATTCAGGTGTTTCAAGGGGGATCCACCAATAAAATATTTTTCTCTACATGAAGGTTAAGGTTCAAGCATACAAGAAAGGATACCAACCATTACCATGCACCTGCCTGGCGACCTGGCACTGCATGCTGCAGTAACTAGATTAACCTATTGAGCATCTTGCATGGACAAAAATAAGCATGAGAATCAATAAGAGTGGATACATTGCAGTGCAATTTGTCCAAATGTTGGCAGCACAGCCTTCCAGGAACTCTATTGATGATTTTAAACTGGCATTTAAAACTTGACTATATTGTTTGTTGAAATTCGTTTTGTGCCTCTCTTAATGGGAAAAGAAATTGGTGCAACACAACAAGAAATTAAAAAATCAGAACATGTCACCTACTTGGCACACATTTTATTACTTGTAGTCATCATTCTGGTGCTATTGAAGCATACAGCTAAAGGTCCAATTCTCCATGCACCATATTTTTCATGTTACCATGATTTATAAAGGATGAAAGACAGTTGCAACAGGTAGAAGAGATGAATGCGTCAAATTATGCATGTAGGAGTATTGCTGTGAAAGAAACAACATTCTTTCTCTATATATTGTGAGAACAGAAAGAGGTAAAGATGCTTACTGAAATTAGCTCAATCGCCACCTGGCCAAGTTCAACTTGCCACCTGCCTTGTTCTGTTCCAGGTGTATGGCTGCCCAAGTCCCGAATTAGCTCTGAAAGCTTTTTCCCAACCTAGAAGACCAGAACAACTGTCAGAAAGATAAATAAATTTTGAAAAGTCATAAAGGTTTATAATGGTTTTTGCTTGTCCAAAATGAAGACAAAAACTGAAAAGGGCAGAGTAAAAAAGAAAACAAAGTTATCCCATGACTAAGACGTGACAAGATAATAAGCTGGATAGAGAATATGTTTATATATTCATCAGAAAAGGGAACAAAACTACACCAACTTAAAGAGAGTCCAAAAGAAAAGGGGAGCTACAACTTTTGTCCACCAAACATCCTAAAAAAGAGATGATCAAATAACCTTAAACGTGTTCAGGATCAAAAAATTATACTAGTATATACAACCGACTTTTTACCTGAAGTTTTGTCAATATGTGCGCAATTGCATCATCTCTTGCTAAACCAAGCAGTACTCGGCATGCAAGCGCCCGAATACAGTCAAGAGCAGCAGGAGGAGAATAAATACGTGGTTGGAGAAGATGGAGAAGAACCTTTATACCATTGTTAGCACGCACTGCATCCCTTGCTTGGCGATACACTTGTTCCATTTGAGCAGCAAGGCCAGCACAACCTGCACC